GCTAGAGCTCGTGTAGGATGGATGAAATTTAGGGAACTGGGTGGGGTATTGTGTGGTAAGAAATGGTCAGTGAAGATGAAAGGGAGGGTATATAAAGCATGTGTGAGAGCAGCGATGGTATATGGTGGTGAAACTTGGGTGTTGAGGAGAGAGGAGGAAAGTGTACTGCAGAGGGCTGAAAGAGCTATGGTGAAGATGATGTGTGGGGTTAAAGTGAAGGATAGGAGGAGTAGTACAGAGCTGATGTCAATGATGGGACTAAATGAGGACATTGTGACATTGATAAGGAGATCGAGATTGCGGTGGTATGGACATGTGTTGAGAAGGGATGAAAGGGTCGGGATTAGGCGAGTATTGGAGTTCGAGGTTGAAGGAGTGGTAGGAAGGGGTCGTCCGCGATTGGGATGGAGAGAGCAGGTGGAGAAGGACAGGGTGAAAGCGGGGTTGCGTGATACTGAGGCGAGTGACAGATGTGGATGGCGTCGAGGGGTATTTCGGTTTCATCATAGGTAGCCAAAGGCAACCCCCGATCTCGGGGAAAATGACGTCTAAACGTGTGTTGTTGTTGTTGTTAATTTAAATAGGCAGATGTATAATATTGTGGTATTCGACAAATAATGTTAAACTACATTTAAATTAAAGTTTTCGTACTCGTGAGAAGTTTGTTGATGTTCAACCCTCTCTAAACAGCGGTTTCGAACGATTTTGATCCAATTTAGTTAGTTGGCAAGCGACCTGAAGGAGACTGAAGTTTGCTTCTTAAATAGATCTCACTCAATTTCTATCGATATAAATATGAAAGAAGGTACTTGTATATATATGTAAAGAGAGAGAGAAATATTTGTATACGTCATAATAAAATGAATAGTGTCTCTAACTCTTTGCCGCAGAGAATGTTGAAGCCAGATGACAGCCGTGAAAATTAGACCTGTTGTACAATTGAACGGAACTATGGAAGGTTGATGAAATTGAAAGGTTGGTGGAAGAAGGCGTACCTATGTCATTCTGGCTCACTTGGCTGTGATCGACCGCATTAGATAGAAAACAAAAGCTTGAATATGTTTAAAATCATCCTAACATTTTCCATTAGTTAAGTTTTAAAAAATAAAATAGAATATGAGAAGATTGCATCAAACTAAATTTGTTTCATTTGTTGTTATGTTTTCATAGGAGTTAATAATGGTCTTGACATCTTAAGATGGAATTACAGATGCCTCCACGACATATACGACATATATCGTACGCTTGTTTGGTGCACGTCAAAGCTTGTGTGTAGCCTGCTGTCTACCTGATTCGTGCACGGGAGGCAGGCAGGCAGAGTGGTTACCATGGAAACGCATAATTATCGCGAGGCATCGTCGTCTCATCTCACGTTTCTTATGAAGCGCTGCTCGACGTCAGCTTCGTCGACTGCAATGTTCTGAGGAAACTCACTGATCACTGCCATGCCGACTGGAAAGGGTTTGGTAGCCCCTCAAAACACCTTCCTTGAAAGCATCATCAAAAATTGCGTGGGCAAAAGTAAGTAAAAATTGCTGCAATAAGTAAATTTGAAAGTAAAAGCGTGACTCGACGAAAGGACTGTTAGGCAAGCTGTTTAACATTTTCTCATGCAGATGATTGTTTCCTACTGGCCAACGTGCGCATCGTTGATTACCCGATTGTTTATTGCAGTGAGGGCTTTACTAGATTAACCGGCTACACGCAGACTGAAGTGCTTCAAAGGAGCGCGTCGTGCAAATTCATGTACGGGTCATCAACCGCAGAAGACACAAAACAGAAACTTCTTGAAGCTGTCACAACATCAACTAGACAATCCTTTGTTATGTCATTCAACCGAAAAAATAGTTATTTTTTGTTTTTCGCAAAATAGAATAAAAATAAATAAATAAATAAGTGAATAAATGAATAAATATAAACAATAATTTACATAATTGCTAGTTACATTGAAAATTAATAAAACGTTTGTTGAAAAGATTTAGGTGGACCTCTTTTTATGCTCACCAACACCGCGCCAATTCGCAATGAAGAAGACGTTGTAATCCTCCTGTTAATTTACTTCCGCGACGTCACAAATTCAAAAACAACCACCTCAGTCTTCGACGCTGAAAAAAGTAAACTTTTCCAAATAACTTTTCAATAAAAGTTTGATTTCTATCGTCAACATAATTATTGCCAGCCATAAAATTGACTGACGAAAGCGAGGAAGAAGAGCGGAGAGAAAAATCCAGATTTCATTCTTTTGCGTCAAGTATCAAAAAATATTTTGGCAGCGCAAAAACCAATAAAGTTACTCCGGTTTGATTTTTAACTATACTTTTTCGATGAAATTTTAAAGATTTTGAACGCGAGATGTGTTCTACAGAAAGTTTTTTTAGATGAACATAACAGCAAGTGATGCTGATGATTCATGAGGATGAATGCATTTAAATGATTTTCAATATTTCCTAATATATATATTTAATTAACTTGCATAGCAAATATAATTATTAGCTAATTATAAGTATTTTTTAAAAATGATTTTATGTAGCGGTGAAAATTATAAGCAAGAAATTAAAAAATATTGACAGACAGCCTCATTCAACAACGATGCCATCCCGCAGTACAGACAGGAGCCTCCGAAAACACTTCCACAAATTTTACTTCATTATTCCCATTTCAGGAACGTGTGGGAGTGGGTGATACTGGTCTTCACGATAGCCACAGCCATGATCGCTCCCTACGCAGCCGCATTCAATCTCGGAGCACCGGCCGATGATACAACGCTCATGATACTGGATGACCTCATGGATATCGTTTTTCTTTTGGATATTATACTCAACTTGCACACGACCTTCGTTGACGTTAGTGGACAGGTAATTTCCAGACCGGACACAATCAGGAGACATTATTTAAAGACTTGGTTTGTTTTTGATCTGGTCTCTGTCATCCCATTCGATGTGCTCTATGCTTTGCCGACTTTAAATGATGTTAATATTCAATTAATTAATTAATTAATTAAGTAATTAAAACCAAATCATTGACGAATGACACCAAAAGCCAAGCGTCTGACTAAATTTGATTTTATTTGCTATAACGTCACTCAACCCCGTCGGCATTCAACTCCACATTTTCCAACACACAGACGCGCAAAAACCGCTGCAGAATGCACGAGATATTATTCATAGCGAAAAAATATTCCCTACTATCGCCTGACCTAATACTGATTAAGTAATTATGTAATTAATGTAGTTAAGTAATTTTTGTCATTCTTAAGAATAGGTTTATTTTTCAAAAAGAAATAGTCAACTGAGATAAAATAAATAATTGAATAATCAAATTTACATACTTAATTGTTATTAATTATGAAGAATATTGCAAATGCTTCAGAGTTCTGCGCATGTAATAAAGTTGATACGCCTCTTCCGATTGGTTCGAGTTGGTCGTACGTTGGATCGTTACATGGAGTACGGACAGGCCGTTCTAGTTCTTCTTCTCATGGCTTTCCTTCTCATATCTCACTGGTTTGCCTGCATTTGGTACGCCGCGGGTAGATACGAAACTTTGTTTAAATTGAATTTCGATAGTTGGGTCTACAAACTGTCGAATGATATTTCACAAGGATACTCAATCGTCTACGAAACCAACACGACAAAGTTGACTGTGGATATTCCAAAAGATGCAAACGTTTGGAATTTGTTAATAAACAACCAAACAGTAAAAAGTTTAAATAAAGAAAATTTGAGTTTGATTAAAGGACCCAGTAACTTCAGCAGCTACATCAGCGCCCTTTATTACGTCCTCACATGTCTCACCAGCGTTGGATTCGGTAACATAGCTGCTAACACTGTTCTGGAGAAAGTTATAACATCATTCATTATGATATTTGGAGGTAACCTGTTATAATTGAACCAAAATATTGTAATATTTTGACTGGTTTTATTTTATACAATAAATTGAAAAATAATTCAACAAAAGAATTAATTAATATTAATAATTCACCACCAGCATTGCTGTATGCATCCATATTTGGAAATGTGACCACGCTATTCCAGCAACTGTACATGGCGACGGGTAAATACCACGACATGCTTAAGAGCATTCAAGATTTTATGAAATTTAACACGGTCCCGAAAGTTCTCAAGGAAAGGGTTTTGGATTATGTAGTATCAACATGGACTGTTAGCAAGGGAGTTGACCAAACAAAAGTTTACATAAAATTTTCAATTTTTTTGTTACTCAACATTCAAGTTAAATTTTACTTGTTTCGTAAAATATTTCTGACAAAACTAGGTTTTGAACTATTGTCCAAACGACATGCGAGCCGATATTTGCGTCCATTTGAACAGGATGGTCTTCAAACAGAATCCTGCATTTAGGCTTGCTAGTGAGTCGTGCTTGAGAGCCATGGCAGTGCACTTTAGCATGATGCACAGCGCTCCTGGCGACGTCATTTGCCACCAGGGTGAAAGTCTCAACAGTGTTTGTTTCGTTGTATCTGGATCCCTGGAAGTCGTGCAAGATGAAGAAATCATCGCACTGCTCGGTTGTTCATTTTATTCTTAAATTCATTTTCATTTTTTTAAATGTTAACATTTTGGGGCGGCGTGGTGGTCTAGTGGTTAAGGCCGCATGGTGCTGTTTCGCAGTGTGTGCAGTGGCCGGGTTCAAATACGACAAAAGAATCCCCGCCTATCACACGTTTCGTGCAGGGTGCGTGGTTTAACTTAATACTCCAGATAGCCAATCTTACAAAATAAGTTGTACTCGTGGGCAAATGTTATTTATGAAAGTTTTGCAAAATTTAGTTTAGTCATGAGCTAATCAGAGTTATATACGATAAATATTTTAATTCAAGCAAGTGAAAATTCGCTGGCGTGACATCTTTTCCTAATTTTGTTAGCTTTTATTTTTTTGAAAAAAAAAATCGATTGGATTATTTGGCAGTTCATTCAAGCCGATGGTAGAAAAATTTTGAAAAATTTTCAAACAAATAAAAATGTAAATTTATATCAATTGTATAAAAAAATCGACTTTTTAGGGTGTCAAATTATAAGAAGATGACAAGTGTCAAAGGAAGTTTGTTGTGCATGTAGGTAGATGGAAGGTCGGCACACGTTCACACGCATGTGCCGTGCCGTGCTGTCCGTGTGCGTGCATTCATTGCTGTCATTTTTTACGCAGAACGTCACTTTAAAATTGTTTTTACTCGTCCACGCGTGCTTGTTCATCATTAATTTGTCAGCTGTCAAATAGTTGTGTGACATTTTCGTTGCTCTCTCGAAGAATTTTTTTGAAAACTACGTATTATAAAATCAACGAAAAAAAGTAATCGAACCGATAAAAATAAATGTTAAAGTATATATAATATATAAATATATGTAAAAAAGTAGAAAAAAACCATATATATATAAAATACTGCACTATATATATATATATATATATATATATATATATACAATATTCTATAATTATTATTCTGTTTATAGAATATTGTAAAAATTATGGTCTATTACCAACATATAAATATATATATATATATATATATATATATATATATATATATAATTATACACTTTTGATATGTTATTGTACAAGATAGGTTTTTACGGTAATAAATTTACGCTAGTAAAGTGAAATGTAAGATTTCGTTTCTTTAAAATGGTCTGAAGGAATTTGTAAATTTTCAGATTATTTTCAAGAGAGATAAAAGAGGACGTTCATATTTCCATTTAACTTTAAATAACATCAAGTAGCATTCGACGTACGTCTATTTATAGAAAAAGGTGACGTGTTTGGAGATCCACTGTACAAAGAAGCGGCCACCCAGTGCACCGCCTCCGTTAGGTGCCTCACCTACTGTGACCTGCATATCATCAGCAGAGATTACTTGACGCAAGTTCTCAACTTCCATCAAGGATTCGCCCAGTCATTTTCTAGGAATCTTGTTTTCACTTGCAATCTTCGACAAAGAGTATATCTTTTCATGATTAACTACTTCCATATATTTTTTAAACTTTAATTTTTTCAGTTTATATTCCGAAAGAAGGCAGACGTTAAAAAAGAAAATGAACTTAAAGAACGAGATAAGATGCAATCTGAAGCAGAAAAAGCTCAATCGCAGCCACTTCGAAGACTGCTCGTATCTAGGCTTCGTAAACACAACAGCGGAAAATTTGAAAGCAACATTTTGGTCCCAAGCACAGTTGCTGAAAATGTTTCGTTGATCAGTAACAACGAGAGCAGTAACGACGTCTCAATTAGGAAAGAGACTAACTTTAATATATTAGCTAAGATGACGAAATTGAATCAAAGCAAAAATGATGGGAAGAAAAACGAGAATGGAGATGAAATTACGCAGAGGGCGAAACATGAGGGCAGGTTGAAGGATGTCCTGCAAGAAGAAGTGACGAAAGACACTCAGAATGAAAAGAAGAATAAAGTAGAAAACGTTATTGCAGAAAATGCAGAGTTAAATAAAAGTGAAGACGTTGAAACAAAAAACCTCGAAGACAACTTTCCAACAAAGGAGCAGCCTCCCACTGAAGAACGCGAGGCAGATGTCCAAATGTGGGGTCCCATCAACACCAGTCCAACGACTGTCGACGATCAAAAACATCTTATAACAATTTTAACGGAATTGAAAAATGACATTAATAATAAAAAAATTGATTTAATGAAAAAAATGTCGGAAACGGAGCAAAATATTGAGTTTGCTTTGTTAGCTCTGAACGCAAGCTTCCTATCGTGATCATGACACTATTCATTCATTCATTTATTCATTCATTCATTCATTCATTCATTCATTCACTCACTCACTTTCTCACTCATTCATTATTATCCTGCTTTTAATATTCTTTTGTATTAATATTCTTTTAATATTCTTATGAATAACATTTTTGTTCAGTCTAATTGTTGAGACGTGGAGGGACGTCGTCTACATTCTCACTCACAGGCAGTGCAGCCCACCTGCACGTTAATGCCACAAGACTCGTGCATGTGATGTCGAATGTATTTTGTATTGTATATATGTGTAGAAAATTTATTTTATTTCGTAGGATTTGGTTGATTGACAATAAACACAATGTAATGTAATGCGTCACAAATTAGCCACACAATAAAAGTGTATTAAACAAAAATAAAATTATTGTAAAGAATTCTACGCGACGTGTCAGTCGCTTCATGAAAAACCGCAAATTAATTAAATATTGAAGCTTATTTGAAGATCAATATTAAAAAATAATATGAAATTGAATAAATTACAACATGAATTGTGCGTCTGACCATTTAACACGACAAAAAAAAACAAAAATAGAAGTCTAAACGGGCAACAGCAAGTTGCCAGTTGTGTACTTGTCTACACTGGCGCTTCGTTGGCCGAACTGTTTGAGCGATTGTTTATGGTGTTCAAGTAACGATAAATCTTTCTCCTCGCTGTTTTCATTCTTCAATAACGGATTCAAAATTTCTCGCTGGTCAATCAGCATCGCCATCGCATTGATCGGGATGCTGCAACTTTCTCTGTGAAGAGAAGGCATGGACTTGCATAACGTGGAGGAATCGGAAGATGACGTCATCCCGGATCTCTTCTGCTTCACGTGTCTGACGAAAGGGTCGTGTAGATGTTTTTCTACGGTTGTTGAGCACTGTGCTTTTTGAAAGTGTAAAAAATTTAAAGCGCCTTGATGTTTATTGTTTATGCTGCTGTTGTTGCTATCAGCTGTCTGGCGAAAATGATAAGGGAATGCTTGACGAATATTTTCACTCTCAAATTTGATATTTTTTGCATTGTAAATGTCATTTAAATAAGATAATGGATCTCTGCTATTTTTTCTGGAAAAGGATTTAGAGGAATCAGCAAGTTGTTGAACCGCGGTGGCAGTTGTCACAGGTACGTTCATGTCTTCAGGCGCCTGTCTGCCACATAACGTCAACCGTCTGCGTGTCATCTCCAAACGAAGAAATATAATCCCGCAGACTAGAACGACGAGAGAGGGCCACAGCATCGTGTGAACGACGTCCGATGTTGTGTAAGTTTTCTTAACGATGACGTTGTTGTGCTCCTGAGTGTCGTAAAAGCATGGGAAAGGTGCGCGTCCATTTTTTGTGAGGATTTGCCAGCTCTCCACAAATTTATTCACCGATCTTTGGTTTTCTTCCCGCGTTTTCAAACATTCACTAAAGGAACACTGCAAGTTAAATTTGAAAAATGATTAATCAAAGTAGTTTAATTAGAGGTTTCAATTTAACATTGAGTACACCAAAATTTTAGTTTATCATAGAAAAAGTAACATCGGTATTTGCTAGAATGATGTTTTAAATTGCAAAAAATCATCATGAAATGAAATTATGATGTCCCAATCTATGTCACGATTTAGCAAAATTTTGGATGCTGTTTATGCTATTTTTAGTTTACATGTTTATTTTTATTAATAATTATTATTTAGTGAGGATCAATTCTTCATCAAAACAATCAATACACTTTTCAGGCCTTCATGTATTTATACAATGGCCTCCGACCATTCATCCAGTCGCTACTTTCCTTCATACATGCATTTCGTTTGTTTGTTATTTCTTCTCCGTGTAGGCACGTGAAAAGAAAATCGATGAAAAAATGGAAAAATAACTTCTCTTCTCCCCTTCCACGCTGGCATGCATGGGGATTATTGAAAGCATGTTAGTATAACACTATGGAGAATGGCGTCTATCCATAATTATGTAGCATCAGAATACGAACGAATTGGATGTAATGCTACTGCTGTTTACAACTCGTTTTTATCATTCTGCAGAGAAATGGAAAGAACATTTTCCATGACTCCTGCTGATGCCGATCTGCAGCCTAAATAAAATATTAACGAACTGTAGCAGATTTAAATCAATGTCATTAATGATGTGATAAAACAAAATCTTATTCAATTATAAAACAAATTCTTATTCAATTCTGTGGAAATGACAATTTTAAATGTGGCGGGTGCATGTGGTGCTAATGATCGTTCGTTCTTCGTAAATAAAACTTTCCAGATGAAGTTATAAAATGAAAATCTTTGATGGGTCAATTTCCTTTCTAGCATAAAAAGAGTTTGATATTCTTCTAGTTGTTGAAATTGCAAAAGTCATTCTGTTGGGTTCGAAAAAAAAATGTTGATCCCATTAAAACGCGCATGTCTGCCTCCATTCAAATTGTAATTGTTTGTGTGTGTATTGCTAACATACATTTTATTATACTGTGCTTTTTTGTTTGTTTTATATTTTGAATAAATTCTCAAAAAGCAATTTATAATTTATTTCTTCATCAAATGTTTTTTTTTATCGCAGTTTGCAGAACATAATTTTTTAGCATTTTCTTGGCATTCCGTGTGAACTCTAGTTCATTGCATACCCTACATATCGCAGTCTTCTAAAATGAGAGCGCCAGTGCAGATAATTTTTGTAATTAAAAATTCGGTTTGGTTCAGTCCGGTCATATTGTAAAGTTTTTCAAACATTCGAACCGTTTTTTAGGAACAACGAGACGAGGTTTTTATGGCTGACGATTACTTTTTTATGGCACGCAATGAAAAAGTAGTTATATCTGCAATCTCATTGTTTGAGATATTTGGTACATTTACACAGCTCGATAAAAGTGCACGCATTTACTGTTATACAAAATGTACGCTGTTTGCTTAAGAAAAACAACCTACTTATATATGTACGTACATGTACGTCGTACATATTACATGTGCAGTGCAGTGCACACATGCCATCTATCCCATCATAATTTGCAAGGTTTAACGTACGATTATGCCTCAATTCACATGAATGTTGATGAAATTATTTTATGGCAACATTTGTTTGCGTTATAGTGTCATGTTGGTGTAATTATGCTTTCCACTAATGAATATTACATTTTTAATCACATTCAGTTTACATTTTTTCTTATTTCTACAGCTTAATATTTTGGCAGTTTAAAAATTATAAAATATAAGCAGAAGTTCAGTTTTGATACATGCTTCTTGAAAATATCTTCAAAACTAATCTCGGTGAAAAAAATGAAAAAGTTAAACAAAACCAAACTAACATTTATAAAATACTTAAAATTTAGCCAACATAATTTTAACTTACTTTTTAAACATTAAAGCACATTTTAGCTACATGAAAACACCGTTTGAACGAGGAAACACAAAACTGTGCATTCAGCCAAAAAAAAGGTCGTAATGTATTTTCAGTAGTAAGTATTAAGAACTGAAATTTTGGCAAAAGCTTACAATGAATTGAATGACTGTGAGTCTCGCAAACGATGGCAGTAAATTATTAAGTTAATACTATGACAGGACATCCTATGATGGGACCAATTTAAAATAAAATGTTATTCATATGAAAAAAGTTACGCGTAATAAGATTTGAAAAAATTGGAAATTTTCATTCTACCAGTAAGCAGACATGCACTTTTCAAATATCTATCTCACTGATAACCCTCTGGGTTATTTTATTTTTAAATTTCTCTTTTGTTAAATGATTTCACGAAAGTACAACATACATTGAAGTTCAATTATTTCACAACTTGGCTCATTTCTATATAAATTAAGTCAGTTTGATATAATTTTATGTTGTTTTGATCGGCGGCTCGTTGAGGAATGTCACATCACTTCCTAGCTCGTACTTCCAACCAACCGTGCGGCTTCTGCATTTTTGATTGTGTGCATACAAAAAAAATGTGCTATTCATGATTGGATCTGTTCCTTCATATCAAAAATCTACCATTTCAATCAATTAGTGCCAAAAGTTTTTAATTCATGCAATGTTTTAAATTTAAAAACTTTTCAATTTAGTCAATTTATGTACATGGAATTACGACCAAGTTTGTAGAGAGCCAATAGTTCTAAACACACGCGCAAGCACACGCACGTTTATGAAGCATATGACATGAACATGATGGCCGAGACGAGTTTATAACGAGGAAACAATTCTTTTATTTCCCATCATTAAATGCTTGCTGCAGAAGAAAAATTAAGACAGAATTTTTAAAAATCTTTAAAAAAGTTTCATAAATAATATTTGAAGATTGCGTGTAATGTAAACATGTAAGGTGTTAAGTAACCAATATTTCGTTTGCATAATAACTCGTGATTGGATTGAGATTATTCTCACACAAAAAGTTTAAAACTAAAATAAAATAACTCTAGTAAGAAAAGTAAACTTGTTTGTCGTGTCATTAACTTATTATAAATATTTAATATGGAATGACATTTTAAAGAAGTTACGATCAAAGTTAAACTGTATCGTCATTAACATTAAATTAGAAAGACCATGTCCATTTCTTGATTTGGCAAAATAAAACGTGGAATGTTATCAGGTTGATGTCTTGTATGATTTACGAATTATACATGTGTATGTTGTTGTGTTTGTTAATAATTTAATGTGTGTTACATGTTTCCTTTTCATGAATGTCATTTGTTTTATTGCTGTGTGCGTCTTAATGTTTTCTGTGTCTTTCATGTTTTGCTGCGGGTTACGTTATGACAGTATTACATGCTGTTTTTATGCTACGTAGGTTTTGGTTAGACTGTTTTATGCATTTATGCGTGTATATATGTATGTGTGTTTGTTTTTGTGTGTGTGTGTGTGTGTGTGTGTGTGATATGTACGTTGTTTTCTTTGGCATGTTTGAATTTTACTCCGCTATACAAGCATTGCAGAGGAGGCAGATCATAAGGCGGACCGCAAATGTATCGTTCTGCGTGTACGTGCACCTATTACACTTGAAAGAAACGTTTTAAACGTGGCTCCATAACATGAATCAATATTCCCATGCCGGCACCCACCATCCTATCAGGCTTCTTATTTATTTACCATTTCTGAAAAGTCTTGCTAATGAACCTTTTGTCGATCCGTGGCGTTTTGTGCGGGTTTGCATACGCGTGTATATGTATAATATATATATATATATAAAATAAATATAGATGTTCGTCGATATTGTTTTCCATACGTGTGGTTATATGTTCCGCAGTAACGTCATCCTACAAACTGACAACAAATTTGATTAATGGTTTTTGATTTTTAAGATTATTACATAAAATAGAAAACAAAAAGCAAAATAGAAAAGTTAAATTAATTCAAACTTTAAAAGTTCGGCATTGATTTAATATTGATTTTAAAGCGCAGCGTCATGCCTGAAAAATTAATCTTAAATTAATCACATTTTTTTAAACATCCTTCATCCGCTACCGTTTAATAAAAAGAAATTATTCATAAATTATATTACATACACATACATGCGTATCACACCGAGCAAAATCTTTTTCAACAATGTGTATAAAACACAGTTGACAAAATACTTATTAGCAATGCATAAAAAAGGTTTGTAATGCTTCCAATGCATGCAGAGCGCACTGTTAACTGCAACCATAACCTGCCGCCTCCTTCTACCTGTACCTGTTCTGGAGTGATTTTATTTTTGTCAACTGCTGATAATAGTAAACAGAATGCATGCGAACACAAGCGTGCCACATTCGCCAATCAATCTTTTAGCATTATCGTCATTGCATTGAAAGCTTTTTTTAAATAAATTGCTCAATAAACGCCGGTGTATAATGCAGATGTAAGTAACGCACACGTAAGACTTCTGCTCTGTTCCGATTGGAACTCATGTTTTCAGAAAGCATGTGACACATTTCATTCAAGGTTCCGATCTTTTAGATTAACAAAAACATTTATAAAAGAAATAAAAATTGTCAATGAAGAAACTGATAGACCACAAATCACAACCTACCAATGCAATTTGTACCAGTTGAAAAAATTAATTTAACAAACGTTTTTACTTTTTTTAAAATATCCATTTTTATTCTTAAAGTGAAATACATAATTTTATTTTACCTTAAAATATTAAATTTTATTCGAAACATGAAATAAAAACGAAACAGTCGAAAACGAGCGAGTGATTGAGAAGCAGCAACCAATGTGATTGAAGAGCTAGTGAGGGCAATTGAGTGAAACAAAATAAGACTATTAAAGGATGATAAAAAAAACCTGTGAAGTTTAACTATAAAAAATTTATTTTGATAGATACACGGTGGCGGATCTGGGGGGTAGGGTCGGGAGTCCAGTGCCCCCTGTTGTAAGCAGTTTTTCAATAAAAGTCAGAAATATGACCGTTTTAGGTAGAAAATCGAAATCGACCAAAAACTGGACGTGATGAGCACAAAAGGTCGTCAGCCACACCACAAATTTTGGCCTGCCCGTAAAAATTTGGGCCCCCTGTAAACATTTGAACATTTTTAAAATTTTGGCCTCTTTCAGTCAAAGTTATCTATCGTATATCCGCCACTGTTGATACAAAATATGTTCAAATAAAAATTAATCTAAGTTGATCTGGCTGAAGGAAGCAGCAGCGCAAGTAGATTGGTCGGTCAAAACAAGATGTCACTAAACTTTTGATGTGACGAAATCATCCGATTGCCAATGAAGAAAAGAACAAAGCATATTTTGCGAATTTTTTCAAGCATAAAAAGTAAGTAAAAAAGGCCAAAAATAGACATCTGATGTAAAACCAAAATGAAAAGATGATTTTTCAAAATCAACCAAAGTTGATTAGTATTGAAATTAATATATCACAAAGACATGTAAAACTTTTTTTATAGCGTTTCAATAAAAAAACAGAAACGAGTAGAAAAAATTGATACTAGTATTAAAGGTTAAAGGTCAATTACTCTCATTCTAGATTCAGAAGTATCAACAACGACAACAACACAAACATCGCATATGAATACGTGCATCATGACATACAAGGCATGAGATAGGCAAGGACTTGTTTGCCATATTCGAACCCGGTCACTGCACGCACTGCGAAACAGCACCATGCAACCTTAACCACTAGGCCATCATGCCACCTTGCAGACAACTTCTAACAAAGAAAGGTCAAACAAAGATTGGTTAAACATTATTATTTTATGAATCAAAATTTCAGCTACAGCCCGAAAAAATAAAATTAAAACTGTTGAAACCCGTTAACAAAAGTTAAATGAACATAAATTAATTCTGAACAGAACAGAGAAAGAAGGAAGGATAGAATGAAAGTTAGAAAGAAAAAGACTTTTCACATGGGTCGCAATAAATGTTATATATATATGCAGTGCATGTATTTGCATACATTTACATGTGTGCGTGTGTGTGTGTGTGTGCGTGTGTACGTGTTGTATATATGCATACACATAAGTGTATGTAGAGAAGGATGTTTTCTGTTGCGGTTACGCAAATATATAATGTCCGGCATAAAAAAGATAACTTTACTTGGTTTTGGTTTGGCATAAAATGAGTCATAGATAGAAGAGTATGGATGAAGATTTGATAGGAAGACATAAACAGCAGAAATGTATGTGCGGTAGATACGTGTACAAACTGTGTACAAGGAAGGAAAAACTGTACTACAGACATTGCGATCGTGTTGTTGTTGTCGTTGCTGCAATCTTCATACGTGGACCATTTTGTTGTTTTTTGCAGTAGTAGTTGTTGTTGTTAAATGTAGAATGTGTGTGTAGGTATATGTCTGTATATGTTTGTATGTGGGTATTGTATATGCATGCTGATTATGTGTTGAGTGGCAGGTTATAGGGAGATCTTGTATATATTCGACATAATATTCCAGTATGTTTTATAATTTTTACAACACTGCATTTCGTACTTTGTGTGTGTGTGCTCGTGTGTGTGTGTGTGCATAACGTAATAATCCCATTAATGCGTTAGTCGTCGTACAAAAGTAATTTTTTACTTACCGAATGCATTTTGCATGGTGCATTAATACAAGGTTGGTGAGTGTTTCAATGAGTTCTATCTGGGTTGTAAATCTATTTTTGTAACCAATGTAAATAATGTGTATAAAGTATTGTTAATTCATTGTAATTTGCAATTAATTTAACGCTGTCCTGTCGCGAATGAGGCCGTGCACCACTTTCTGCACTTTGAACATTCTTCCTCACTAGTAAGTTGCACGCATGGAAACGTGGGATGTGATTTATGACAGCCTTGTATCATGCAAATGTAGTTTGCCTAGAGAAATGATTCTGACCATTTTCCACGAATGCATTGTTGTTATTCTTATGAAAAAAAAAATTGTTATGTTACTGTGAACAGTTTTTACTGAAATTTTTATATCATTGCGATCCATAAATTAATCCAAGCCAGACAGATTCAAAAGTTGATTTTGTTATCTGCCACACATTCGCATAAATCATTCAACTTAATCCGCCCACTGCTTGAAATATTTTCTTCATACACACTGCCCCACCGGAAACAATCACACTCTATCACCACACACCTCTCACCACAGTCAACCACACATTCTAGCATCCACTCACTCCATACAACAGTCCACCATCACATTCCATTTATTTGTTTCTTTATATTCAATGTTTAAAAGTCTGTATGTAAAAAGTTAAAATTCAGGAAAATATAATATATAACGCCAAAAGAAAAGTTTGTAGATAAATGCTAATATAATAATATTTGTTTGCGTTTCTTTAAAAAAAATTAATTTGAAAAATCTTTTTTGAATAAGAGAGTTTTGCCCGAAATTTTACAATTTTATTTTTATTTCGAAAATAAATTATATTCTTTCTTTGTAAATGGACTAAAAGGTTACTAAAAGGAATGGACAACAAAACTATTGAAAAGGTGGTTAATGCTACTGATGCTTTTGTTTGTTCAACATAGTAAGAAAGTCTTTTTGATAAATAAACAAATTGCTCTTGGAGATTATTTGAACAAAATAAATTTGCTTGCCTGCTTTAAAAAAATTGCAAATAAATTCGGCTTTCACTGTTTTAAATGAAAAAAAATTTGGGCCAGCAAAAATGTACTTCTTCTGAAATTTCCAGACTAAAATATATTTTCACCATTAAAAGGGATACAATTTGTGCTGTATACAATTAAGAAACTTTACTAATTTAGAAAATTCGATCAAATATTCAAGCGCAGGTTTTTCCCGTTGGCACAAAAAACCAAATTATTTGTTTGTTTGCATTTATAACTGCAGTATACACATAATGTTATTATATTTTGAAATACTTTGCGATGAGAAAATCGTTACTTTTCTGCCGATGATTTGGAAAGAAGTCGAAGCAACGAAGCAAGTCGTAGCAAATGCAAGTGACAACATAAAACCGTTCTGCGATTAAATGTAGAAAGAAAATTTAGTTGTAAGAACTTCGAAACAGCATTAACCCGCGCTGAGCCTTCATCGTCTGCATGATGTAAGTTAGTTATTTGCAGTGCTCTGCGTCTTTTACTGCAAGTTTTTGGAATTTTTTGATTTTTGACAAAAGTTTGAGTATAATTGATCCAAACTATAATTTGTCTTTAGTTGTTGACAGTGATTGAGACAATCTTTTTAAAATTAGTTCATTGATTTTAAAACATTTTGATTTTTAAATTATTTCAATAAGAAGCTTGTTTTTCACATGTTTACAAAATGTTTCTAAAATTTAATCAATTTTTGCAAAACGATATGCAGTAAAAACCGGTTAATTGGACCACATCGCAACTTGATCGGCTGGTTTGATACATTCCCTCTTGTTTTTGGCGCACTCTTATTAGCACATTTTACTTTATTACGCACTATCTGCACCTTAAATCTTTCAAAAGCATTTTCTAATATTAAATTTAGGTTGAAATTAAATTTCATATTGCTTCATGTATACCATTCAATGTTTTCTCTCAGTTCTTCACACTTCTGAGATTCTGAATGCTGCTAAGTCAAAATCGTATTCTAAAACTGTGTTTAATTATTTTGTCTATAGTAACCACGATAAAATGTAGTGCTAGGCAAACAGATTGGAATTGTTGTCTTGAAATTTTTCACCGACATCCATGGAGTCAGTCCAATCTCTAACAATGTTGTAAATTATTTCTGCCTATGTCAAAAAAAAAATTTATGTTTCTCTTCAAAAAAGGTTTAACGAATTGAATCAAGTAGAAACCTAACGATGTTAACGATTGAGCTTTGTTAGTAAGAAGAAACAGTTTATGTTTACAACGTTTAATTAGCGGCGCAAGCAGCAACCTCGCTCGCCAACCATCAGGCAGTGACACCTGTATGGAGCTTCCATTGAAATTATGCTTCCATGATTTATTTCATCCATCCCAGAAAGTGCTTAAGTACACACACATTTTGAATGAGCCATAACACGCATTTATTTTAGTACTCTCCACACACTTTGATTTCAAATTAGTGTTCGCTTTCCACCTTTTATATTCCAAATGTTGTACACGTTGTCCTACCTGCCACTGATGCAACAGTCCAAACCAATTACAACTCTCATAAAGATGATCAGATAATTTATTTTTATGCTTAAAGTCGTTAATTAGTTTTTAAATGTCGTGCTTATCCTATATTAATAGAAAAAAATCAACACAGGCAAGAAATATTCTTTCACCTGCAGACAGACGTCTACATCTCTAGCAAAATAAGCCATTTGAACCATTACTTGATATAAACACGAGCGTAGGTGCAAAGTGAGGTGGATGGATTAACGGATGAATGAACGGATAAAAGAATAAATGGATGGATAGATGGATGGATAGATAGGTGGATGGATAAATAGATGGATAGATAGACGAACTTGGTATGCACAGCTCCCACCTACCTACCTACGTGTCTGCCTGCCTGCCTGCATGTTTGATCGATACAACGCATTTGCCAGCAAACATTTTCACCGATTAGAAGGTAACATTGAAATTTGAACGCCAATGTAATTTTAAAAAGCTGAAAACAAGCTGCTTTTATTTTGTTTGTTATTTTTCAATTGAATGTGGAAATTGAAGAAGAACCGAGAGTATTTGTGATATCTATGAATTTTAACGTTATTATTTTTTGATTAAATCTGTTCACTGTTTTCCAGTTAACAAAAATTAAATGCGAAGTCATCAGCGTTGAATTTAATGATTTTAATGCTCATTATAAAATTAAATAACCAGAGAACTGGAAATAATAAAAAATTAATAATGATTCATCTTAAAAAAAACACTAATCTTGAGAGCTATCGATAGAGTGAAGAGAACCTAATAATTTTCCATATGGTCACCGAGTTAGCTCAGTCGGCAGAAGCGCAATGTTTCGCGCTGCTATTAAACGATTACATGGTTCGAATTGTCTGTCCGAAACTCAAAGGCTATCATACATGTATGATCCAGTGCGTGCATAGTGGGGTGTGGTCTGGTGCGGTCTGGTGTGGATGGTAGATTTTACAGATAGTACAGCCTTCGTGACATGAAATGTTTAAATAGCAATTTAGTATAAAATAACATGCAAGCAGCGTTTGCGTTTGACAAAGCAGCATTATAAAGGACAAATGGATAAATAATTTAGAAATTTTTACAGCTCTATAACTAATATTTTACAAAAATAGTTTGAGTTAATTGAATGAAATGTATACAATTAACACTGTTATTAAATAACAAAGAAAGTTTTTCATTTCTTGAAAACATTATTTTCGACTTGTTAGTTACTAAATTCAACTCATCTGATGGAACGAAACAAATCTACTTGAATATCGTCATCAACGTCTTCAAAAAATACTTACCTCTTAAAAATACATGACATCAGCGTTGGGTTACAAAAATTAATTCATTGGTAGTCTTTTTAGATAAAATTATCATTCAATCAAGCTTTTTGTTGGAGTTTAATTACAAAAACTTAAAATACGGGATCACATTATTTTGTGTTTTTATTTTATCAATAAAAATTTATCTTTCCAGCAGCAAAAATTTTATAATTGAAAATGAAAGTCAATAGAAAGGACGAAGTTTTAAGCTGGTAGATTGAACAGCTAGATCACCGGTGGCTGGTCGAAACATATTTCTTACTCAAGATTACAAGCTCATTTGTTTTCTTCCTTGCTAAATTTTGATGCAAAACGCTTGCTTCGAATGTATTTTTAGACTAAATTTTTAAGTTTATTTAGTTTTTTGGTTGCAAAAAATAAATTTGAAAAACATAATGTTATAGCAGGAAGTTATTAATAATCATTTGAAGTTCAATAAGACAGACAGCAATTGACGTGAAATTTTATGTTCAGCTTTAAATGCTTGGAGCATGTCAGGATGCCGTAAAAATTCATTACTATGTCTCACCAGGCCAATAAATAAGCGCTTCCAGCACCAGCTCTGCACATTTTAAAAATTTAATCCCAAAATATTTTCCTTCTTATGTAGCATTAATATTACAATGTTACATTGCTGAACGGCTTAAATTTATGTTCAAATTATTTTTAATAAAATGATTTAACGTTATAAAAAGTTGAAAAAGGAATAAAACTTGAATCGTTTAATTGAAACAAAATTATAACCAAAGCATGCAGGAGTTATAAACCTATTAAAAAAATATTTAAACAATAAAAAAAAGACGAGACGACCAACCTGTCCAAAGGGGCCATTGGCTTGCAAGCTGTCAGGGTGCATGAGGGCCTCCTTCAACATTCCCTTCAGTTCGTAGCTGACCGTGATGCGCACGCAGGGAAACTGCGATGGCGTGCACGGGGAAACTCCCTTGTCCTTGTTCTTGTCCTTGAAACCGGCGCAATAGGTGCACGAGACATCCCTGCTGAGGTAACTAACGTTTTTTAGGTGGCACTCGGTGGAATCGTATTTGGCCGCCAGAGAATATTCTCGGACGATGAGAACTCCACAAACTACTAAAAAACAAGTACAAATAAACGAAACAGTCACTAATATGCAAGTGGTTGCAGCAGGTGTTCTTAGAAAATCACTGCCTGCCCCCTTCGGATCGATGGCCACTGCCACTGAACAGGCACTTGCCATTTTTCTCTAAATTTTTTTCATTTTCCAAACAACATTGCTAACGTTGTATGAAACAATTTTTGAGATTCAAATATTAAATTTAATATGTTTGTTTTCAATTAAGTTTTAACCTGCCTATACCGTAATTACAAACTTGGAACTTGTTTACAAAATTTTCAAAGTGTGTGTTCAGGCGTTGAATATTGCAAATGATGGAGTATAAGAGGAATATGTTGTACAGCATAGCGTTTGTTCAGAAGCACCGAAGAAATAAAATGGATGCAGATGATACGTGCGTACACCAAACAACCAACCAACCAAGCACATACATAGATGCATATACATACATACAAGTACCTACACGCAGTACATACATGTGCATACAAGCGCTTCTCACTGCATACATGCATGCACTTTCTGTGTATTTGCGGTGAAACGAAGATTTCACGTCGAGTTTTGCCAGCAAATAAAAAAAACGTTGTCTCAAGTCACTTTTTGTTCCAAAAAACTTTAAAAATTGCATCATAATTGAATTAACAATTTATGTCCAGATAAACAAAACACAATGAATTTTGGAAACTGTTCCTCAAAAAATGACGAAAGTTTGCTGCTTACCGCACAAACAAGTGAAAAATTTTACTAAAAATGATAAATAATAAGAAGAAAATATGTAGAATAGGCGTTGATGGAGCTGACTCAAATACACACACACCACACACACACACACACACACACACACACACACACACGCACACGCACACACGCACACACGCAAACACCCACACACACAAAAACACACACATAAAACGCACACGGAGATACATGCTCGTATGCATATGTCATGTTTGTACAAAAGTGTACGTTGATGATGCTTCTGGCTGTGCACTTGCCATGTGTGTACGCTGCAGTTGGGATGTGGAGTGGAGAAGTGTGGCGCGAAGATGATGTGTTGATAGTGGGCAGGTGCTGCTTTCTTTTAATTTACTGTAAATCATCCTTCCTTGGGTTCAAGTCGAAATGATAATTTTAATTTTTCAGCAAACTTCATGTATAACCACAAAATATTTAAATATAAAAAACATTTGAAGTAGAAAAATTAAAAAAAAAGATTGACGCTTAAAAAATATTCATCACTATTTCTCTAACGAAAGTGTTTTAGTAATATTTCAAATTCATGGAGAAAAACGTTTTGTAATTTAACTTTATTTTTTTCTGCGTTTTTTATTTAGTTTTAGCACATTTTTTTATATAAATTAACCAAACTAAAAAATAATTTTTTATCAAGCTAACTGAGACCAGAATAGTTTAAAGATTTTACTTTGTCGGAATCTGAATAGTGGAATAATTTCCACAGACCACCATGAGTACCTTTGTTAATTTAGCGACTGAAATGCCGCTTGAAAGCATTTAAATTGAAATAAATTATCAGATTGGTAAGTCTGTCATATTCAACATTTTAAGTTGTCATAGAAATTTAATTGCTAACAATGTTGAAGGATTTAAATATGGCATGATCAAGTTATGGATAAGAAGTTTAAAAAAATGTTTTAAAAAAATTTAAAAAAAATTATATTTAATTGTTGTAGTAACAAAATTTTGTTCTAAAAATATTACACATGCTCACAACTAAATTTAAATTATTTATATAACGTACCTCCATAATTTTTTTTTTATTTTTAAAGAATTTTTTCAAAACTGTTCAACATTTTAAATGATGAATCGAAAAACTGACAAACAAAATATTTGAATGTCGCATTACTTGGTGAAATGTAGAGAAATAGTTCATCCTATATCAACTAAGTGAGTTAGTTTACTATCTTATTCAGATAGTTTGAGTGATATGTGAAACACATTATACAATACACCTATCAGAAGAGTTTTTTCATAAAAATAAATAGGTGCGATGAGGTTATATAAATTACGAAAACAATAATTTATATTAGCTCACCAGATTAAGAAGAAAAATAATTTTAGAATTGAAACATTTTAATCAACATTTAATCTTTCAGAACAATTCAATTTTAGAAGCGATTAGCATATTACATTATATTATTTTCTTCTTATCAAACACTTGAGATAAAATTGTAAATAGAAAATGTATAAAAATGTCAATATTTGTCGACATTTAAATTTCAACAAAAAGGAGTCTCAAAATGTTCAAATTGCAGAAATTAGCACTTCTGTTGTTTTCCATCAGTTTGACATCGGCCAATATTTATGAAAGGTTTGTGTCTTTAATGATGTTTCTGGTAACAAACGATAACAGATGTTAATGTTGATATCATTTGAAACCAGACTGCAGCTGCTACAAGTGTATCCACAAACTGACGAGGAGCGTTTCTATCTGGAGCAGTTGAAAAATGAGGTTCTCACGATGTCTTCAAATGTTTCGTTGTGCCATTTTTATATCCAACTGTGACGTTGCATTATTTTATATATTCGGTAAACATTTCGCATTCATAAATAACTTTTGCTTGAAACGCAGCACGATGTATGGTACTCATCGGAAGATCGTTATGACGTACTTCTGACGTCATCAAACATCAACTGGCTCCTCAGTTCCCTGCAGAAGAGAGGCATTGCATCGGCGATCGTGAATGATGACCTTGAAAGGTTGCTATCGTTATCATTACGAACGAATACATTATTATTTTTATTTGTGAACGATATTTATCTTCATCGTCGTTTCAGAGATATAAAAGAGGAGTTTGAAAGGCTTTCGAAAAATGAATTGTTCTTCGATTATGATGACTTCAACAATCTTACTTCGGTTTGATATTTTCTTTACAAGTTATTTTAACTGTTTATAATAAAATAATTTGGTGTGCTCCAACTTTCATATTTGCTTGAGATATAACAGTGAAATAAACTGAATTTAAATCGTTCAAAGCTGTATAAAGAGATGGACAAGATAGCAGCCAAATGCATTCCAGGATTTGTCTGTGTAGTTGACGTTATTGGAAGCTCTTTTGAGAAGCAACCCATCAAAAGATTGAAGGCAAAAAGTTTATTTCTGTTCAATTTTAAGTACTTGTTTCAAAGTGGAAACTTTTTTATTTATGATTGTTATTAGAACTAATTATATTTAAATAAATTGAAGATTTCGAAGAATGTGGCAAACAGGCGAGTGATTTGGTTGGATGCGACCACACACGCCAGGGAGTGGCTCACCACCGCCACAACTTTCAAAATCATGAAACATGTTAATTTTCTTTAGTCAAATACATTTAAAACCAGATTTCATGTTTAGCTAAATCTTTGAAAGAAAAGTTAAAAAAAATTTAATTTTTTAATTTTTAAAAATGTAATAAAGTTTAATTTGTAGTTTAAGGTAAATTGTATTCATCCATAAAGTATTTGATATAGGTCCCAATATTTTTTATCTAAATTTTAAAAATGATTTTTCAAAATTAATTTTGAACATAATTCTACTTTTAATTAATCATTAAACACTTTCAGTTGCAAGATAAATACAAAGTTGATTCATCGGTGACTAAGCTGTTGGACAAATATGATTGGCACTTCATTCCTGTCGTCAATCCAGATGGATACCTCTACACGTGGACAGCAGTAAATTTATTTGTTCAATAATAAAATAAAACTTTCAAACTGAATGTTTTCAGCTCACGTGAAAAAATTTTCACTTAAGAGCCGTTTATGGAGGAAGAATCGCAGAATTAATTCCAAACCTTCCTGTCCAGGTGTTGATCTCAACAGAAATGCCGACAGCGAATGGGGATGTTAGCTTCTGAAACTAACAATTTCAAACAATATTATTATTTTTTAGAATTTACTGAAATTTTTATACTTATCAGCAAATGGTGCAAGTTCAGATCCATGCTCCGAAACATACGCTGGACCATCGGTAGCTTCCGAACTTGAAACTAAAGCATTGCAGACAATTGTGACAGCTCTTGGCTCAAAAATCATTGAAATGATCACACTTCACGCATACGGTATCATTAATTATAGACATGAGGGTTTTAGAAGTGATGTATCAATCATTTTTTTCTCGAAATAAGCATTTTTATTCCAGACATCAGAAATAAAATTAATGTGTCATTTTTAATGTGCTGATGATTTTTGATATTCTGGTTATTTCCAAGTTGCTGATAATTTCCCTACTATTTGTCAATATTTTTAGCAATTTTGAAAGCATCAGGAATAAATTGGTATATCTATCGGTTGACTCTTTTTCTATTCTCGGTGCCAATATATCAGTTATGAATATTTAATTCCCCGATTGAGTTCACGATTACAGTCGACCTACGAACGCTCGTGTCTATAAAATTTTATGCTGCATGTTGAAAAATTTTGTAAACAATTTTTAAAACATGAAATTGATGTAAAATATATTGATTTGAAAAATATCTCAGGTAACTATTGGCTGATTCCTTTTGGACATACCGATAATAGAACGAAACTCTGTTATGTTGCTCCAGATGCAACTGAAACAGTAAATTTTAAACTCACAATTTTTTAACTATCAATCGAGTTATGCCAAAAAAATATTCAAACCTTTTTTCAGATGAGAGTTGCCAATGCAGCTGCTAATGCCATAGAGAAAGTCTTCAACACGAAATGGAAAAGAGGAACTATTTGCAGCACCATTTGTACGTTCACATTTATTACAAATCAACTATCAACTATAATGTTATTGTTTTCAAAAAAATTGTTAACCAACTGAAGATCCGGCGTCCGGTGGGATGATTGACTATGCGAAAGGTAAGCAAGGCGTCCCGTACGCGGCAGGAGTTGAAGTCAGAGGAAATGGTTTCATTGTCCCTCCCTCCCAAATTAATCCTTCCTTCCTTGAGGTGTGGGCTGGCATTGTCGCCAGTATTGAAGCCATTGAGAATAAACCATCACTTGATCAATAAAATTTTTAAAATCACATTTTCCAAATAGTACGTCTTATGTGACTTATTATAAATTCAAAAATTCTAAACCAAATTATTTTAAGTTAACTTTACTTCAAACTATTAAATTTTGGCAACTTTTTGATTGATCAAATTAGATTTTATTTCAATAAAAAAAATTACAATGCAGCTTTTATTCGTGCATAATGATAAATAAAACGAAAAATCTGCAATTATATTTTACAATTGAATTAGACATAATTTTTTGATAAAATTAGACAAAATGTATCTTCGAACTTTTATTTTTTGTTGCGGTTGTTACATGAATAACAATAAATTTGTTCGCTTCTCCAAAAAATTATACAATGAGCGGTAATAGTTAAGTAAAAAATTAAAATGAAAAAGCTAGATCCCTAGGACTTATGAGAGCGATTTGTTAAATGTACAGGCATACGTGATTTGAGCCAAGAGTACAATGCAGCGTACCTCTTTAAAAATATATATATCTAATTTGTTCATGCGTGCTATTAAATCGTTATTGCATTGGATTTTTATGCCTTGGTTGGTCGGCGAAAAGAAGTGCCATGTCTCGAGCTGGTACTGCACAATGGCCTGGTTTCAAAAACTATCATCTGCCACGTTTGCGCGTTCACACGTAAAGCGTAAGTAAGTTGTGTCGTGTTAAACAATAACTATCGATTAGGCTGACCGAAAACTGAAACTGATTAACCAGGACAAAACATAGCGACTCTAAATTTATTCTTGTCAAAAAAATAATTAAATTAATATTAATTCAGAAAAGAATTAATAAAAAGTTACAACCATTGAGTTTTATTAGCATGTAATTCAATGGCTGTAACACTGGGAAAATGAAACAGTTGGACGAATGGAGAAGGTAACAGAAAAAATTGTTAACGAAAATTTTAATCTTTGAACATTTTAAACACTATGAAAATCCAAAATTGCTGTCTTATCAGATTTTTTAATGAAATCCTTTTATCGCCATATGTAAAGTTTCAACAAGATATGATAAATGCGATCCAAGCCACAATTAATCAAACTTGTAAGCAATGATAATGACTATATAAACGACCTAGTCTTAATATTCTTATCACTGTTTACTGATTGAGACCATTGAAAAATATCTGATTTTAATAACAATGCTCACTTCAGGTTTATCTGATCTTTCGAATAGACAATAAAAATAATTATTATGATTACAGTCATTGAGAGTTTATTATTTTGAATTTTGGAGCAACAGAAAATGTTGAATTCAATATTTTTTATGCTGTTTATCGGCTGGGCATCGGCCAACGTTTCTGAAAGGTTTCCATTCCAAATAATAATTTTTTTTTAATAAATTTATTAACAAAGATGTTTTTCTAATAGATTTGTATAACAAATACTTTTATAAACAGACTACAGCTGCTGCAAGTTTATCCACAAACTGACGAGGAGCGTTTCTATCTGGAGCAGTTGAAGGAAGAGGTACCTACACACGATGTTTTTTAAATGATTCATTGTGTCCTTTTTTAAGTTTTTAAGTTATTTATGATGTTTGACTTTATCATATTTAATTAATTTTTATAAATAAACTTTTGCTTGAAACGCAGCACGATGTATGGTACTCATCGGAAGATCGTTATGACGTACTTCTGACGTCATCAAACATCAACTGGCTCCTCAGTTCCCTGCAGAAGAGAGGCATTGCATCGGCGATCGTGAATGATGACCTTGAAAGGTTGCTATCGTTATCATTACGAACGAATACATTATTATTTTTATTTGTGAACGATATTTATCTTCATCGTCGTTTCAGAGATATAAAAGAGGAGTTTGAAAGGCTTTCGAAAAATGAATTGTTCTTCGATTATGATGACTTCAACAATCTTACCTCCGTTTGTATAGCTTCTGATTATTTTGAATTTTCATTTCATAACGCAAAAAATAATTTGATGTTGTTCGTTTGAAAGATTTATAAGGAAATGGACAAGATAGCAGCCAAGTGCATTGCAGGATTTGTTTGTTCGGTCGACAGCATTGGAAGTTCTGTCGAGAAACAACCCATCAAAAGATTGAAAGTAAAATTTTTAGTGATAATTACAACTAAAAACAAAAAAGTTAAATTAATTTTTCATTTTGGACATGAATTATTTTTGATGATTTTTCAATAAACATCGTAGATATCGAAAAATGTTGCAAACAGGAAGGCGGTTTGGCTGGATGCAACAACACACGCCAGGGAGTGGCTGACAACTGCTACCAGCTTCAAAATTATAAAACATGTAATTTATGTGAACTAAAAAATACATTTATGTTTTTTTAATAATTTTGGTTCATAAACTAAAGTTATTAAACTCTAAAATTCGTAAAGTCAAAATATCTTTAAGCAACTGGAATTTTATTATTGTTTCTAATATTTGCTATTAATTTATTATTTTTGAGTCATTTTATATAATGCTAAAACCTTGCAAAAAAAGTACTGAAAATTAATTGAACAGCTGTTTTAAATAACCATTTTAAAAAATGGCAACCAGCTGCAAGATAACTACAAGGTTGATTCAACTGTAACAAGCCTGTTAGATAAATACGATTGGCATGTCATTCCTGTGGTCAACCCAGATGGTTATCTTTACACTTGGGAAAAAATAAGTGTCAGTTTTGTTTTTGATACTTTTATTTATCACAGTTTGATATAAAACAGACAAATGTTATTTTTTAAAATAAAAGAATCGAATGTGGAGGAAGAACCGCAGTATCAACTCGAAACCAACCTGCCCCGGTGTTGATCTCAACAGAAATGCTGACAGTGCCTGGGGAAGTTAGTTGCATCATTAAACATCAAACATTTCTAGAGCACTCAATGAACAACTTTTAAATATTTCAATTACTTGAAATCAGCTAGTGGTGCAAGTTCAGATCCATGCTCTGAAACGTACAGAGGTTCTTCAGCGGCTTCCGAACCTGAAACTCAAGCTCTACAAAAACAAATGAAAACTCTTGGATCAAACATTATTGAAATAATTAGCCTTCATGCGTACGGTAGATGTTAAAAATTTTTGAAAATTTCTTTACACAAATAACCATAACCATGTCTTAATTTGTAGGTCAATATTGGCTGATCCCATATGGATATATCGATAACGCCACAAACGCTTGCTATGCGGCTCCCGATGCTGCCGAAACTGTAAGCCAAAAGTTAATCACACAACTTTCACGATGAACAACTATTGATAATAACAAAAATATTTGAATAAATTTTCAGCTGAGAGTGGCTAATGCAGCGGCGAACGCGATTGAGAAAGTTTACAACACAAAGTGGAAGAGAGGACCATCATGCAGCACTATTTGTACGTTTCTATACTCTTTGCTTGCTTGCTTTAGAACTTATATCAAAAAGTTTAAATTTCAACTACTAAGAATGCGTTGAATGCAAAATTGGCCAACAAAATGTTTCATGATATTTTGTGGAAGAAAATATATTAACAAACATCGGCCCGTGAAATAAATAATACGATTATCTAAAAAGTATAATTAAATGGGAAAAATACAATTTTTAAAAGTTGTCTTAAAAAAGATTTAACTTTTGAAGAAAGTTAATTTTATGAAAAAAAAACAAACAAAATTTTAAAAAATCATCACTAAAGACCAAAAAGACACTCGTTACGACGCTAATTTGTTTTAATGAAATTTGGAGCGTAAAGTATAAAGATAAAAAATAATAATGAATCGACATTGACCGTTGAAAATTTTGAAGCCAAATTTTAAAATGTGAGTTTCAACGGCAAAATTATTTTTTAATTGATCGTAAATCTTTACGACATCTTACAAACAGAATCAAGGAGTTGTTATAAATATTCAAAATTAAAATTTGCATCCTAACGTTAATTTTTTTTAATTTAATTTTTTAACAAACTGGAAGTGTGTGAAATAAATTGTATGCAGCATTTAAAAGATTTTCGGGTAAAAATGAACATAATAAAATTTCAAACTATTTTTTAACGTTGAATGAAATAAAAGTAAGCGGTATAAACATTTCTTCTCTATGTATGTCCATAAAATCTACAGATCCTGCTTCTGGCAGAATGACCGACTATGCGAAGGAAAAAGCAGGTGTGCCATACGCTGCAGTGCCCGAGGTTAGAGGAAAGAATTTCGTTGTACCCCCAAGCGAGATTGAGCCTTCATTCAGAGAAATATGGGCTGGCATCGTTGCTAGCATTGCTGCCATTGAAAAGAAACCAAACGCTTCCCATTAGATATTGGTTATTGTCACACAAGTTGAATTAATTTAATTTTGATTATTATTTTGCAGAAATAATATTAACGATTTGCATAAAACTGACTGCAAACAATATTAAATCTGTTGTTTTTAGTTCATTAATTATTTAAAAAAAATAAAAGTTTTTGTTTGATCGAGTTTATAGTTGCATTTGTCAAAACGCAAATTTGAATAACATGAAATGAATTTAAATGTATAATTAACATTGAAATCATTGACCATCGTAAAGATAGAATAAATAGAATGACCACAGTTAAATAAATGCATCCAAGCATTTTATTTAAAGAATTTATGAGTTGGTTCCTTTTCTTTACAAGAAAACGTTTTGACTAGGATCTTGGGTAATTAATAAATTGTTGAAGAAGACAAGTTTTGTGACAGCAAATATAACATTAAACTTAAAAATTTGTTCACCAAATGACAGATCTTACTCAATCTTAATTTACTCCGAGTCAATCAAGCCCTTTTGTCAATCTACGTTTGTTACAAAAATCATTAACAACTGACGTTATTTGAAAAAAGTTTAAAGATCCATTTGAAGATGGCCAAAGGACGACTCTCCGGAAATATTTCAAAGATAACTAGAGAAGAGACAACGACTGTGAGATAAAATATAAATTAAGAGGAAAGATTTAAAATATAAAAATGTTTCATTTTGAAAAAAAAGCAAGTTGTAGAACGAGAAAAGCATTGGTATAATTTACCAGACAAAAGTTGGAAACATTCAAGAGATGAACAATTGACATGGTGACTTATGTGTCTTTTGCTTCAGAAATCGAAAAGTGTCTACATATTTGTTATTACTTTCAAACTGAACCAAAAAATTTAAACGACATTTTAAGCGCCAACTCTTAAATATAATTAATCATTAACTCTAATACTCAAAAGTTATTTATGATATAAATGGAACTTAAGGTTTAAGATGTTTCTTCTTTGAATGTTGAAATTTTTTTTAAATATTTGCTGGAAAAAAATTATTCATTTAATGAACCATAACATAATTTCGGTTCACAGTTTTAGCTTAACTTTTTTTATTGTATTTCAAAATGGTTGAAAATTTAATATTACAAAACATCCTTACACTTTCAAATGAATCAGTTTTTAACTTACTAGTATGAACAACACATGAGAAAAAAATTGAACAATTTTCAACGAAACCACATACTCGATCTAACCAATGTCATTCATTGCACTGCCTTCTTATGTTTCCACTGAATCTTTTATAGACAAAATAAGAAAATAATAATTCATTTCTTTGAAAACACGAGCTACACAAATTGTGTTGAATGTGGTAAAAAGAGTCAGCAAAAAGAATAAAATTCAGAAAAATTTTCTAAAAGGAATATGATCTCAAACTACGATTTGAATTACTCGCATCAAACAGAAATTCATATCTCTCATTTCATCTAATTGTGCAATTTGTGGAAAAAATTCGACTTGAATTATAAAAATCGGTTTGTACATTAAGACAATTTCCAATTTAAAAATAGCAACTTTCGATGAAAAAAATAGATAGCCGTGCAAATGTATACTTTGTTCAACTTGTAATCTGACTTATATAACAAAAACTTAATTAATTTCATATTGTTTATGTGAAATAACAATTGTGATTGGGTTGTTAATCCATTGGCTGATAAATAAACAATGTTATTTGATATGAGTGAAGATATGACCTGTCCTTAAATGATATAAGCAATCAAAAAATTTATTGTATAAATCAGTTTTATCATAGTTTTATCGTTCGAAACAATTTATCGAGGTGAACAATGTCTTAAAAATTGTCTAACTTGAGTTTTATCAAATACTCGAGATACAATGTATAAAATTAGACTTGTTTATGATTATATAAAAGGCAAAAAATTAATACGAATATTCAGTTTTATTATCTTAAAACTAAAGAGAACTACAGAATGTTGAAATCAACATTCCTGTTGTTGTTCGTCAGTTGGGCATCCGCCAATGTCCATGAAAGGTTTTTCACTTAAACAGTCTTGTATTGTTAATAGCTATACAATTTTAATTTTATATTTAATTAAAATTGAATAATAGTTTTGAAGTAAAAAATAAAAAATTATAAAACCAGACTGCAGCTGCTGCAAGTGTATCCACAAACTGACGAGGAGCGTTTCTATCTGGAGCAGTTGAAAAATGAGGTACTCACGATGTCTCTTAAACGTTTCTCTGTGTCCTGTTTATGTATTTCAATTTTACGTATTGTCTTATTATTTTTTATTTAGTAAACATTTCGCATTCATAAATAACGTTTGCTTGAAACGCAGCACGATGTATGGTACTCATCGGAAGATCGTTATGACGTACTTCTGACGTCATCAAACATCAACTGGCTCCTCAGTTCCCTGCAGAAGAGAGGCATTGCATCGGCGATCGTGAATGATGACCTTGAAAGGTTGCTATCGTTATCATTACGAACGAATACATTATTATTTTTATTTGTGAACGATATTTATCTTCATCGTCGTTTCAGAGATATAAAAGAGGAGTTTGAAAGGCTTTCGAAAAATGAATTGTTCTTCGATTATGATGACTTCAACAATCTTACCTCCGTTTGTACTTTTAAAAATTGCTGTTTTTAATTTGCACAGCACAGTAGATCAAAATCTAAACTTTTTTCTCAAAAAGATTTACCAGGAGATGGACAAGATAGCAGCCAAATGCATTCCTGGCTTTGTATGCGCTGTCGACATAATTGGAACTTCAGTTGAGAAGCAGCCCATCAAGAGATTGAAGGTCAGAATTGTTCTTCATTGGTTTTTTATTAATATTATAACTTCCGTGTAAAAAGATTTGAAGAGTTTAAAATGGATCGGCGAGATGTATGATAATGCACATTACATTACTTGCTCTCATTGTAAACAAACTACGTGTTCGATGAGACGTGCTTACATTTGTATGTACATTTAAATTAGTTGTGATGCGTTTTTTTCCAAAAGAAACGCTAACGTTCCAATCATTTTTTAATGAAGAATTTGTTAACTTGTTTTTGCTATGTTTTGAGAGGCGACTAAATTAATTTGTCACCCAAGACATCACTCATCCTTTCAATAAGACAAGTACAACGCTAAAAAAATTTTTAATAAAAAAAAAGTAGCACAATTGTGAATTATTTTTTATTAAACTTCAGATATCGAAGAACGTTGCAAACAGAAAAGTGATTTGGTTAGACGCGACGACACACGCCAGAGAGTGGCTGACCACCGCTACAACTTTCAAAATTATGAAACATGTAAAACATTCTACGTTTCTGTCATACATTAAAACAAACTTTTAAAATTTAAGAAAATAGTCTTTATCATTTTAAACATTGAAAATAAATGTCTATATATGAAACATATGTAAAAAAACCTTGAACAACCAGTTGCAAGATAAATACAAGGTTGATCCAACTGTAACCAGCATGTTGGACAAATATGATTGGCACATCATTCCTGTGGTCAACCCAGATGGATACATCTATACCTGGAAAGGAGTAAGTGTAATTTGTTTCATAATAGTTAATGTATAAATATATAATAATTTTAGTTAATGTATAAATATGTTTCATCCACTTAAGAGTCGTCTCTGGAGGAAGAATCGAAGCATTAATTCGAAACCAACATGCCCCGGTGTTGATCTCAACAGAAATGCTGACAGCGCTTGGGGAAGTAAGTTCTCTTTCTTACAAACTTAGTCAAATAATAAATAAATTCAAACTTTTAAGATCTTCTAAATTTAATTAACAAAACATCATTAATTTTTTCCAAAATCAGCTGTCGGTGCCAGTGCTGACCCTTGCTCCGAAACTTATAGAGGTCCATCGGTTGCTTCTGAGCCAGAAACTCAAGCACTGCAGAAGCACATCAAGTCTCTCGGATCAAATATTATTGAGTTTATCAGTCTTCATGCATACGGTAAAATCGATATTATAAACATTATATTTGTAATATTATGGCAAATCACATAGCTCTTGATGTTTAAGGTAATTACTGGCTCATTCCATTCGGTCATCTGGATGATGCAACCAAGAAATGCTACGTTGCTCCTGATGCTGCTGAAACTGTAAATTCACTATATTCACTCTTGAAAATATATGATTAGCATTCATTCATTTTTCCAACAAAATCTGAAAATTAATTTGAATTTCTCTCCAGCTTAGAGTCGCAGACGCAGCCGCGAATGCGATTGAGAAAGTGTTCAACACCAAGTGGAAGAGAGGGCCATCATGCAACACCATTTGTAAGTTGTTTCTAATTTATATGATCATTTCCTTCATATACTTGCTAAAATTTAAAAATTTGATTTACAATATTAAGAAAATAACATATAAAACAAATTTGAATTCATCATCATCAGACCCAAACTCTGGTGGAATGATTGATTACGCCAAGGCGAAAGCTGGAGTGAAGTATACAACAGTACCAGAAGTCAGAGGAAATGGTTTCATTGTGCCTCCAGCACAAATCGAACCATCATTCAAAGAAATCTGGGCTGGTATTGTGGCGAGTATTGGAGCCATCGAGAAGAAACCATTCCTTGATATCATACAAGAACTTAAGTCTCAATAAACAAGATTCCTGTGTTCACATTAAAATTTTAAGCATTTGTTATATTTGCGGATCCATTCATCAAAAAATTTAATTTCAAAAAACGTTTAAGCTTGTTTAAATCCTGGTAATAAAACTTTCAAACATGTAAAGCAAATGTTTAACATAAAAATCTATACAGACAATAATAATTCGAAACACATAATAGTATTCAGTTGATAATAATAACAACAACAAAGTTTAAAGTGGTTCAGAAGACTAAGTATCTGTGTAAGAACCACGACAAAATAAATGTCCTAGTATCCTAGCTCCCCTAGCTTGATTTTAAAATTGATGATTAAATCCACTGAAACAATCTCATCGCTCAGCTCGTTCAAGACGTTTATCACCCTGCTGCTAGAGAATCAATGCTTTAATGGATTTTTTGTCTTCTTTAAGAGCTTGTATCTATGACCTCTTAATCCTTTCCTTTTTTTGTTGAAAGAACCTGGTGAACGATGTTTCTTCTTTTCCAGTTATTAACTTATATGTCAGAATCAGATCTCCTCTGCATCTTCTCCTTTCTAGTGTTGTTAATCCGCATTTTTTCAGTCTATCCCTATATTCTAGTTTTCCAACTCCTTCGATCATCTTTGTTGTTCTAATAAAATAAAAATTAATATCCTAACAAAATAATCAAAATACGGAACATTGAAGATGCATAGCTTTGGTAGATTAATCGAAAATACTGCTAATGAATATTAATTAGGTAACAAAAGTGGACCTAATTAAATTAATTAAATTTAAAAAAAAAATTTCCAATATTTTATTTATTTATCTATCAATTACAAATCTCTCTCCATTATCCTTCAAAGGCATCGACAGGAAACACACATAAAACAACGCATCACTCACATTGCATGCATTCTACCGTTACAGCAACACGCCTCCCATGTAGTTGAATATCAAAGTTTTTCACTTACTTAACACAAGTGTCCAAGATCATCGTTATCTAATTATTATCTCAATTGTTGCTTGGCACACATTGAAATCTGTCAGTGCAATTTTGCGAATTCGAATTGTTATTATTATTATTAATTTATATCGCGTCCTATGCATAGCTTCAGGGACGCTTGGATAAATAAAGACTTTTAACGTTTCCGTAAGCATGGATATGCAAAAAGTTCTTTAATCCTTTCCTAAAAAGTTTGATGGTTGGTTGTTGACGAATAATGGCGGCCAAACCATTCTATATGAAAGGAGAGCTGTACGTAAAACGTTTGTTGACAGCTGATGAATTGCTGACAGGTTAATGCAACTGAGTATATGAAGACGAACGAAGTATATGAAGACGAACGAAGTATATGAAGACGAACGAAGTTGATGAGTCGATGAACGACGCAATATAAGTTGATGAAGGTACGATGGTTGAGATGTATTAAGTAACTTGTACATGAGGACGGCGAGTTTAAATATAATGCGTTGACGCACTGATAGCCAATGTAGCTGAATGTGTGTATCTGTGCTGGAAAATAAATGACTAATATTTAAAACAACTTTTGCAACTCTATTTTGAGCTCGTTGAAGTAAAGTTAAAAGGTAGGAAGGAAGACCGTAAAGGGGAGATTTACATTAATATAAACGTGATAGTACGAGACATCGAGCCAATGCAGAAGAAATATCTTCAGTGAAAAATTTACGAATGTGAAGAATAGTCCACGTACAAAATTTGATCAAAGCCAAAACATGAGAATTATAAGATAAAGAAGAGTCAAAAGTTAAGCCTAAAAATTTAAGTTTAGAGGTTGAGGAGAGAAGAATCAGCCAATAAAACGTGTGATGGGGGGAACATTTGATAAGCTGTTGCGGAGTGCCAATATGATATTAGCTATCATAGTAATTGCTATTTTTAAAAGATTTCTCAGGCACAAGACTCAACTTCAACATAAAATTTGCTACAAATTTTCAAAAGCTACAAATTTTCAGAGAAGACAAATGGAAACTCATTGAAATGTTTCATTTTATTATTTTATTTTTGTTGTTTATTGTTGTTGTGGAAATCGTCGTCGTTGCAGTTGTAAAAAGTGAAAGTAATTTACTAATCTAACAGAACGCTGTTTTAACGTTTAATAATTTAACATTCTAATTAAATTTATCATTAAAAGACTCAACAGTTCCCTGGCCGATCAAGAGTAACTTGAAATTGTCAGGTGAGTGAACCCCTTGAACCGTGCAATTGATAATTTTGATAAGAAAATGCTACATATAGGTAACCTATTTTAAATTATCGCATTCGATTGAAATTTTTCTATAACTTTGTCAATCAAATTATTTTGTCATCAACATGCTAAAATATTTCATTTTGTCGCTATTGTTTTGTGTTGCCTTGGCTGAACAATCAGCAACGTTAGCAATTATTTTAATTATTAAGTACATAATTGTTGAATTCTAAATAACCGTTTGATTAATGAAAAATTTTTTGAAAAATTTCAATAACAGTCACCAACTGCTGCACATTTATCCAGAAAATGATGTCCACTTGACATTTCTGGAAAGTCTAAGAAATAAAGTATTTAAAATTTTTGTGTCGACGTGTTGTCCTTCTCTTTCTTCGTCTGTTTTTCATTCAAAGTACAATAAAAACATTATCTCATCATCATCATTTTGTCAAATTCTAAGAAACTTTAATTTTTTGGTATAGACGTTTGTATAGTTGTCATTCACTCACAGCTACCACCAATCAAAACACACGACGAAACTTACGAAAACGCATGCACGTGCAATCACGGCGTGTTCAGCACATCAAGAAAAACATTCAGTCCTTGGCAGTCCTAAGCCAATCTTCAATCATAGCCATTAATATAAACTTTACTTTTATTTAATTTTATTATTTTCTCGTTTATTTTTCAGTTTAATTTTTCTGTCTTTTCTGAGTTATTTCGCATTTTTTTCATATTTTATTTTCAAAGTTCATTTTTGGTAGTTTATATTAATAAGCTTAATCGACAAGCAATTATTTTTACTGAACAATTATTTCGACAACATTTATTTCGACTGATAAACAACTTTGGACAATAATTTAAAGGTTAAAGTTGATGCGCAAATAATAAATAATTTAAGTACGATGTGTGGTACGCCGCCAGCGATCGTTACGACATCCTCCTACCCCTCCCACAAGTTCAGTCTCTACAGATTGAATTGCAAGACGCAGGCCTGACCTCAAAAATTTTCATTGAAGATATTAATAAGTTCGTCACCTGAAACATTTTACCTTATATTTCGTGATAATTTTTATTTTGTTTTAAACGAAACGTTTTTAAGGAATAGAGTCCTGCAAACAACTTCTAATGCGACAAAGTTATGATTCTAATTTTTAAAAAACCTTCAATTGCACGAGGGCTGTTCAACTTTTTGTTTACAAATGTAATGCGGTTATATATTAGTACGTAACAGAATCAGCAGATTTTTAAATTGTCTAATAACATAACTTGAGCATTTTGGCTTGGTGTTGAAAGTGTTATTGCTTAGCGGGATGGGCTTCTTCATTCATTTTAATTGTGGCTTCATTATAAGTTTAACCATAAAATTTATCAGAATTATCGATGATGAAAGAGAGCGCTTAAGAGTAAAGGCCCCAGGATTTGATTACGAAGACTTCAACAACTTGACTATGGTATGTGGGGTGAACAACATTTTTATCTTTTCGTTAAAAGATTTTTTGAATCCCTCTGCTTTTTAAACAGAAATTTTAATAAAAAATTTTTTTACCAGTGTAACCAAGAGTTGGACAAAATTGCCGCCAAATGCATTCCTGGGTTTGTTTGCACGATCGACTCAATCGGAGACTCGACAGAAAAAAGACCCATAAAAAGATTAAAAGTATTGTCATGATTATTTCACATGGATTTTCAATCATTACATTAAATGAATTTAATAAACATGGTAACTTTTTATGTAATGATATGTTTTTTAATTTTCAGATATCGCGAAGAGATTCAAAAAGAAAAATAGTTTGGTTGGACGCAACGACACATGCTAGAGAGTGGCTAACGACCGCTACGTTGTTCAAGATCGTGAAACATGTTAGTGTACTACTGGTACATTGTGATACATTGTATCAAAATGATATATTAGTGATATATTAGTGATATATTATCGTAATTATAAAAGCGTCTGCTCCAATGTTGCAATGACCGGGTTCGAACTCAAAAAGATACTCGCCAAAATAATCACACGTAAAATGTTTGATACATCTTTAACTATATTGTCCGCACGGCAGCTGGTATCTTTGATCCATACTAATAGAGAATGATGACCGTTGTATTTGTAGTAACTTGAAAAACTTACAAATTGTAACTTGATATAAAAAAACTAATTTAAGATGCAAGATAATTACAATGGGGATTCGCTCGTGAAGTCACTGCTTGACAAATATGATTGGCACTTCATTCCTATTGTGAACCCAGATGGATACGACTTTACTTGGACACAAGTGAACCTATTTAATTCTAAATCGATATTTATGAATATAATACATTTAAATTTTTGACTAACATGTTTGCAGAATCGAATGTGGAGAAAAAATCGTCGAATGAACATGAAGCCTCGGTGCCCTGGTGTCGATCTCAACCGAAATGCAGACAATGCATGGGGAAGTAAATACAATTGCTGCAAATTTTGCTCAAATACATTCTTACATCACATTTCACATGTATATACCTTGCTAATAAATCATAGAGAGGTAATTCATGACACCGGTTATGATTGTGGCTGATGATGTGTCAGTTTGTGATCTTGTCAAAGTGACGGGAAAAAATGAACGCTTGTTTCATGCATGTAAACTTTTTTATATTTTGCGTATTTATAAAATTTTGTGGAGCACCGTGCACATTATAGAAATGGCGCTTCATAAACTTTGCTAATTGGTTGATTAAGCAAGGTTGATAACTTGTGCCTTACATTTTGTATCAAACGAACACAACGTAAACATAACAACAAACGCCACAATGTGAAAAGATGAAAATTTTCAACAGCAACCGGAAGTGGTGAAGATGAATGCTCTGAGATATACAGAGGACCAAAGGTTGCCTCGGAGCCAGAGACACAAGCTCTCAAGAGGCAATACAATTTACTTGGGCAAAACGTCTTGGAAGTTATTAACATTCATGCTTATGGTAATACTTAAATTGTAATAATGAATATTGAGTAGAGTTCTATATTATACATCTTTTATCACAATGTGAAGGTCAATACTGGATGACTTCTTACGGGCACGTGAACCCTGTGACAAAAAAGTGTTACGAAGCACCTGATGAAAAAGAAACGGTTTGTTTCTATAGTTTGGGCTTGCAATAAAATATTGCATTTTTATTGATTTAAATGAATACAATTTAATAAAATGCAGATAAGAATTGCAAATGCAGCCGCTGATGCCATTCAGGAAGTTTTCAACACAACTTGGAAAAGAGGACCAACATGCACAACCATGTGTCAGTAATGAAAGTTGAAAGTATTTGTTTCCGGGTGAATGGCTCTATAAATTAGCTACTCATTATAAAATTAAAATTAAAGTAAACGAAATGTTATATATATATATATATATATATATATATATATATATATATGGTTCAATTTTTCAATATTACGTGTATATTCCGAGTCTATGATTTAATTTTATGAAACCTCATTTATTTTATTCGTAAGGTATATTTAAACACGATACGTAATATTGAAAAATTGAAGCAAAACCCACTGATCTAAGCTGAAAATGCAGTGATATTTCTTAACATAAACGCACACACACACACACATATATGTGTGTGTGTGTGTGTGTGTGTGTGTGTGTGTGTGTATATGGTCGATAAAAATATGGAATTGCATCATGTTCATATTTACTGTATATACAAAAATGTTTTCATTGTTGTGTCTTAAACTTCATACATCTTATGCCGACAAAATATTTTTAGACATTGCATCAGGTTTGCTGATTGACGATGCCAAGGACAGGTCCGGCATAAGATACACGGCAGTTCCCGAGGTCAGAGGAAATGGATTCGTCGTACCTCCCTCTGAAATCACTCCTTCCTTCAAAGAAATTTGGGCAGGTGTCACTGCCAGTATCAAGGCCATTGAAGATGGTCCATTCTTTAGTGATAATTAACTTTAAACCTCAAATGCCAAAAATTTATTACAATGGATGTTCAACATTCAATTCAATTATAACGTACAAAATTTGATAATTTTTGACAAACTTTTAATATCGCTGTTAATGTAGACTAGCTTTCTGATCAAATTTTGGTGTCGAATACAAAAACGTTCATCACCAAAACACTTTAATCATTTGTTTGTTCCTAATTCGACTTTGAGAATCATGTTAGAGCCCCAAGTGGATAATAAACCGAAAGGACAAAGCAGAATAAAAGCACTTTGTACAGGACAAAGAAGGATAAAAGCACCTTGCACACTTAGAGTCCCAAGCGGCCAAATCGGATTTTGCGGTTTGTGGATTTTGTCTGTGCGGTTTACCGCGGATGAGGATTCAAGTGCGTTATTCAAAAAACCGCCCGCAAAATTACATTTTTAATTTTCAAAAATTTTCAGAATATAAAACTTTTTGTTTTTTCGTTTGTTTGCATATACGTATGTATGTATGTATGTGTATTTAATGACCACAGCTGAGTCTCTCTGGGGTCCCACGTAGATAGAGCCAAGCAAGCAGCTTCTACTAATTATTTCAGCAGATTTGAATAAAGAAAGTTAGTTTAATGTTATACGTTATACACGTCAACACACACACACACACACACATACATTAGAAATTTATAAAATTCTTTTCAGCAGATTATCTGCTGCCTGATTATAACTATATTGTAAATAAATTGTTCTCTAGAATTGCAATCTTCTAATTTTGAACATGTGATCAAGACGGTCAATATAGGTTGTCATTTCGTGGATGCGGTGCAGATGCGGATAATAAGCAGTGCGGGTGCGGGCGATTGCGGTTTGAAAAAATCTTCTTTGCTTGGGGCTCTACATGATCATGTTTTCGTAAAATTTTAATTAAGCCCAATGTTATGCAAATAGAGCTTATTAGACACATCAACTGCTAGGTACTTCAAGTCCATCTTAATTTTTTATGACGATATTAATATTAAATTCATAAAGATACATATGAAAAAATAAACCATGGAAATGAGCCACTGAGGTATAAAATTTACTTAAATCTCATTGGTATAAACTGGTTCTTCATTTTTGGCTGCTTAGGTGTCAGTTATGACAATAACACTCTTGTTGCTTTTAATTTTTAGATTTTTTTAAACTGTTATTTTAGAAAACGACTTCACTTTTAACTTTGTGTCTTATACGCAACCAAACCATGGAATTTTAAACTGGAAATTGCCCTATTGTCTCTCTTCCATTGTACGCTCAGTTGTGATAATGACGTCACATGCCGAAATATCAATTATAATTGATGCAGAGGAACTCGAGCGGGTGATCGTTTACTGCGTAAAAATACAGTGTAATGCATGGATATATATCCAATCCATGGTGTAATGACGTAATTGCATCTGGGTTAACGTTCAGATCAAAAGCTTCATTTCACTTCCTACATGTTATTCAATGTGCAAAACCTATTGGGCCACCTTTTAAATATTGATTAGTAAATACAATTTAGTTCTAATATGATAGTGTGATATGTTTTATATTTTAATGAAATTTTTAATAAAACAAAAATTTAGCTTAAATAAACACTCAACTGATTATGACGTCATCTCTTATAAGTAAAATTGTTCGGAATGAAATGTTGAATTTATTAAAAAGAATCAAACTAACAATATTAAAATGGTAGTACCCTGAAATTTTGTTTGCCCAAATCTATCCATTACAAACTTATTTTTTACTGAATTATATTGAAGAGAAGAAAGTAAATTATAATCTACTACAATTCTTGGTATTGCCCGCCAATCGTATCGTATTCGCCCCATTATATCCTTACTGGAAGTAATGAGTAGCGTTGATGTGACACATTCATTTGTGTATGAATCTTCTAAAGTGCATGGCCTCCAGTAACCGGCAAAGAGTAACAAATACAATATGATGCAAACGCTTCTATTTTAAGTCAACGTTCAACTTAAGTGCAATATTTCAATTTCTGTAATGCAGAGAGAAAGAAAGTCAATTCATCCTTGTTTATTATTCCAATGATTAACTCGATTTAATTTTTGACATTAAATTCTAAATGTTTACCATTTATATATAATCTACTTAATTATAATCTATCAGAATCTTACACTCAGAGTTGTTTTATACATTTAGATGCAAAGCCTAATTCAAGATTCTTGGTTTATGAACCAAGTACTTAATTTTACGCTTTTAGTTACTCCTCTATTAAATAGAATCTTCTTTTCGTTAAAATCCATAATAAAATAAATAACAAACACCCTTTATTAGAATTATATTTATCGAAAGGTAAGGCCTGCTCATTTTCTTCTTTTCAATTTTTTATAAGATTTTTGTAATTTTTTTTCCATTGATTTTATTTGCGACCTTAAAATCTTCAAAAGTCTGTTTTCCTTGCTCTTTTCTTTCTCTTTTGTACTCTTGTCTCACTTCTGATTTTTAATTCACTCATATTGTCTTTGTTCATTAAATTTGTAATCTCAATCTCGTCGTTTTGTTTCAGAAGAAGTCATGTCGAACAAACCAACAAACAGCGCTCTGTCTCCAAAATCATATCAGTACAAGTTGGTTCTTCTGGGTGAATCAGCAGTTGGAAAGTCAAGTCTGGTTCTCAGGTTTGTGAAGGGCCAGTTCCATGATTATCAGGAGAGCACCATTGGAGGTTTTCATTTCATTGTTTCATTCTATTTATTATATAATTATAATTATGCAACATTAAGTCATAATAAAAATAAATAAATAATGTCATTTTAATGATTTTTTAATTCAATATTCATCATGATTCATGATCATAAGAAAGATATTACATTATTTTTAATAAATTTTATATTATATAATTATAATATATTTATCACTTTTATTATTAATATAATTAATTCTTAAACTCAAATATATATTTAGTTATTTAAATTAATTAAACAAATTTGTTATTAGCTTTTTGTTTGAATTTGTTGATAGCTGCTTTTTTGACTCAATCTGTGTGTCTGGAGGATGCAACTGTGAAGTTTGAAATATGGGACACGGCAGGTCAGGAAAGATATCACAGTTTGGCACCCATGTACTACAGAGGTGCTCATGTAGCAATTGTGGTTTATGACATCACATCGCAGGTTATTTAAATAACTTTAAACACCATTAACAAATCTTGATTTATTATATTCATTTGGTTTTAATTTATTTTATTTAAATTTTTTAACGTTTATTAAATATTTATTATCAAAAGTTGCTATTTACTTGGTTTGAAAAATAATTTTCATACTTTCAATTGATCAATTACTGTTACACTGATTAGGATACATTCAGTCGAGCCAAAACCTGGATAAAAGAGTTGCAGAGGCAAGCGAGTGCAGGCATTGTCATTTGCTTGGTGGGCAATAAAATTGATCTGGCTGACAAAAAAATGGTTGAAACTTCTGTAAGTTGAACATTTTGCTTCATTTTTTCTCGTTGTTTTAATTTTGGTTATTGATTTCTTCTCAGTTAAGATTTCAGAAACACAATATGCTTTGCTATTCCAACAGAATAAAAAACTCACCATTAAACTTGAAACTGATTTAAAAATAAAAGATGGGGTTGAATGATTTGTAAAAGTGACAGAATGCAAAATCAGAGTGAGATTAGATCATTCATCAGTCATTGAGAAGTTGTATATTTATAGATTGTCTCTTCAGAAACCAGAGTATATAATCATGATAAATTGATCAAATAATTTATATATAGCAGTTGTGTCAGCTAATTCAAATGGTGATGAATTTTATAATCTCATTTTGTTACAAAACTTTAATGTTGCTAGGAGGCAAAGGCCTATGCAGATGAAAATGGTTTGCTGTTTATGGAGACATCAGCCAAAACGGCCACTAACGTTACAGAACTCTTCATTGCTATTGGTTGGTAATTAGTTTGTCTTTGTTTGATTGACATGTCATGTTGGTGATATCTATTAACTAATTGTTCATATCCAGAGAAACACTGTGAGTTAAATTTACATCAACTATAGTTGTTGAGATTTAGCGATGGATCATTAGTCCTTTGTACTTTCTCATTATTTTCATTTTATCATTACATTGTTGATGGGTTGGTGCCATACAACTCATATGTACAAAACAAAAATAAATCATTTCATGTTACATTCTTATGCATTCATGTCTGTTTATCTTCAAGTCTAGAAACATGTTGCACAAGCATCATAATATGACTAAAGTTTGCTTTTTTGTTTGATTTGGTGTGTGTGCGTGTGTGTGTGTTATTTAACTTGCTGTAAATAATAATGTTAGCTGCTCATAAAATTTAAGGCTCAAGATGGAATTTATTATTTAAATTGAGCTCATGTGTTCAGTTAACCAAAACAAATGTATGATAATCAGTTACTGTTGAGTTTTTCAAGCAGGAAAAATTAACAGTCGGCTAAGAACACGAATGGATTAATTCTTTATGCAAAGTTAACAATTTTGAGGTGCAATTATTTGCTAGCATGTTGTTTTTAGTTGAATTTCTCCAACTGCCAATCTCAAGTCTACTCGTCAGTTTTCATTGGTTGCCTGCGAGTTGACGTGTTTACAGCAAGCTGCACATGGGTCAAGCACTTTGTAGCTCAATATCATTTCAAGTGTTGTTTTTATAATAAAGTGGATGTTATATTTCTATGAAACAATTATTTGCATTTTAACAGCTAAAAAGTTACCGAAGAATGAATCGACCAGCCATTCAGGTCAGATGAGGCGGGGCATCGAACTGAATGCCACACCACAAACAGACAGCCAACAGACTGGATGCTGTAAATAAATCTTTATGAAGGAGGACGCTATCATTCATTCTTTCATTCATTCGTTCATACTAAACTTTTATTTTGTTTCTTTGTCGTTATTATTAATTATCGGTAATGTTTATTATTACTATTAAATAATGAATATTGTTATTAATTGGACATGTTAACGTGATGCGTACACACGCACGCACAAGTTAAACAATGTATGTGCATCAGACAATGTTGCTGTTTGCTGCCTGGTTGTCGCCATGTAGCTGCAGTTGTTTGCATGCACTGCGTACTCCCCGATCTGTGTTTATTAATTACAAAACAATATCCAACTTAGTGTAATACGTCACCTTCAATGTCAAAAAACGGATATATTCAATCACATTTCGACTCTACATTTATTTTAATTTTTCATATCTACTTTATAGACTACGTTACAATGTTTTAATGTGTTTCTAACTTTTCTGGTTATTGGCTTGTTGTGTGACGTTGATTTGAAATTACATTTAAACTGTAAGAATAATTCTTAGAGAAGGTCAGCAAACTCTGTGAAATCCTTTTTAATCTAATAAACATTTAATATTTTTAACATGTGAATATCATTTTTTATTTTATTTTGTATCAAAGTATTTATATGAAAAACTGCAAGGAACTATATTGGTTCTGTTATCTTCAAGAAATATCACATTCACCATCCCGATTGTTAAGAACCTCAGTTTATAAAATTTATTAATAAGATTGATACTACATACATTTATGATGATTTATCAACTGATCGACTTGTACATATGACAAATGTAGTGTTGTGCACCTTGTACCTTACTTATGTAGTGATCGTCATGCTTCGTATGTACAACTGTGAACAACAGCGTACATTTTGTAGTTTATTAAAGAACGATTCATGTTTAATACTAATCCATATTTTAAAATTGGCAAATAATGACAAACACTTCTTGAAAACGAACTGAGTTACTCTACGTGATCGTCTGTGGATCGATATAAGATAGCGAACGTAACGAAAGTTTACAGCCTGCATTGTAACCATATTATATACTCGCATTTGTTAACTGTCTTCATTGATGATCACCATTTTAGCTTTGTACCATTGGACAAAAACTATTCTGATGTATTTTATACGATAAATTTATTAATAATTCGTTTTTTTTTCTCGAAAAATTTGAAAACGTATAGTCTTGTTTGCAATTTATTAAAATTAAAAACAAATAGTGCAAAAAATTAGCTATAGTCTTTTCCGTCAGATAAAGAAAATAGATATTGGCTCGTACCATCAGATTTCACAGAATGGTGAATGTTATCATTCTTCGTCACTTAAATGAATGTTTTGCACAAGCGAACGAACGAACTCGTCGCTCTTGGTACCCAGCAACCTACCACCATCTACCAAACTGCCATCTGTCACGAAATCTTCAGAGTCATCACGCCATCATCAGAGCTGCCTTGATTTGTCACTGTGTACGCATGGACCAGCTGCCAGCAACAAGTTCTTTCTTGTGAAGTGCACATTTAACACTAGACTTGATTTGGTTCTGAATGATCCAAGTTCTGCCGATTTTGTCTGATTTCTGATTGTTAAAAAAGTTGTCTAATTAATCTTCTAATTGTTTGATTGAAATATTGATTATTCTAAAGAAATAAGAATTGAGTAATCTGGATGTCTGTAGACCGTGATAAATATCCTAATCACGTATAGCAAAAGTGCCATCTTGAAATCTCAACTTTAAAATTTCAATAAAGTCGATAACTCCGATCTTTCGTGAGTCAGGTCAGAATTCGGATATGGAGGAGAGCCAGCATAGAAATCAAACTGACTGCTATATTTTATATTTTCAAAAGTTTTCTAGATTATTCAAATTATCTGAGTCAGAATTAGGTGATTCTGCAGTTGATTCAATGAGTGAGAAAACGTCTTCATATTGTTGTTAGGTGACACCAAAAAAACTATAATTGATTGCAAATTATATACAGGTCTTGAAAAAATTAATAAAACCAAATGAATAAAACTAACTTGTTAGCACTATTATTGTAATCTGAACTAGAGGAATTGATTTTATTGATGTCCCATATCTTAACCATTCCATCCATTCCACCTATGAGTGTTGTTCAAGCATCAACATTATTCATCAAGCAAGTTAACAATAAGAGTAACGCAAAACTCAAAACCCAGCATTCAGTCCTCCAAAAAAGCAGCACAATAAGAACTCAGTGAGCATAAAGCTGAACTAATTCTATTTTATTGTAACAAAACAGTGAAATTTATTTAATCATATAATTGTAATGAAATTCTAATTAGTAACAGTAAAGTTGAAAACACAACAGAAAATTTGTAATTAATTAATTGCCAGGACATCTAATTCATCGCGCCTCTTAAAATATATATGATACATTAACTGACAATCATAAAAGCAAAAAGAGCAAGGTTGAGAACTGGACAACTCAAAGGAAGAACCACCGAAAAATAATTTTATGAGACGGAGAGAGGCATGGAAAAAGTCGAAGAAGTAACAAACCGGAAGCCAGCACAGTGCTGTCCCTGCTGAACGAGACGCACTTGACGGCCCTGTTGTGACCAAGCATGTTCAAAGCCGACTCCCCGTTTGATAAATCCCAAATGAAAATCTTGTTGTCGCGACCTAATAAATGTTAGTAATTCGTGAATATTCAATTTAATTTAAATTGATGTTTTTTAACTTTTCAAAAAGTTGAAGTGATAACAACAAAAAAAAACCCTACAAGATGTATAATAAACCAAAAATAACATGTATGAAAACAAACCTTGAATTATCACAAACGAAATTACGAAAGTTCAACAGCAGATTTACATTTATTTCTCTATTCAAAATCAGTTTACACTTCAAATAAAAATTTAAAAAAATCAAAATTCAGTATTGAATTCTAGGAAAACTCTCCATAAATACAATATAACAAGACATACAATAAACAAAATATATAAATAATTTGCCCTACCAAATAAATGAACGAACGAATGAATGAGTGAACAAATAAATAAATGAACAAACGAATGAACGAACGAACTAATGAATGAATGAATGAGTAAATGAACGAGCAAAACTCACCAGCAGATGCCAAATACCGACCGCACGAGGAGAACTTTAAGACGTCGATAGTGGCCTGAAGTAATTAAGTTGTATATATGTTTATATGCGAATATAATTGAATGATTGTACATCAAATGAATGTGTGTGTGTGCTGTGTGTGAGCGGTGTGTGTGTGTCAAACTGGAAAGAGTGAGTGTACCATACATAAAATGTTTGCATTAAAATTGTAACTGATATGGTAAAAAAGATAATAAATAAATAAAAAGAAATAAATAAAAAAGAAATAAAAAAAAAGTTTTGTAACATCAACAATCATCAATTAAGAGACTGTTTTTACAATGTGAGATAGTAAGAGACTTCACCTAAGCATCAAATTAGACAAAAAGTTATATTCAACGCATTCACACTCCTAACACTACCCTTCCACAAACTGACTGATACATTGAAATAAATTTCTCACATAATACATTTTAGCGGCATATCAGCAAGCAATGTTCTGATAGGAGTAATTTTCAAGAGACCAACAAATGACCACTCTCACAAAATAGCCAACACCAACCTGATGGCCAGTCATAATTCGAACACATGATCCATTGAGCATGTCCCACAACCGAACCGTCCGATCGGCTGATCCAGTGGCCACGTAGTTGCAATTCGGATGAAATTCAACCGACTGAGTAAAAAAAAATTGTTAACTCAAAAGTGCCATCATTTTTTCATTGAAGATATTTTTTAAAAAATAAGAAAAAAATTGTAAAAATGCATGGAACAGAAGCATACCGTAACATCAGATTGATGTCCAACAAAAAGTCGAAGTGGTTGATAGTGATCAGTGGACCAGACACGGGCTGTTTTGTCCTGACCACAGGATGCAAAGTACTGGCCAAGTGGACTGCAATTCATTAATCAAAAATTACATTTATTCAGGATTTCATTGAAGATTAATATTCTAAATAATTTTTGTGCAAAACATGGAAAAATGAACGGCATTGCGTTAAAAAATAAATAAATAAAATAGAAGAAGAGTAATGGAGTACTGAATGAACTGACCTGAACTTGGCGTCCCAGACTGGGTACATGTGTCCTCGGAAGCAGACGAGATTTGACCAGGTCAACATGCTCCACAGACGAACTGAATCATCCAAATTCAATATTTTTATAATCATTACGCCTATACATATATATATTACAAAAATATAATCTAATTAAATATACATAACCAATCAGGGAATTACTATTTAAGCAACAATTGGCACCTGAAAACAGAGCAAATAATTTTATTTAAAAAAAAAGTTTTTTTGAAATGTAAAAGAAACCTGATCCATCTTCGGAGCCGGAAATGATTTGAGTGCGGTCAGGTGAAAATGAAGCTGAGTAAACAGGCCCAGAATGTCCACACAATAATCTGTTTGGTGATGGTGTTGTTTTTGTTGATGATGTTAATTGATTGATTAATTGATTGATTGATTGATTGATTGATATGGTTGTTGATTTGATGGTGTTGTTAATGTTGATATGTTGTTTGTTATGTTGATGATGAGTTTGCATTATCTGTTTAACATTTAAGATATTATCATTTAAGATTTAAAATGTGACAAAACATTTGAATTTAATGCAGTCTGTGCAAAATATCATTGCAGACAATCTCTTCAAGTGCTAACTGCACACTACATACAACACACACACACACACGCACACACACACACATGCACATCACAATACACAGAAACATCAGCTAAACGTCACTGGACAACTAACCTGCAATCTTTACCTGATTTTTCATCCATCGCTCGTTCCATGATATCATCTGAACAAAAAAATTAACAATAATTGTATGGTTATCACATGGTTTTAAAAAAATTTTAGCATGCACTATAAAAACACAAGCGTAAGCATCAATTCTATTTTCAAACAAACACACCAAAAACATTAAAATAAGCTTGCCATCATTAATAAACCATCTAAAAAATCATAAAAGATCATAAAAAATTATAGATCGTACAAGCAAACAATAAGGCATAAAGCCACAAATAAATACATACAGACATATCCATACATACACAAATACACAAGACATACAGACAGACACAGATATACACTCGTACATACATAACATACACAGAGCCAATGCACAAGCAGTATACTACCTGATTCTTTGTCTAACAACTCCAATTCGTCTGGATGCTTCAAACTGTACAGTTTGTTGTTGCTGTTTACGGACCAGACACGAATAGTTGAGTCAGCGAAGCCAGCTGATATGAGCGATGAATCTTCACTTATCTCCAAACTTGTCACACTTAATTCGAATGATGTTTTAAACACAATTGTGATCATAAATTATATACAATCATATATTAATAATTAACAACAGTAAGCATTCCACAAATTCATGCATGCATAGCATGCAACATTTATTTAATGCTTTGATTTGGTGCAAATTGAAAAATGTAATAAAATTGTAATAAAAAAATAGAACCTCTGTGAAGGATTGATAAATGTAAAGAAGCAGATGGTGGGCATGCTGTCGGGTCCCAGTGGCACCTTACGGGCCAACTCCCTCATAGCTCGGATACGCTCACTCTTGTCAATATCTCTCCTTTTGAAATGACAACTAAATTAATAATCCTATACTTCAAGCAAGCATGGGTGAGTAATAATAATAATAATGACATAATGAATAATAACACAATTAATCAATGACACAATGAAAACTGAATGAACTCAAATGATAATGAGCACCAACAATTCAGGAAGTGGAATCCTATTCTGTGGGGGTGAGTTTGGATCATTCTTTGGCTTTTTTGTCAGCAACATGTCCCTCTTCAATTTTTTTTTCTAAAAAATTGAAGAAACAATTAGCATCATCCAAGAGTTTTGACAACAAAAACTTTGAAAACCTAAGTATTTTACAGACAAACATTTGTATGTGTGTCTGTGGTGTGCGTGAAAATAACCTTAGGCGGTTTTAGATCCTCATTGTGATTGAATGAAGCATTGTTGAATGACTCATCTTCCTCATCATCGTCGTCGAGAGGTATATTGAATTCGGGCTCCTTCAACAGACCGTACAACACTTTTGTCTTGTTAACTGTTTATTACATCAGTTATTGGATTAGTAGGTCAGTCGCGATGAAACTCAACCACTTCATCATGCAAACTAAATGCTTTGTGAACTATTAAAGCAGCAAAAAGTAACAGAAAAAAAAATAATAGGCTACCTTCTTTTTTGATCTCAGCTAACGATGAACCCACATACAAGTCAGTATGAGATTTGCTCCTTGAAACAATATCTACCTAATAATTAAAATGAGCAATTCTTTAGAATATTTAAAAATTCAAATTAGTGTTACAAGATCAATAAAAATATCAAAAATTCAAAATTATAATTTCAACAGAATGTAAACAAATAATGAAAAATGTGAGCAATGAATAAATTAGTACTAACATCAGGATTCAGTTGTTCGAGCTTTCGCTTCAACAACAGCAACTCATTTTCTCTTTGCAAAATTTCTTTTTTTAAATCTTCTTCATTCATTTTTCTTTACTTCACCTGCTTTTTCTGCTTGTTTAATTTTTAATTTATTCTAATCAATAACAACCTAATCAAAAATACTAAAAAATAAAATGCAAATTATTACCAGACTATCTGCATGTAATAATTCATGTTGCTTCAGCCTAAGCCCTAACTCGGCTTGCTGAATGTTGTTAATTTTAATTTAAAATATTATTTACTTTGATCAAATAATTAATGATTAAGAAGCCAAAGAAAAGAAACTAATATGAAATTAAAAAATTAAGAAATCTAAAAGTTAACTTTTACATGTTCGACTGTTTTGTTAATAAGACTCAATATGCTAGAAACCACTAGATTACTACTTACTAGAAAGTAGACTACTTCTTTGAGGTTGAACTTTCTCTGAAGTTGAACTTAGCAGTGGGAGTTAAATTATTAAAATTTTAATATTAAAGTGAGTTAGTTCTTTGAAGTTGAACTTTCTTTAAAGTTGAACTTAGAGGAGGGAGTTAAATTTAAATATTTTAAGTGAGTTAGTTTTTTAGTTCCCCATGGTAGTATGTAGGTAGGTAGTAGTATTATACTATAATAATAAATAAATAAATGAATAACTGTCACACTTTGAAACAAATTTCAAAACGAATGCAATTAAATTAAATTATAACGATCGATCCCCCCACAAGAAACAAACAAATACGGATCGATCAACCACCTCCCGAAATTTTCACAACTCAAATTCCCCAACCACTATTTTATTTACAATTTAAACGAGTGAAGAAATTGTTTACAAGCATGAATATATATATATATATATAGAATGATGATGAGGATGTACAAAGTCAAAAAAGTTATGGAAAGTTCAGTAAAAACCATAGATACAAATACTCGTAAATGTCAAACATTCGAATTTCTACAAAAATTTAAGGCTCATGAAACTTTTATTTTTTTTAGGTATTATAAGTTGTGCTATAAAATTATCTCAACTAATTATTATCTTGATTTTGTGTTTCCATAATTAATGATTTGTTACCTTTGTTATATTTGTCGTTTTGTAGAACTGTCTTTAGATTTTAAAAGGTATCAATTGTAAAACTACTGATATGTAAGCCATAGATATATATAGTATCTATGATGTAAGCACATAACGAGTTGTAAAGGTAGTCGGGTCAGATTAAGGGTGGTGGTGGAAATCTCATAGTTATAGACTATGAGATTTCCGTTGTAAATGTTGGAATATTGCATTTTTCTGAATGGTCATAATGTGTATATAAAGAGTGAAATGGATTTGTTTCATTATAAGACGAAAGTATTGTGACAATTTATGGAGGTACAAATAAGGGCTGCACTCTGTACTGTTTGTAGGCGGGTTAAATTGGTTTTTGAAGTGATTTGAACCCAGACTGGGCATGCATATTCGAGCACTGCTCTTTGGTAGTTTTATAGGTGAAGAATTAATGTTTCTTTGTTCTTTAGGACTTTGTTACGTTTAATGGCTTTGGCTGCTGATTTTTTATGGTGAGGTGTAAAGGTAAGCATATATCCATGGGTGAGCATGGTATCAACTGTAAAGCAAAGAATCATAGAGTTGCGTTCGAGCAGTAGTAACTTATTGTTGGTTTTGATTTGAGAATGATAGTGATATTAGACAGTGTGAGATATGATAAGAAATGTAACCGTTAACTTAGCTGGGGAAATTTCAAAGTTACGAGAATTGAAAAATTTTTAAAGTGTTGAGAGGTAGTTGTTGAGTGAGAAGATTTGCATCTGGTCCAGTGGAGTAGATGGTAAAATTGTCTACATATGATAATATTTTGATGTTAGAAGGGTGTTGAGGTATTTTTGAGACGTAGTAGTTTAGTGGTTGAAGATAAAACAGAACCTTGAGGTACACCAGTGTGGATGATAAGTTGTTTTGATGAATGGGGTCGAAATTTTGTTGAAGGGGAGAATCTGTGTAGGTGTAGCTTATTTTACTAAGTCAGATATATATATATATATATATATATATATATATATATATATATATATATATATATATATATCAGGGCTTCGAACCGTAATTTTTTTCGTTCCGGTTTTCGGTTTTGGTTCGACTAACAAAATATATTTCGGTTCAGTTCCGGTTTTCGTTCCAGATAAAATTTCGGTTCCGGTTATCGGTTCAGTTCCGGGAAACGTTTTGCCCATCAAAGTTATTAAATTTTGTAAATGGTCATCACAATCCTACTGGCGCAAATTTGTGAAGCAAAGTGAATAAACACTTATAAAACGATGTAAAATTATTGATAAGAAGCCAAATTAATTTTCAATTTTAATAAAAAATTTTAAATTAAAAATTCCGTAACAAATAATTCTGAATGCAATAATCACGAAACTTAGCGAAAAAAAATTAATTATCTTCCAGACAAGAAATGAAAAGTGAATTTCTTTGACATTACGTGGTGGAGCGCGCTAATAAATTTGCGGGCAAATATATTTAATTAATTATATTTAAATGCGTTTTTATAAATGTTGCCGGTATCGCGTGTATCGGATATTCTAGTTATTGACATATTGTTAATTAAATAAATAGAAGATTACAAATGATCAAAGATATTATACAAACATTGAAAAATAACAAAGACTTTTGAAAAATTATTTATAGAAGTGCTCGTTACAAAAAATATATTAACGGCTTCGAACCGGAACGTTATTTTTTTCGTTCCGGTTTTCGGTTTCGGTTCGGCAAGCAAAAAATATTTCGGTTCAGTTCCGAGTTTCGTTCCGGCTAAAATATCGGTTTTTTCCGGTTTTCGGTTTCGGTTCTGTTCCGGTTCAAAAGCCCTGATATATATATAATCAGATATATATATATATATATATATATATATATATATATACATATTAATTAAACATTAACGCTTCGGTTTACGATGATCATCTCGTTCTCACCTTTTCTAAACACCTATTAAACACTCTTATGTTAAATTTAACATTCTTATGCTTATTTTCTCTTCACTAGCAGTTAAAAATTTATTGCAGATGAGCATGCAGTTATGATAACGGAAAATAAAGAATGGGGTAAGAATATTTTAGCATAACAAGCATTGAAAACCATATAATGATTTAATAAAACGAATAAATAGATTAATTAGTTAATTGAATAGTTGATGACATAGTAAGTTATGTGTTCATTAAGGAAAAAGAAGACAAAATTGACCAAATGACGGATATTTGTTTTTGTTTGTTTTGTTTTCTGACCCTTTTCTCTGGAAGTCTCTACCTCCTTCTCCAACTACTTCCTCATCACTTGGGCAAGTTCAGAGAGGATCTCAAGATCCATGTGTGAGATAATAATTAATATATAATTAGACCGTATCTAACCAAAAATGTCGCTTGAGGGCAAAATCGTCAAACAACAACTCTCCTTTTTCGGCCATGTTATGCGCGCAAAATCGCTGGAAACTTCAATGATGCTAGGTAAAGTGAGTGGGACAAGAAGAAAAGGACGGCAAAGAATAAGTTGGCTTGATACAATCACATCGGCTACCAAAATAACGATCTCAGAACTTAAAATAATCGTCGAGGACAGGAACGCATGGAGAAGACAGATCCATAAAGTGGCAGAAAGTCGACTTCGACTAAATGGCTAATAATGATTACATCATCATCATCATCATATAATTAACACGTTTTTTTAGCTTTAGTTGAACCAATTTAACAACAAATTGTAAACATCTTTTTGTCGAGCGTATGTCGTTGGTAGATGGTTGATTTTATAAGATAAAGTATGTGTTTTATGTTTTATATTCGTTGACACGTCTAACCGGTCGAGACGTTGGCTTGTCTTTACTTTACTACTCAAATGCTTTTTAGCACAAAAAATCTGGGATGTGGTTTTCAGTTTTTATTATCAAATTATTATCCTTTAATTACTAATATTAATTAAAAATAAATAAAATAAATAAATAAATCAATTTTATTTTATAATATAATTTTATATTTTTTAAATAATGGTGTTATTATTTATTATAATAGATTGATATTTCATATTTCACTTGGTATTTCACCACAGTACACCTTTGAGATTTTTTTTAGAAATTATTTAAGTGTTTTTCTGTTTATCCATTTATTTTTTATGCCTTATGCTTATATTGCTCAGTCAAACTGTTTTTATTTTTCTTATTACTTTTATTAGTTATATATTTTGAAACTTAATCATAAAATGTATTGCTAATCTAAATAATATTAATTAAAAAACTTGTCAATAGTCAAGATCTTATTAATGTTTTTCATATTTTGACTATTTTACTCTAATTTTATTTTAATTATTATTAAATTTAAATCAAGTTGTTGGTTTTTTCTTGTATTATTGATTTTGAAGTTATTTATTTTTCTCTTCTCTCAATATTAAAAATTAATTTATATTAAGTATATAATAACAATTATATATTAATTTAATATTTTAATAGATATTAAACAAAAGATTTGAAAATGATGTTTATCCTTTATTTAATAATCATTCAGTCAACTCAGAGCATATGAAAGGAATATCAATATATGAACAGCTAACAAAAAACAGATTTTAAAATGGGAGCCAATAACAGTACTCTATCAAAAGATTTGTCAAACAATGAATATTTGTTAAAATTATCTGGTCCAGATTACATTTCACCCAATGAGCCATTTTGGAACCAGTTGCTGTCATTTGCATTCAGTGTCCCCAAAACGAGGTACTGTTTGTTTATTTGTTTCATTTTTAAATATAGCTTCAGTTTGATGGAAGATGTAGTAAATAAATAAATAAACAAATAAATAATAAGATATTTGATACAAAGAAATTTCTGTTTTTTTTTTTGTATACAGCTACAATCATTTTTGAAGTGCCTACAAATTGTTCTTCACTTTGTAAGAAAAATTACACTTTTATAATTCAAGTACAAAAACTTTGCACAGATCTATTGCACAAATGATAGCATCTAGGTTTTGACCAGACAGCATTTGAACCAGACTAGCATGCAGTTACAAAGCATGAGCTGGCACTCACAATACAAAAACTGACTTGCTATTCATTTTGGAAATGTATTATTAATCTGCTTTGTAGAAAATCACCTACTTGTCATTAATTTTCATAAAATTATATCGTAATTTTCCATTCCATGCTAAAGACAATTTTGAATAAATTGGAATTTTTTTATTTATTCAGTATATATTATAATTTCAGTGCTGATCAAAGACACCTAGAAGACATAACATCAAATCTTTGTAAGAACTTTGCAATAAACAACTGCAGAACAGGAAACTTTGGCTCCCTCATTAGAGTATTTCTCATGAGAGCCAATGAATTGTCCACATCTGCACTTTGCAAAGAGTATGACATGAATTTGGCTTTTATTATTTTTACATCAATCTATTACAGATGCACTAATTATATTTCATTGCTATAGCAATTAACTAATAATGTCCTGGTTATGACATTAAACTGACCCTCACTGCCTTGTGAGGGATGTTGGATCATCAAAGGCTAGGCCCACCGCTTATAACTGTGGTTGCGTAAGGAAGGGCGTCCTGCGTAAAAATTAGCCAAATAAATTACTTATGATGGAATGGCATCGAGGGGTATTTCGGTTTCATCATAGGTAGCCAAACGGCAACCCCCGATCTCGGGGAAAATGTCGTCTAAACGTGTGTTGTTGTTGTTGTTTATAGCAATTAACTAATTATTCTATATTAATAATATAATTACTATTATGTTACAGTGATTTGTTCACTTGGCAAACGTGCAATGCTTTGTTCATCATTCGAATTGTTTGTAAGTATTTCATTGAAAATCTAACTGAAGAAGTTGTTGTTCAACAGTTTGAAACAATCAACTATACTGAAGGTTATATAAGAAAAAAATGACATTCCAATGTTTTGTCTTTTTGAAATTATCATCTCACAATAACCTTTATGATGGCCATATCAATGCTATTTGATGTTGCAATTGTCCAAGAATGAATTTTGTTGTTTGTTTGCAAGTTATTTATATTAATTGTTATGTTTGTTGACAGGTACGAACCAGTTGGAAGCAAGGGATGCATTGATGGAGGAGTTCCTCAACAGATTGGTCTACATCCTCATAGATGTTCCTCAAACGTCAGTCATCTTTAATAATATCTTTTTTGAATTTTTTAAAATGGGAAATTTAAGTAATGTTTTTCAATTATTGTCTACATTCCAATTTCTCAATGATAAATTGTTGGGTTAGATGATTAAATAAATGATAATTTTATGACATTGCAAACAGGGATGTGACATATTCCATTCACATCGAATGCATCAACATCATACTTTCTTTACTGTCCATTCAATTGTTTCAAATGAGTCCAGCGTCAGAGTCAATGCTTCATAGATGTTTCATGCAAGGAAAGTGGTCAGTCGGATGCCTCTGCTATTTTCTTCTCATCAATTAACTTTATTAACTTTTCATAATTATAAAATAATGCGTATATAGTACTTGCTGTACATCAAAATAAAAGCAGAAAATAATTACAAACAATTTTTAAGTTTTGGTTAATAAACTTCTCATATAGAAGGTTATAAAATAAAATGCAGTTATTTACCATATGAAACACTTTTTGAGGCTTTTTGAATCTTAAGTTAATTATGCCTGAAACTTAGCCTTCGGTTATGTTTATATAAGGAAAACATGTAACATTTTCTAATAGTTTTTACAGTTACCAATAATACTGAGCCAATCAATGTTTTAAAAGTTGCTGTTGTTATTCTCATCGTAACCAATGAATTATATTATTTTATGCTTGGTTTATTTTTGTGTATGTCATTATTAAGTTTTGTGAACATCACCCTCCAGTTCAAGAAATTCATGCAAGTTAGTGAAAAATTTGTTGGAGACTTTCACTTCACAATGCAGAACGAACAACAACACACCACACGGAGCTCTCTATGGGGTTGCTTGTAGGTTTATATGTTTGTAATTATCATATCAAGTCATATGAATTTCATATTTAACTTGATGATGACAGCAAATAGTGATAAATTATGATAGCTAATGATGATAGATGATGATGAACTATCACATCAGCCAGTTTGTGGAGTGTTGTAACGTTGGGACTGGCCAATCAAAAAACAGAGCATGTTGTGAATGAATCACGGGCAATGCTGGCCAATCAGAGTCTGTTACTGTTGTTGGTTCTGTGCAACCAGTTTTGCTCAAATGGTTCTTTCATTAACCCCTATCAAACGGCCTTCTTGTCTCTTCATGATGATATACCGAATGGTAATGACACATTTTCACATGCAAGAATTAATGAAACCAAAATTTTGTTGATTACTTTATGTTCAGATAATAAATTTTTCAACACGTTAATGTCAACCTAGGCATGAAATTTTATCTAATTTTACACAGGAAACGTAATTTCTGAACATTATTTTAACTGTTATAAATTCTTCCGTTAATTCAAAATTGATTCAGCAATAGAAACGCCAGCCACAAGAGACCACATTTCGGTGAAATTTTTAGACTTGTACACAACGATATGCAGTACAATAAAGACAGACACCTGTACATTGCTTGTCTACATGTTACTACACAGAGTTGAACCTTTCAAAACATATTGCCTGTCCAGAACAAACATCGAACAGTTGGTTGGTCTTTTTTATTAATTGTCTATGTTAACTTGTGCTTGATCATATACTTTTGCTATTTTGTACAGCAACTATTATATGTAAGTGACTACTTTAGTGTAGAATAAACCTTTTCATGCTGCTTACTTGATATTTTCATCAGACATAAAAAACGCAAATTTTTCATTTTCATTATCCTGTAACATTCCAAGCAATTCTTTCAGTAATTTAAAAAATGTAAAGTTATAAAATTAATTTTAATACATGTAGAAAGAAAATTTGGATAAAAATGTGCACTGCATATGTTTATACTGCCAGATACATCTTTCATAATATTATTTCTTTGTGAAAGGTTCTTCCTATACTTGAGATGTTGTACAACAGTCACGAGGGTAACTCCCAGCACCTCTACATGGCCCTCATCATCATTCTCATCTTGAGTGAGGATGCTAACTTCAGTCTTGCAGTTCATGACATTGTTTGTACTTTTACATTCCTTCATCTCTTTTTAATAATAATTTAAATAAATTCGATGAAATCACGATTTATTTTCTTCATTTTATTCTTCTATCATCGTTTTGTACCTAAGCTTATTCTAACTTAGTTGAATGTTTTGTTAGCTTATCATGTTTATTTGTTTTTACAATATCCATTAATCTGCAAATCGTTTATAAACTTTTTTCGTCACAAAAATTTCATTATATTTCTATATTTGCTGCTACTATAAATCTTTACCTCTTAATCAAAATTTTCTACATTTACCTCGTTGTAGTAAAAAATTGTTGTTGTCGAAACCATGCAGCCAATCTCGAAGCAAATACCATGGTTTAACGAGCGCCAGTTGGGTGAGATATCTCTGGGAGGGCTGATGGTTCTTGTGCTTGTGCGTACAATTCAGTACAACATGACTCGAATGAGGGTTTGCTCTGCTTCATTTATTTCGCTTTTTTTCTTATTTAATAAATATTTTTACTTTAAATTAATATTTTTTGTAATGAAACCTGTTGTTACCTACTAAAAATTATAAAGTTAATTAATCTTTATTCCCGTTTTTAGTTTATCATCTTTTTTTTTATCTATTGAGAATCAAAGCAATTCAAAAATGTTAAAAAATTCCTCTTCAGTTATCTACTATACTCATTATCAAGTTGATTGATGTAGGCAACAAGCACTTAACTGAAATCATTCTCAGGATCAGTACCTGCATACGAATTGTCTTGGTGCCCTTGCAAACATGTCTTCACACTTCATGAACCTGCATCCCTACGTGGCTCAGAGATTGGTCAGGTAGGTGTGTGTGTATGCTGGTGCGTTTGTACATTTGCACATATGTACGTGCCAGTATGTACTGTATTTGTGGGTTCGTGTGTGTATGATGTATATGCGCCACCGAATCAAGATATATCGTGCTTCAATCATATCATGTGAGCTTAATGTGCTTGCTTGTTTTAATTTTTCTTTGATTTGATTTTTATTAGTTTGATCTTTTTTTTTTAATTATAATAATTTTAATCTACAACAATACTTGAATTAACTCAAGCCTGTTCGCACTGTTGTTGAAAAAGCACAAAAAAGCAGCGGATAGATTGAAGGAGATAGCAGAAATCGCTAGAACAAATGAAAACAAGGTTTTGTGTAAATAACTCATTGAGTTTATCTGATCGATTTGATCTAATAGAATATCTTAATTAATTAATTGATTGGTTGATTTTATCTTATTGATTTTGATTATTACATATGATAGATTGTATTTGATGTTTGGTTGAATAAACATGATTGAATAGTTAGGTGGTTGATTGATTGATTGATCCATACATATTATGCTGATTAATTTAGATATATAGCTGATTGTATCAGTTGGATTTCGTTGAAATGATTTGATTTTATTTGATTGAATGTATATCACTGAGTGTTTTCTAATATACATTGATTTTGATGGTACCTGATGGGACTAATTAATTTCATCTGTTAAATTGTTTTGCCTCTTTTGTTGCAACGCCAACTTCAGCATTCAGGCTTCTGTCGAATTATCTTCTAATCGGTGTTACTTATTGATTTTAATACAGGAAAATGGTAGCTGTGCCTCTGAAGATGAATGTGATCAGGTTTTCTTTACATTTTTCTGCATTTTAATTTTTTTTTTTTTTCTTTATACAGCAATCAAACTCTGAGATTAATACAACATGCAGGGAATTAATACAACAATATAAAGGATTAATATAAAATAGGGATATAATGCAAAAATACATCTTTCTTATATCGATGATGTCTTTAAAAATTTCTCGTGATAAATGGATCATAAAATAATTCGATTGTGCAATATTGTCGTGATGATTATGCTAATTTGTAGGCGTGATTTAAATAGACCGTTCATTTACTTGATCATGAAGATTTTTAAGATTTTCATTCCATTGTTACAGGAATTGGCGGTGATTGAGGAAGTTATTCGCATGACGTTGGAGATTTTGAACTCCTGTTTGTGCCACTCATTGAATTATAACCCTAATCTCGTCTACACCATGCTCTACCAGAAGGAAATTTTTGTCCAACTTTCCAGCCACCCAAGCTTTCAGGATATTGTATTTAATATTGAAATGGTTAGTTAGCTCCAATTAATTTTTTTGATTGTTTTTGATTATTCATCTGTTTAACGAGCTGATATTGAGATATCTAATTGAATTTGACAGATATTAAATTACTTTGCATCTTGTTTGGAGAAGCAGGGTGGTTCGTTGTCAGTAACTGAAGTACATGCTCTCATCAAACAGGCTGGTCTGCAGTTTAAGAAAGATCGACTAAAAGTAAGTAAACTTAATTTTGTTTATTTTTTTTTATTTTTGTGGCATCCGATTTGGTTTCTAATTTTAAATGGCCGAAATTCAGTAAAAAATCATTTTTGGTTTTGTTCACACATATCAAAGATCATAAAAGTATAAGCCTGTAAGAGTTTTTCTACACATCTTTTAAAAGATTTATATTTTTTATTCAAGTTTTAATTATTGTTCAACGAATTCGATAATTTAATTCTACCGTTAACAATCGTTTTACGATAAATGTCCCACTAAGAAATTTCCAGAGCTGAAGTTTCGGTACGTAGAGGAGGAAAGACCTGAAGAATTTTTCGTTCCTTATGTTTGGTCTTTAGTCTACAAGTTCTCTCACATCTACTTCAACCCATCCAGGATCAGGTTGTTCCCAGCCTGACCGTTTATCGTTGAATTATTTTCGATTGTTATTAAATGGTTCTTATATATTTGTACATATATATATATATATATATAAACATATATATATATATAAACATATATATATATATATATATATATATATACGACTGAATTCAAACATCATTTTTCGGTTTTGAACGGTTGAAAAATTTCTCACAATAAAAGCACTTTGGGCTCAACATTTTTCTAGCGGTGAATTCGAACCGAGAATTCGTGTTAGGTATAGACGCTTTGCAAAGTTAATAGCTGCATACAGAAGGCAGTCGTTTAACCTTTTTTGACACTTATTCCTTGAAGAACCATTGGTGATTTTGAACCTCGAGTGACTAAGTTTTGTAATATATGCTTTTTATCGGGTTACTTTATACGTCTTATTTTTTTAAATGACGAACTTGCGAAGTGGTAAAATTTATTTGTGGAAAATGTTTAAAACCATTTATCGGGATTGATAAATCTAAATACAAGTGATGGAACAATAGTATTTAATGAACATATTTTGAATGTAAGTATATATACTTTTTGCCATATCAGAGTAGTAATATTTATAACATAATTAAAACCATGTTCAACGATATAACAATTTCAAATGTAAAGATTTAGAGACACATCACAAACAGCTTCGGGGTGCAGCAAGCCAAGATCGGACATAATAGTGTTGATGAATTTTGGCGCCACATAGTCAACGCGTGGATGCTCTTTTGTCGTGTCTGCGTTTGGATTTTGCCTCAGAATTGGAAACTAAGGAAAAATGATTGAAACACATTAGCAAGAAAAATTATGAAGCATCTTTAATGAAAAACGATATAACATATTTGCGCGAGCGATGTCCCATTATAATTATTATTAGGTCATTATTATTTATTTTTGAAATGTATTTACTGCGTAATGTTCTGGTACACATTTGGTGCTTAAAGGAAACTCCTTTGAGAATTTGTAACTTTCTGCGGCGACAAACACAGGTTTGTTCAAACAACTGGCACACATCGCTATTGAACTTGAACCTATCTAAAAAATTTTAATCAATTAGTCACCATCATAATAAAATTTCTAATAATATTAATAAATATTAAATTTATGACATTCAACTAGCCAGTCATTTTTTTGAAGTTGTTCATTTATCAAAGGAAACAGTAAAACATTAACGAATTAATATTCTAAAACGTGTAAGACTAAGTGATAAACATAGAACTTAAAGAAATATAGAGGTGGGCTAAAATGAAAATGTAACATTTTTACTTTGTACATGCATAGTGGTTATCAGTTGCTTAGAGTTTAAATTTTGTGATGCTAGTGCATGAAAAAATTAGTAAAATTTTGCCTCAACAAACCTTGTTTAAGATCCCTCCATTTTGGCAGACCATTTCTGCTCCTATCAACACCATGTCTACTTTATTCATTATGTAACTGAAATGAAAAATTAAGAATTGGACTAAATTATTATTGCTACAACAGGTGTTCATTTTCTGGGTCACTTACCCAACAGCAGAATCTAGTATAAGAAATGTTTCTATTCCTTCTGCTTTTAATGCCTCATACATTTTTATGCTGAAATTTGTTAAGTGGTTCAGTTTTTAGCTATCAAAATAAAAAATAAAAATTAAGTAAGACCTACCCAGAGCAGTCTGGTCGAGACTCAGTTACATAAACTGTATTTTTACGTTTTTTCCAAGCTTTCAAAATATGTAGCACCACACGAGAATATGAGTGGACTAATACTGCCTAGAAGAACAATTTATTACATTATCCAGTTTTTGTCATTTCAAAGAATATTTAAATCCAGCAAACTCACTCCTTTTAAATAAGTGGTATTGGCAATTTCAGCTATCATGTCCTTTGCTATTCTTTTCTTATTTAAAAAATCACGACCTCTTTTGAGTAAAATTTCTTTACAGTCATCATAGCTCTATATCATATAATATATTTAGTGTGCTTAATGCAATATATTAAAATATTTTTGAGAACTGTCAAATTTACAAAAAATTGTATAAAATGTGGTAGTAAATTTGAAAATCTAACATACGGTCGTGTCAATTTCAGTAGTTAATGAGATGTACCTGACAAACATGTCACATGCAGATGTTACAGATGCCACTTTCTTGTCAATTTTTGACAAAATATTTATAGCTGTCATCAAATCCTCATTAAGACCACGTAATGTGGTGTCTGTGTAAAAGAATAGCAACAAATTGAATAACACGTGTACCAGTCATGAGTGTTATACAATGATTAATTATTATTTTATGACACTTAAGAAGACTCAACACATACTTTTATTTACTTTAATGAACTGGATCAGTGTATCCACAGCATGTAAAGCTTCTGAAACATTCTTGTCTCCTTTAACAGCTTCATTGAAAAAACTTGTAATTTCTGTTAATTTTGTTATTTTTTTTTAAATTAAAAAAGTTAAATATCAATAGAACATCATGCAAAATATTAGCAGCTTTTTATTGGTCAGGGTGGTTGATGAGTTAAACATAGTCTAATGACTGTTCATTGATTTTATTAAAATGACAAACACCCATAGTTTGTTAATTAGATGCATTTTAACCATTGCCAAAATCGTATGACCATAAGTAAGATAACTGTAACCATTTAAATAACACATTAGCTTTTATTAATAGCTTACATCTCATCCCAGTAAGCTGTTCATAATTTTTGTATGTCTAAGTCTGATCATTCAAACTTCCCTAACCATTTTTTAAGCCACATTCTCGGATTCAAATGCTTTACACCCTTTTTTGTTATCTCTTTTATTCATTTAAACTTATTCTTATTTAAAATTTTGTGTATACATTTCTTAAATATTTTTCTTTCTTATTACTTACTGATATCCTTTTCTTTCAGTTTCAGCAACAATTAAAATTAAATTAAAGAGAGAAAAAGTAGCTTAGTTGCCCACAATAAAATGCAACTTAAAAAGATTAAATTAAATAGTAAAATGTGCCAGCAGAAGAGACAGCGAATGCAGGTGAGAATGAAGACAAGCCATATGCAGCATAAAGTATAAAAATATGATGCAGGTATACTGTATATAGGAACTAGGTATTGGTATAATATATTATATTAATAATTAATACATTAACAAGTATTTCATACTTGAGTTGAAAATTTATATTTTTTATTATATTTTATTATCACTGTTATTTATAACTGTGATAGAAGAAATCACAAAGCCGATACACACTGGTGACATTTGGAATCTAATATATGCTGATGATATCGTTTTAACAACCACGCCTGAGCAGAATGCAGCACAGATGTCTGAAGATTGGATCACCAGACTGGCCGATCATGGATTCAAAGTCAACATCAGCAAAACCAAAGCAATGAACACTGGTGAACCCATCCAATCCACAGCTATTGGACGATGGCCCTGTTCAGTCTGTAAAGCTGGTGTAGGTAACAATTCAATCAAGTGTCAGCAGTGTAACCAGTGGTGTCACAAACGTTGTTCAAAAATAATTGGTACTTTATCTAAAGTGTCCAATTTTGTTTGTTCTGCTTGCATTAATCCACAACAACAAATTCGAAATAGAATGTTTTTGAAGCCATTAAGGTAGAGAAAGTCACATCGTTTCAATATCTAGGGGATGTTCTGGATTGTACTGGAACAGCTGAAGCTGCCGTTCGAGCACTCGTACGTGCAGCCTGGAATAAATGGCATCTCTTTGCTTCTATATTGATGCGGCGTGAAATCCCACTACCCCTACGATCAAGACATTATAAATCTGTGATACGTCTGGTGATGTTATATGGTGCAGAAACATGGCCAATGACAACCAAACTGGAACAACAACAACTTCACTGAAACGATATGAAAATGCTCCGATGGATGCAACAAATTAGTCTGAAGGACCACATCAAATCTACCGAAATCCTGCGTCGTGCTGGTTTAGATGATATAAAGAACAAATGCCGGCAACACCATCTGCGGTGGTTTGGTCATGTCAAACGAAGTGGAAACAGTGCCATAACTTCTCTTGCAAATGTTGAAGTACCTGGCATACGTCCCAAAGACCGTCCAAAGAAGTCCTGGTCATAAACAATCGAGCAAGACATGAAAACTCTAAATTTAAATGAAATGGATACAACTGATCGCCTAATTTGGTGCAAAAAATTGATGGCAAAGAAAACAACGTCCTACTTCGGGGGAACTGGGTCTCTGGATGCTAAACAAAGATTGATTGATTGATTATTATATGTTATAATAAGTTATTTATAGTTAAAGAAATATATATTAATTCTTTGTTTTCTAAATGTAAATGAGTTATTCCTTTCCATTTTCACAATTAATTCTAAACATAATTAATATTATGTTAATTAGTAAATTCAAATTTATAAAAACCTAACTAAACCACTTTTAATTTTAATATTTAATCATCAAATGTTTTAAAATCCATAAAATAAAAAGAAAAACAACCTTGCTCATTCATTATGAAATAAATTAAAACTGTAAATTATGTGTGTCCCCTTTCAACAGTTTCAAGGCTTCAAAAACAAAGAAACTTTGGCTTCTAGCGTTTCGAATCCGAGACGCTCCTGTCCAGTGTCCTGTTTCCTTGTAGCTGTTTCGGTTTCTCAGCAGTAACTAAGTCGTAATGTAGAAATTTTGTAACTTTGTGACATGCAGAGAAATTTTATAAGTTTGCGTCTCGCAGAGGTTTCGTGACTTTCTACTTTCGAATGTTGGTCCACTACTTGCTCGCACCGACGAGTGTTGCCAGTTGCTGTTGCGTAAGATTCAAGTCAGCGCTTCTCAGTCGAACATGTCAGAGTTAAAAACCGAGTTAAAACTAATCAGCTCACTGGCTTATCGGCTTATATCTGTTTTTATATTAATTAATGACATGCCACATATCAATCACATAGAATAAACGATTAACCAATCTATTTAATTATTGAATTAATTAACTATTCTAACTATATAAAGTTTACTGCTTCTTTTAAAACTTTTACTATTTACTATTACTTTTAGTTGAACGACATTTTACAGATATCAAATTAAATTTATTAGACAAAGAAAAAATTATTTAATAAAGATAAAAGATCAATTGGGAGATCGTTAAGAAAATGGATCAAACAGATCAAGAAACGGTTTATATGGCAAAAGGTGGAAGACCTTCCAACAAGATTTTCCAATAACAGAATGTGGACTTATTTTGTAGAAACATGTAGTTACGAATTTATGATGACTCAAGCTATAAATTCATATAATTACGAATTTAGGACAGATTTAAGAACCAAGTCGCCCTCTTACGCTTAGACATTGTTTTAGAAAGCATTTCATTTACAGCTACTCTTATATTAATTACCAGTGTTGACTGGCAACAAAGTATATGTAACGAAGTACTAGTAAAATTCGTTTTACTTGCAGCAAAAATTATAAATATTTCTACTTGAAACAAAATACTACTTTTTGGCTGCATTTTTAATTAGGCACATTTATCATTTGTACTTGATTTTGAATGATAAACAGCCTTTATTATATCTGTAGGAGATTCGTAAATGGGTTTTGCCCGTGCTAGTAAAGTTGGTTAAAGTGGCTGAGACATAATGACGATCACGATAATAAAAAATGTACTATATTAATTTTAGGTGATTATGCGCCATTTATGCAACGTTAAACGCATTAAACAATGACATTAATTCTTCTAACATTAATTGCCTCAGGTTCCCAAATTATTCATTTTTATACATATGTTCCAAACCGATATCTTCCACCCACAACTTAAATAAATAAGTTGCACAGCAGCAGAGTGCTGAAAAACGTAATATACCTATCCAGTACAAATTGCACACAACTAAAATTGTTGAGATAAATGGTTTATCATATATAAAATAACGTGACATAATTACAACCAATAAGATTAATTTTCACTGTCAATTGTCGTCATAGTTGAAGTAATTTTAACAAGTGATGGTAAGTCTTTAACTTTCTTTATCAAAGATGCCAAGGAATCCTTCAAATCAGTGATTTCAGGCACGTTACTTTCGCTTGCTGTTAATCTCGCCAATCTTATTATTATATCTGTATGAAAGTTGATATTTAGATAAAATAAAATTAAAATACCAATAAACTACATAAAATAAGTGAAAGACTTCAATTAAATAATCATTCATATTAGTTTAACAAATGAAAATCAAAATTTGAGAGAGACAAACAATATGATAGCAATGATTTTGAGCCTACCCTGACACTGCACTAATATATGGTGATGTTCCAGCGTGAGATGATCTTTCAAAAAGATAATGACATGTGGAACAAACTTTCCAGGACAATGCAACATGGATTGGGTGACAGTTTGAAATAGAAGAATGGAACAAATATGCAGAACAAGTGCAGGATCCTCGGCCGTTTGAAGATCCTTCAATGACGATTGCTTGTGGTTGAACATCTGCTGCCTTTTAGCAAATTATTGATACAATTATTCAATGCATTATTATTTTAACATCAATTACACATGGACTTTAACCTTTCTTTCTTTTTATCTCTTTTCAGCGTAATGTTTAAAAACGCTGAGGAACATATGTTTTCAAAATTTTGATAGAAATCGTCCAAAACCTGTTTCTATAAGATTATTAACAAATGTTATGTGATTGTTAATTTCATAGAAGCTGGTCAGTTGATTACAACTTAAGGAACAAAAACGATAGAAGATTTTCAAAAAAAGAATTCAATGTTTTATTCCGTCTCGCCAGTTGGTTTTAGCAGTTATTTCCGAAACAGAAAAATATATATCTTATATATATATATATATTAAAAATATAAGAAATTAAAAATGTAAAAATAAATATTGTTGCAAAAATAATATGAACGCCAACAAATTTAATCAACCTTGGGAGAAAGAGCTGAATTGAGTTTATTAAGTGCAGATTTTGTTTTATCATCTTGTACTGAAGATATAATTTTGTTACGGTCCTGAAATTTGAAATTATCATGAAAACTTAATTGAATAATTAGTTTGCATAACTTAGTGATGGTACAATTATCGAAGGTTCGATTTTAATTTGTTTAAAAATTTTGCGCGGTACCTAACAATTTAAATCAACTCTTTTTCAAGACAAAAAACGGTTAGTCAAATAGCGTTTATAAGAAATAGTCTGCCATTACTATCCGTTCATAAGTGATGGGCTAATAATGCAACACACCTCTCAATAACAACTAAAGCGGCTCGGAAGTATCTACAAGTCTGGTGAAATCATAAATCAACGAGCAAACCAACACAGTTCCAATAGAACAATTAGTCTTTCGGCTACAACTTGTGCATACGCTTGCTAGGCAAAAATAAGTTATTAATATTATGTTTTAACGCGCATTTTAATTTGTTATTAACCTTTTAATTCTAAAATTGTGTCAATAAAATGTTATGTAAGGTGCGAATTACTGAATTGACTTTTTTGAGGAAAATCAAATTTATTAACTGAAAATAATCGAAATAAAACTGATTTTTCGACATCGAACCATCACTAATAACTTAGATATTAACGCTTTTGAAAAATGCGTTAATAGATAAAATAGATAAATAAAAAACAAACAAAAATAGATAAATATTAAAGACAAAAAAAGACCAACAAAAAACGAACAGGACAACAAAACACAAATAACTGGAAAGAAGAGAGAACCTCAGCACTGACTGCCGCACTGTTGACGTTGACCATGAGATCAGCAGCGTACAATGAGAAGATTAAATTTGCGAGGTCCGTGCACAACGTTCGTAAAAGATGGACAATGAGAATGTACTGGACATCATCTGCAATGTGATTGCATGTTTTATACATGCATGTGGCGACACATGTGTGTGCGCGTGTGTGTGTAAATACCCGAGTAATAAACTATTAGCAAGAGGCTTTTTTTTATATGTTAAACATAATGCAATGTATTCATTCGTTCATTCAAATAATAATTTACTTTAATTGAAATAGAATTAAATTATTTTCTCTTGAAATTTATCAAAAATTCATTTCTCTCTCATTTATATAAGACTATTTTTTATATTTTTAATCGTTTGCGTTGTTTATAATTGTTGACAATCGGAAAATTATGATGAAAAATAACAATAATTCAACAAAAATCATCTATATGCGAGCAAACATTGATCTGTTCGTTGACCACATATTCACCGGAAAGCAACCTTTGAAGAAGCTGACGCCCTTCCCAAACATTTTGATGCTGCTATAGAGCGAGGAGGCTTTGTCAGACACGTCAGCAAACAATTTCTTCTTGTTAGTAGGGGGCTGATTGGATGACGGCTGTTGTTTAGTTGTCGTCGTGGAGGTGTTGGCAATACTGGTCGACGGCGCATCAGTCTCAGCTTGTTGTTCTTGTTGTTGTTGCAAGGTTAATACAAAAATGTTTTTCAGTTCTTCACTGTAACTGTTGTTTAACAACCTAGATGAACCACAACAAATTATGATTTGAAATACATTACATTGATGTTATTGTTTATTCATCTAAACCGGAGTACTATTAATCAAATATGTTAGGATAACGTTAAACTAGCTGTGTCAGCCTGAGAAGTTTCCAACAAAATGTAAAATATTACCAAATATATTTTCAAAGAAGTAACTAAAAAAAACGAACCTGGCCAATCTGACAGCTACAAACTGCAAAAGATCAGCAGGAGCATCACTGATTGATGACAATTTCATCAACTCATCTGCCATTGATGTGAATTAAGTGCTATATAAATAATGAATCCCATCTGGTTCCAATGATTATGTTGTAATAAGCTAAGCAACGAATAATACTAAAACGATAGAGGAACAAAACTAACCAGTGATTTCACTGATGGTCATAAAAACACCACTATCATCGGAATGATCGTTGTCATGATCAGCATCGTCGTCAACGTCAACCTCATTATGACCAACCAAATATTTCTTCTTAGTAGCCTTCATCTTCACCTCCCTGGCTTGAGAGCCAGCACCACCTCCACCAATTTTTGAGGCACCTGTCAGTTAATTTGTTGAGGGTAAATATGATGTTTATTCAGAATTAATATTTGTTGTATTTATAAAACCAGTTCAGACAGAACCAACGAAATATTTAAAAAAGATTTGTGATCAAGATGATAGTCACGACACAACCACTGTAGTCCCATAAACAACTGAGCACCCATCATCACATAATGAGGAAAATAACAAACTGACCACTCAAAGTGACCTTTTTCCTCTTATTATCTTTCAATGGAGCATCTTCATGAACATGCCCTCGTGTTTTGCTTGCACTTCCCCCTCCTCCTCCACTGGACACCTGTCGGCTCTCCATCAGGATTGATGGATTTTCTTGGATTGTCTGTTTAAATTCATCACAAATGTCGAATAAATACAAAATAGAATGCGTATTATTCTGTAACTTTTCATTTTGTTGAAGAATTTGCTAACACATAATTAGAGCTAATGCATTGAGGGCCATATTAGATGAAAATGTGATTTGTAAGTGAACCATGGACGGTAGTTATTGTATAACAATCATTTGATTCAATGCAAAAAAATTTCCATGTTCACATTATTTTGAAGACACGTGTTTGTCCTAAACTATCGATATTAAAAATATGTTGGACAAATAAATATTCATTCAACTGCTGCCAACTTTCTGTGCTTTCTCAGAAATGAGCGGTTTGAAATGGTCCAACGCCATGTCGACAAGATAGCTGCTGATGAGGTAGCACTCGGACAGAATGATAATGTTGTTCTTTTTCTTCGTCAATGTGTTGATCAGAATCTGTGCATCCTCCAGTGTGCAGATGCTTGGCAGGTGGGGCTGTCATGTTTTTATAATTCATTTATAAAAATCATTCAACTGACATGATGGTTATGAATAATGATAAATGTGCATTTTAGTGAAATCATCTGATTTCTTTATTGTAAAACGCCTGTGCTAGGAAATAAGCCTTAAATGATAACGTTTTGTCATTAAAACTGCTGCACACTTAACACAAAATTTAAAAATGAGTTGAAATGAATTCTTAAAATTTGAACTGACCATGAGATTGAACCACATTCCAGCCTCCAAAGCCTCCTCCATTTCAACAAGAATTCTTTCTTTGTATGCCGGCCCCAGGCAACATGTCTTCAAATACTCCATACCATCATTTTTAAATCTTTTCTTGATGTAACCTTGGGCATCAGATATCCCCAGCCGAGTCAGACAATCATATTCTGTGATGTAAATAGCAATGAACATTAAATGCTAGTACCTACACATAATGAAGCTTTCAAGACTTTGAACAACACAAAACAGTGGGCTGATATTGGAACAATAAAAAAATTATAGACTAGATAGAATAGAAATAAGATTATACGGAGATGATTCAAATAAACGGTGCCACATTAACTTTTATGATGGCCAACCAAGTTTTACTGGATCATTTAGATCATATGAAGAATGAACATCACCTAATCAGTTTTATTGTGTGAAGTGGCATAGAATATGTTGGTCCTGTGTAGAAGAACTGGAAATGTAGATCCTGTAGGATGGTACTGAATATTTTGCTCTCATGAGATGAGATTGGATGTGTATGTTTTGTGAAGTGGCACTTGATAAGTTGCTCATGCGGATGAGATTGAATATGTTGGTCCTGTGAGGTAGCTGCAGATATGTTAGCCACGCGAGAAACGAGATTAAATATGTTGGTCTTGGAAGTAAGAAAGTTGGACTGTGTGGGTAAATCTTGATCCAAAAATAAAAATATACATGAACAAAGCCAAAGGTGAGTAAATAAGGTAATCATTTTATGTCTAAAATGAATTATTTTAAAAATCATTTCCAATGAAATGCAATTTGAATAAAATATATCAGCATGTGCTTAAAATAAACGACACAAATTATGGTTCAACAAAAAAAAAATTCCTGATGTAAACTCGAAATACAAATAAACCCTAATGATCATACAATAACGTTTTAAAAAACAAAAATTAAATATTTACACTAAAATCCAATCTATATATGAAGAGCATATCGTCCAATATGTTGAAAAATAATAAATTTACCTACCAATGTATGAATTCTGATTATAGAATGAATTAACCCATTGCTGTTGGGACTTGATGTAAATATTTGGAGTGTAGGTAACATTGTGAGGCCTGCTCCCTGTTAATGATCCTGATATTTCACAGCTTTCTATTAATTTATCCAGGATATCTATGAAATAATTAAAGGTATGTTTTAGTTGGAATATATGTAACAAGAAGATTGGAATCACATCAAATTAGGGATGATGGCATATCATTACACAAACTTATTAATTAATTATTATGAAACAAAAGCATGGAAAATCAGGATTATAACTTGAATAAGACGGATAATAAAAACAAAGTTTGGAGTCAAATGGAAGAATTTTAAACTGAAAATTTGGACTCTAGTAAAAATCTCTGACACTCTGTATATAACAGATGTTGATTTAAATATGTTTATCAGAAGTACTCACTGTAAGCCAATGTTTCTTGAAAGCCATACTTTGTAATGATTGGGAACACAGGAGTAGGCCTGAATAAATCGAATTTAACAAAAATTTAATTGATTTATTAACACTTTACAACAATAAATTAGCATTGCAGGCAAGCAAACTAAGTATGAACTATTCAAAAGATAATGAAATGAAACTCTGTTAAGCTAATTTGAAATCAACTGACCTTGTGATGGCATTGAACATTCCTGCAAACAAGGACCTGTGCCTGTCAATATAACTGTCTGTGTACAATTCATTACCAGACAGATCTTTTTTGCCCAATATAATTGTTTCCAATCTTTCAGATATTAGCTGTGAGTGGTTTGAACAAGAAGTGATTATGTAAATTATTTCCATTTGTTACAAATTCGCTCAATCCAGCAACAAAGCAAATAAAATTCCAAGCTCAACTTTCCTCTAACAACCGGTGCATCCATAAATGTCATGACTTTTGTTTAATACAATTTGCCTGATGATAACTGTCTCCAAATTTCAATTTAATTTAAAACAACTGAAAAAATTTACAAAAAATTACCTCCTTCAAAACATCACCAGGAAAATTGAAATGTTTTGCAAGTTCAGATATTGTAACCAAGCCTTGTTCTTGTAGCTTATCATTAATTTCCTCACTGAGTCTATCAAAATAACTCCTAAAAATATATAATTTTAAATAATTATGCTAATTCAAAAATTACAAACCTCCATTATTTGAGAGCACATATTTGATAAATTTGTTAAAATTGGATACACTAACTTGTCGATCAACTGTCCTAATATCAATTTGAGACTCTTGTCTGTTTTCATTAGCTCATTCACCTTAGCTTCAATATGCAACAAATCAACATTTAATTTCTGCTGCAGATCAACCAAATTAATTCTCCCTGAATTAAATATAAGCAAGATTTTTTTTTATTATTGTTCCTTAAAAAATCAGAATCTGACAGACACAGAAACTGTATGGGCATGCAAGGCAGTAGTACAAAATAATAACAAAAAATAAATAAATAAAAATAACAGAGGAAAAAAAGTTTAAACATGAAAAGTATAGAAAATAAAATAAAGTAATGGTTTAAAAAAGCAAATAGATAAAGTAATTTATTAATAAACTAGTTAATGACTTAATGAGTTACAGAAAAGATTGATAAGAAAAAAGAAAAAAAATTGGGTAAGCGACAAAGTTTTATTGAGTGCTAATATATTTAAGATGTTTTGTGATGAAGGTCTTTTCCTGATATGTTGATTGAGTGGTGACATGATAGCTATGCTTCCATTGACGAAAGTTGTGTATAGTAGTTTTGGTTGGTGGTAGTAAAGGATGGATGAAGTGGTTGTTGTAATTTTCAACTTCAAGATACCAAGTTTATAGTAGTGTTGTTATCTATAGATCTGAACTTGTATCGAGTAACAAATATTTAAAGTTTTAAACAATGTATTGATTAATTGAGTGAGTGATTGATCTGCATGCATGCATATATATTTCTTGTAATTCACCTCCAGCAATAGCTAATTCTTCCAAAATTTCTTTTGTAAGTTCTTTAGGTGTGAGATATTCTTTGCCATCAGTTGTATAAATGACATTCAATATTTTCAATTCAATTAATCTTTGCACAATCTCAATGCAATTCCTTTCAGAAAGTCTAATAATTAACAGAATTTAAATTTGATCATCATTATAATTATATTATTTAAATTAAAAAATTATCTTTTTAACCAAGATCAAATAACAAACTTTGTATTATTTAAAAAATAAATCTGATATATTTATGAAGCAGCTTTTCTTTAAATACTTCAACAAATCTTGAATTGCACAATAAAATTATATTGAATCACATTTCTCAAATTTAGGAAAGTTACATTACAAGGTACTGGCTGTACTACTTGTAGATGTAGAGTAGACTTATCCTATCTCTTATGACTTATTTTATTCTATTTTTTATATTTTTTTGTACTTGTTAATAATTGTTTGTATTGCAAATTTTCGAATAGATTTGATTGGTAATGATTGAATAAAAATAGATTAATGAAGTAACATCACATCACATAAATAAAATCCCATATGTTTCCCTGGCCAAACCATGATTAAAAAAAACATTTTTAGATGAGAACAAAATGAATGACATCATCTGTATTTTCCATCAGTTGAAATGTTATATAGCAAACAAACTTCTGAACGGATGAACTGAGCTGAACGCGTTGAAAATCAGTTGCAAGTCTTTTTATCTCCTCCCAATCCGCCGTCGCCATGGCTTATTGATATTTTGGTTTTTCGGTCGGTACGTTCAAAAGTGTAACTCAACTTTCTTGATACAAAAAATACCAAGTTATGGAAAGATCGAGAACATTTGCAAAGAAGCAGCCAAGTATACGTGCAGCATATGTTAATCCAGAGTTAGTTTTACTGTAATGAACGGTTTCACAAAAAGCATCTCAAAACTATTTCTTACAAATTTTCGTTGGCACACGCTAACCTGCCAAAGCGAATTACAAAACATTACACGAGACGAGAGTAAGAATTATAATAACAACTTTGTGCTTTTATATAACTTTTTAAAAGTATAATGACACCCACGTCCTCTCAAATAAGATCAATTATTTTCACCTGCTTCACGTTAAAACAAGATATCGATGGTTTATTTCAAAAATTCATTCAAATGTGCTTATCCACACAATTTCCAAAGCAAGCTAGTAAATAAAACGCGAATAAAATTAGATGATAAACTTTTGCAAAATATTTCTTTGCGTACAAAAATTAGGCACAAGAGGCTAAAACGTATAGAAATGAATCAAGTTTCTTCAGAACAATTTCTCAAACAATGAACTGCAGCCTCCACGTTCCAAACGATTGGAAGTTAAACTGATTGGATAGATTATGCATGTGTATCGTTATAATCAACGCACTGGTTTCTAGGATTAAGACGCTTCATGATAAGATCAAAATGATTCGCGATATCATGGCAAATCGTAATAGCATGATAGATCCATTTTAATGACCATCTAAAAATTCTTAAACGAAATTATGCAGGTAAACGTATGGTCAGATTGCGAAAAAGTTAACACGGCTAAATTATTAATGAGATATAAAATTGATTAATAAAACGACATCTAAGTAACAAATCACAAACCATATTAATTAGGTGAAAAAATAAAAAATTATATACTTTGAAAATTCTCAATTGTAATAAAACATGCAAGTTTGGAAATTTAATAGTTCAGCATAATAGTTCAAGTTCATATCTACATAATACTGATATTCTAGCCAATGGCAAGCGTCGCTTCATTTTCTGAGCTGTTTCCTTTGGAGAGCCTGGAAAGTCGAGAGTTCTTGGCGTTGGAACTCGTCGGCAGTTCACCGAATAATTCCGATCCATCGTCGGCTACCTTCACACTTCTCGCCATCGCTCGAATCGCCGCCGCCATGCTCTGCTCATCAACAGGAGTCTCCTAAGTTTATTTTATTTCAAAATTCATTTCAATTCAACATCCATTTCATTTCAAAATTTATCTAAATTCAAAATTCATTTCAAACGCTGGATCTGGATGAAGAATGAAAACAATAGCAAGGAATTTATTTTCCCTGCCAAATATACCAACATCGATAGCGTCATCAAGTGGTTTGGACATTTGTCTGGCGGGCCACGGTACGCTGATCGGTACAGACATCGAGTACATGCCGCTCTGCGTGACTGGTTCGTCGTCGTCGACATTGCTCGCATCGCTGCTGCTATCATCAACTTCTGCTTCCCCCTTCGACCGACTGATTCTCCTCGGCTTTTTAACTTCATGATCTATCAAAATTATATCACTGCTGTCAATTCGTCTTAAGCGGAAACAGTGATTTATTAAGTTTTATTTCTATTTTATACAAAGTCATCATGCAAAAACAACAATGTTTATTCAACTCAATTTCTAAAACATTGCTAATAATAAAATTCATTGCTAACACTCTATGCACTCATTCGAGTTAATTTATATATTTTCACTGATTTTTAATTTTAGCAAAAAACTAAATCCAATTACATAAACAAAATAACAGTATAAGGATGCATGAATTAATAGATAAATGACAAGAACCATCGTCCGAGGTAATATAGCTGTTGTCATCAGTCTCGTTGGCCTTGTATGAGCCATCATCATCATCATGGAACAAAAACACTACAATTGAAAATGCGTTGAACCTAAGTTTAGTTTAATTAATTTATGCACTACGAATTAGCCTATTGACTTAGAAAAAAGTCAAAGTGAAAAAAAGCAAATTAAAATATCTGTAATGTGCAGTGCAAGCTGCCTGGATGCTACCAGATTAAAAGGGAGAATAAATAAGTTGAGAAAATTAAACTCAGTCATGAAAATATCAAACTAGAAATGAATGAATGAACGAAAGATAAATTAATCATAAGTAAAGAAAAAATGGAGTAAATAACTGTTAGAGAAAGCAAAGTAGAGCATTGTATTCTTAATCTCTTTTCATTACAGTTACTTCTCTAATAACTTTTACCTACTTTATTATTATTAAGTCCTGAAACTATACAGTGATTGAGAAAGTTTATTCTAGGAAATTTAATGAAAGAGAAGCGTGGAGCAATCAAGGTTCAAATTGAATATTACAACATTCATTTACAACAAATCAATGGAGCAGCAAACTTGAAAAAAATATCTACATAAAGCTGTGTCAATAAAATAAACAATGTTTTAAAATGTAAACTAAATTATCAAATGCAAACTAAATTTTAATATTTTTAAAAATTATTAGTTTTCAAACTCACCATCTTCCGGTTCAAACGATCCTACAATGATTGGTTGATTGTTCTGATTGTCTGCCAGGTAAGCATTAATATCTTTGTTAACAATGGATTGTGGCTTGCTTGGATTAGCAAGTGACTTAGTGGTGTCTGCAGCGGTGACGTCATCGCTGTTTTCGTCAGCATCGAACGTTGTGAGCTTGACGGGCATGTAAACATTTCTCAAAGTAGATGTGACATTGTCATTGTTATCTTCTTCGTCCTCCTCAGGAATTGAAGTCGGCACTTCAAGTGACATTGGGGAGAGGATAGGAGAATAATCTTTGAAAGTTAATCACAAACAACAAAGGGTTACTACAATTTCTGTAAGTGCAAAATTTAAAAGCATCATAATCGTAACCAGTTCTATTAAAGACACTTGGAAAAAGTAAATGTTAAAGTGATTTATTGATATAAAACAATAATTTTGAATGAAATTATTAGTTATATATTGATTGATGCCATTTGGAATTGGCATGAAATTAATATGAAATCAATGAAAACTATGTTTGAAATATTGATTAAACGCATACTTGTAGCTGCAGGGTGAGAAATTTTTGGGAGAAGGTATTCAATCTCATTATCAGCATTCCATGTCATGTATGTTGCTGCAAGCGATGAAGACGCTAACGAAGAAGATTTCGACGACGATGTGGCTGGCAAAGAAGCTTCATCTACTACTGAAATGTCCAAAGAAGAGATTTTTGATCTAGCAGAACCCTTGTCATCAGATGACAATGGGGCAGAAAAAATATTAGCGGGATCTGTTTTAACTTTTTGATCAGACATTGGAAACATGGAAAAATTGGTTGGTTGAATGGTTGACGGGACACCCCTGCTGCTGCCCGCATCAAATTCTGCTGTTACCTTTGTCACCTCACTCTTGTCGGCTAGTAAGTGTTTCTTGTTTTTGTCTGAAACAATGGGTGGAGAGGAAGTCTTAACTTTCTCAGCAGGGTACACTACAGAAGGTGGAGTTGTTGGACTGTCGCCTACCCATTCATCGAAGAAATTAACATTTTTGGATTTGCTGAAATCATTGTGGATGAGAACATTTATCAGCTTGTTCTTGTCCTGCATGTATCGCGTCTTCAAATTGTCAAATTTCGAATGCTCTTCATCTTCGAATGCTCTGCACAATGAATAAAAATAGTTGCACGTTTCAACTACTAAGTATAAAACATCAATCGAAGAATGGATAGATGAACAATGATTTTTGATAGGAAATAATTAAGAAAGGATTCAACTACTTTATTCTTTTCTTCATTTCTGTTTGTTCTTTTGCAATATAATCCTCAAAGCTGGTCTGTATGGACTGCAGCACAGATCTGATGTTGTTCGATATTGTTGCTGATCCTTGGTTGAATTAAATAACAAAATAAGAGTAAGATATGTCATTCAAATTAACAAATATTATGAAAAATTTTTAAAGTAGAAATAAATATAAATTAATTGCCAATGTTGTTGTAATCATAATAAGAACAAACCTACCTCCATTACTTGCCAAATTAGTGCTGGGTTTTTCAACAACAATTTTGTACATGGGAGAATAATTTGCATCCCTTGTCAATTCATCTATTTTATCTTTGTCTGTCTTAAAAAACAGAGTTTATTTTTTTCCGATAAATCATCATTTTGAATGTTTTTATAAGAAAATTAGGAACATTTAGCAGACTGCATGGTTCAAAATAATAGAAATAAGTTTATATTATTAGAGATAAAATGGCTTTCTTATTCCCATTTGCAACTGTATATTAGATAAAACTAATCAGTTCAACAAGAAATTTATGACAGATTTCATTGAAATGCAAAAATTGACAAATTAATTTAAAAAAAATTAATGCATTTTATTCTAAAAAATCACTGAGACAACAAAAATAAAATTTCGAAATATTCCCCAAAAAAATTTTCATATAAAAAAAATCATATTAATAATGATAAATTTTTTATTATATCAAGTGCCTTCCCACATGTTCCTCTCCGAAAAATCGTTGAACACTTGTATGATCAGTTGACAAGATGACATCCAGGTCCAGTTTCATTACGATAATCACTTACTTACCAAAATCTAAATGAGGCATTTTTCCTACTCCCAATCTTCTTCTTTGGCAGCATTATAATTCTCATAAAAAAATTGTTATAGTACAACTTCTGCAAATGTAGCCACAACTTCAAAACCACAATCAACACAATTGATCTTAATTAGGCTCAATCCTAACCCTCCTATGGGAGAACTGGAGTTGCACTAATATAAAAATTGAAAATGTTAACATGTGCATGTTTATAAATGTGAATCGGCTGACTGACTATTAAATGACATAATTACACTAATTAATTATACTAACTATGAGATCAGAGAAGACGAGCAAATGATCAGATTCAGCATTTTTTGCATGTGTCACCATTTGACAGTTCAAACATTTCATCACAATCCACCCCGATATCTTCAGTCTTTCAATCAAGAAGTTGTGTTCCTTTCAATTAAAAAAACAGATATGAGCAAGACCATGCATAATTTGGTAAAAAATATGTAATAAAAATATTTACAATGTAAACTCCCTGGAGACCTAAAACTACTTCAAAAAGCTTTTTGTCTTTGAAGAATGGATGTGACAAGAATTCATCTGGGATTGTTTCAAGGTTACTCGTTAAAAAATACAGAAAAATAATATTTTTTTAGCAAACTAAAAACTTATGGAAATTAAATATGGTAAACCAAGTCGTAACATGCATATGATGCATAAACTTTTAACATATGATTTTAGCAAGAGTTTCATAACAGCCAAGTTGGTCATAGGCATTTAAAAAAAACACCTTGCTTCCACCTATAAATTTTCTGACCCTAAAAAATAATTTTTTCTATCAATGTTTTCAAGCAAACTTTTTCTACTATAAAAATTCCTAAGTTCAATTTTAAGTTGAAACAGATTATTTTGGGTTGTTTCTAATTCATAATGCACAACAAATCTGTACTCTAATTCAACATTGGAAACATATTGCAGGAGAATGTTTTAATTTGGTAATATTGTTTAAACAACTTGTTTCTAGCAAAGTACAAACAAACTCTTTATCTAATTTGTATATTACCTCAATACATTATTAAAACCACCTAAATTCTTTCTCTTTTATGCCACTTAAAATTTTATGCCACCCAAAATTTTTATATCCTATCAAAACTTTTATACTGACTAAACACTTTACACCAACTCAACACATTTTACTACTCTGACTGTTTGTATGTTTCAAAATATTTATTAAAAATTATTTTGAATATTTATGAAAAAAATTATAAAATAATTAAACATAATTGAATGAAAACATACCACATTCAAATGGAATTGAATTTTTGATGTCTGTCTTTGTGAATACTTTGACATTGAGGCACTTACAGGTCAACATACGCATCTTCTGATTTCAATATTCTGGTTATTTCAAATTTTTTTATAATTAGAACCTAGTCAAACAAAAATTTTAAAAGTTAAAAAGAACTTGATTTTTAAAAATATTGATTAAATCAGATTACTTTTTCTTATCAGCCTTTTATAACAGGTATAACAACTTTAAAATTAAATCTGTTTACAGCAGTTTCCTCTGCTCTAAATGTTTCTTTATAATTCTATATTTACATAAGAAATTGCAAGATTATAAAAAATATATAACAAATAATAAAAAGTATACAGCAAACATCATAATATATAATGATAATGATAATAGGCTTTCTGGATTTGACTGGATTTCTAAACCAAATCCTGTCACAAAGAGACATCTACCTGAAAATCTATCTATGAGCTGCCTTGTGCAAATGGATCAAATGATGAAAAATAAATCTAAATAACATAATGGCAATACAATAGAATAGGAGTTACAGAATATAGACAGAATATATAGATAGATATATATACTAACATATGAATGATCAATATCAATCATAATAATTTTTTAAATATTAAAGTTTAAAAATTAAATTATTAAATCAACAAAAATTACCTGCTATCAAAGGTTTCAACAACTTTAATAACTAATTTATTAAAGTTAATAATTAATAGCAAATTAACAATAATTAATTAAATATTAATCATCAGAAAGTTAATTGAAACGTTAAAATTTAATTAAATTAAAATCCATCACGCAAAAATCTCGCAGTGCAACTATTCAGTGTTAAAAATAATTATGTAGAAAAAAGAAATAGAAAGAAAATTAGTTTGGGATACAAAAATTCATAAAATCTCTAAAAAAGCATAAACAAGATTTGCAAATTTTGTGATCTTATGAATAAGTAAATTAATTTGATAAATAATTGATGAGATTGCCGACATGTCAATCACAGACAAATTAAAAACGAAGCAAATTACAAACCAGACCAGCGCAAATGCAAGATTCTTTATCTCTTTCTTTACGGGTTTAGTTATTAAAAACTAAAAGTTATGATACCAAAAATAACGAAAAGTACCTAATTTCTAGCAGCATATAGATATACTTATAATTCAGGTTCTTGCAGACCTTTGATCAGAGTTTCAACCAGGGCTGAATAAACGAAGACATGTTTTTAAATGGAGTTTTTTCTATTTTTTTTCATTTGAGAAAATCGAAAAAGTTTATTTACTATATTTATGTTTTATACTGAAATTACTTCCGTAACCTTCCAACATAAACGGATAAAGAAGTTTACATAATGTCAGACATCCATTTTAGAGATTCTACATTCTAGATAGTATAGGTTTTGAAATATAAAATTTAATGACGCAAACTCTTCTAGGTCAGCCAACTGTTAGATTTCAATTCCTATTGGATATTCAATGTTTTATACCGGGTTTTTGCAATGGATATCCAAGGTTTTTGCCGAACAACAGTTTTTTTTCATCACATTATATTTTCCCTCTAATTTTGTTGACACCATTTAAAAAAGTTTTGCATCAGAATCATTATTCAAATTCATTTGTGGGCTTTTGTATGAAGTATAATGAATACACACAAACTTCGCCAAAGTAAGTATAACTATTAAGTCGTCACTCAATCAACTTATCAGGACAAGACCTTCATCACAAAACACCTAAATTATACTAATACTCATCAAACATTTGTCATTTGTTCAATTTTTGTTTTTTCTTTCTCCTTTATGAACTCTCAACTCATAAAATCATTAACTAGTCAATTAATCATTATTCTATTTATTCGTTTTTTCAAATCAAGGTTTAATTTTCCATGCTTACCCATGGTATATGTGATATGGATATATATGATATTAAACAGTAAACACTTAAACATTCCTACTCCTTATCATTCTTTTCTCTTATCGATCACATAGCTCACTTATTACAAAGTCCTTATATAGTCACCTAATTAATTATTTTATTTATTCGTTTTTTAAATCATTATTCAATTTTCCATCTTCTCAAGCTTAAACATTCTTACTCTGTTATTTATTTTTCGTTATCATTCTATACTATTGTCTTGCATTTTTTAGCGGTTTCTGCGTCTGTCAGATTCTGATTTTTAAAGAATAAAAATTTAAAAAAATGTGACGTGACGTAATATACTTACTTTCGGCAAAGTTTATTGTGAAAAGGATTCCTAATTCCAGCATTATTTTAAAATAATACAGCCAGTCCTACCCAAATAGTTGTTACGATGTTTCACTTTTGAAAAACTACCTTGATGTCTGTGTCGTATTTTTAAATTAATGTTGTTAATAATTGTCATTTTATACAGTTTTGGTCCACAATTATAAAATTTCAATTTAAAATGTTGCAAAATGATTTGAAAAAGGAAGCAATAAAAATTAACTACTTGCAGGTCATTTACAAATTTTTCAACTTTTATTGATGATGTGTATGCCTAGTGTCTCTGTCATTTGTGATGAGATGGCATGTGTGTGTTGTGTGTGTATGTGCCATACATAGGTGTATGTGATTGATCATTGTTTCCATGAACAGTGTAGTTAAACGTGGCTAATTGGGTGACAGATTGTTTCAATGGTCATTACTTATATGCCTGAACACACAATCTTCATTTATTAAGTAAAATAAAATCATCTTTGAGGTCTTTAGTCTTTTTCTTAGTCTAGTACTTTAGTTTGATTAGTTCTAGTTCTAGCTAGGCTGTTTAATTTAATCTTAATGTTCATGTTCACAGTTTAGTTTAGAGGTTTAGTTGAAATTTCTTTTATCTATCCATCTAATAATGATCTATTAAGGGCCTGATTAATTTTTATTTTGACTCAACTCTTGATTTAAATTATGTGTTATGATCAGTTTTTAAAATTTTTTTGTGCAGTTCATTTTCCACTTTTTTCTGGTCTTCTACTTGTCTAACACTTGCCTTGTTGTTTCCTCTCACTCAACTAAATTCAGATCTAACAACACTTCCACAGGGCATAAAAGTCTTAAACTTGTTTCATATTTGTATTTAATAACTTATTGATACATCATTGATCCCTGTGCATAATTAATTAGCTATCCATAATCACTTGAAAAGATGTTGCAGAACAGTTTTTTGATCAACTGTTATTCAAATAAACATTTTTTCTAATTTATTCTTAATAGTTTGGTTTTTGTAATGGATGTTTGTATATGTTGGTAATATATATAAATTTACTGATTGCATAAGTTTTAAAAATAAATTCATATTTTTACTTTAGTTAGTTGCAGTAAAGATTTGTATAAAATTAATTTTCTTTTATTTTACATAGATCAAAAAATCAGTTGGTCAGACTTATTGGTTGTACAACAAGTATAGAGGCTGTAATGTAACCGATTTACCATTTAAATTTTGGGATGTAGTGGTTTTGACAGCATTAGATGCTGAACAACAAACAGCTTATGAATGTTTCATTAATGAAAAAAAAATAAATAAGGAAATTCCTACTGGTGTTGATTATTATGTCTTTCCAGATCCATTAGGACCAAAAATAGGTTGTGGTGGGGCAACCATGAATGTCATCTACCATCTGAATAAGATTTACAATGAAAAATTAAACAAATTGTTTATACTAATAATTAATGCTGGAGGATTTAGTCAGAGAATGCCGACAATGGCTGCTCTTGGTAAAATATTTATGTCTTTACCTTTTGGCTCTCCTGTCTGGCAAATTTTTGATTTGAAATTGGCTTGCTATTTACCATTTTTACAGAATATGAATCCAGGTTATTTTCAAGCCTCTTCTGACACAATAGAAGTTTTTAATGAAGCCATTCTTGAAAATTGTGAAGTTTTACAATATAGTTTTAAAAATGAAGGATTAACTGCATTAGCACACCCATCTACTGTCAACATTGGGGAATCCCATGGTGTCTTTGTTGTAGATGACCCACAAGAAATTAACAATCATTCCCTCAATGAACTATGTACAACTTTTATAAATTGCTCAGAGGTTCTGCAGAAACCAACTTTACAAAACATGGAAGATAAAAAAGCTATTTTAAAATTAAAAGATGGAGAAGTATTTGTTTATACAGATAGTTGCTTTTACTTTGATCAAAAATTTGCTAAAAAATTACTAGATTTTTATGAGTTGGAAAAGCCTCTAACATGTGAAATAGATGGCTATGGCGATTTCATGCAAAGTCTTGGACCAAATGCGTCAACTGATTTCATTAGTGATGTTAGAAATGTTTCTGTGACAACTGAAAGTTTAAGGCCTACCAGATTAAAGTTATTCAATGCTTTAAATGGATCTAATTTAAATGTTATTGCCTTCAACGAGTCAGAATTTTATCATTTGGGAACAATGAATGAATATCTGGAGAACTTGAATCCTTTTTGTAGTCTGGGCAAAATCATTGAATGGAAACCAATTACCTCATCATATTTTGCTACTGACACGTCTAACATTGCTGATGACGCCACTGTTATAGAATGTTTGGCTACACAACATCTTGCTGTAAAAAATAGAGCTATAATAGAGTACTGTGAATTCAACTGCCCAATACAAATTGGTCAAAATTGTATTGTTAGCAACTGTTATTTAGGCAAAAAATTAGAAGGAATTCAGTTGAATATACCTCAAGATTGCATGATTTGTACTCTCCCAATAAATGGAAAAAATGGAAATATAGAATACGTTACGTTAACTTTTAACATAAACGATGATTTGAAAAAAGTTTATCAATCACCTGAAGATGTTAAGTACTTTGGGAAACATTTAGCTGATTTGTTTACGTCACCCTTAGAATGTGAATTTCATAATAATATATATAGTTTATGGAATTGTAAATTATTTTCATGTGAGCCAGACATGCATCTGTCACTACTTTCTTCGTTTAGGTTAATTGAAAATATAAGTTCGTCAGAAAACCATTTATTGTCCATTGTTGATAAAAAATTAGCAAAATATTTTAGATACTCTGCATGTGAAGTGATGGAAGCTAAAAACATCTCAACTCTCATAATTTACAGGAAGGACTTAAGAAAAAAGATATCTAACTTTCAATAACTGAATGTTGATTTAATTTTTAAAAAATATATCCAGAACAATGTTTTTGTTTAATATTGAAACAATTGATAGACATATAAAATGTTGCAGTTGATCATATTAATGAATGAGACACGAATATATAAATAACACAAAAACGGTTTGTCAAATCTGTCCACACAAATAAGACTAGAAATTTTTGTACAACTTTGAATCAGATTGCAACAATGACGACAATTGACATGATATGGAATTATTTTTTACATCTTAAAAGTCTGAATTAGTTTAGCCAAAAAAAACAATCACATAAAACTGCTACATTTAAGATTTGTGCTCGGTTACATTCTTTTAAAGGACAAATACTCAAGAAAATATTTGAATAAGTTACCAAAAAAACTATACACAATTGCAACATGAAAATGATGAAATATATAATTGGCATTAAGCACCTAATCGCTGATTGCGTTGTTCAATCGTATGCAGAAACAAATTAATTTAACAAAATTTAACATGCTTTTGATTTTGCACACAAATAAATTAACTTGGATACGTCAACAAAGTCTTTTCAATAAAATAAAATAGAAACACCGCTGACGGTAGCACACACAAACATGCTAATTTCAGAATTCATTCATAATGATCATCGTTGGTGGCGTTTGTAATTTCATGTTTGTTTCCTGTAGGTGGCTTATTATTGCTATTATGAGATGACGTGTTTTGACTATTCATTGAGGATGACGATAACGACGTCAACAATCTTGCAGGCGACTGTGAGTGCGTTCTGTTTTGAAACAATATTTTCGAATGGTTTTCGGTAGATGGAGAGGATGATGACAGCGAAGATGACATGGATGACGTCATCTGCTGAAGCCCCCTCAACCCACTGGTCAGATTGTTTGTGTTGTGAATATTGAGATTGTTGTTTTTGTGTTCTTTCCCAATCTTGGTGCAACACTTGTTACCACCGTCACCGCCGCTGACTATCATGCCATAAAAATTTTCATTTGATCCTATGTTTGTCTCAACTTCTGCGATGTTTTTGAAATTGCCATAGTTTCCACCGTTATTTTCGCCATTTAGATTCTTTTTCTCTGAAAAGTTCATGCTATTTTTGATAGCACTTATCGCGTCCTTGTTATCGTTACTAACATGGTTAAGATTATCAAAAGAAGTAGAATATGTTCTGAGTGGGTTAACGTCATCACTACCATTGACGTCAGCATTCTGGATTAGTGATGGGAGTGCTTCAGAGCCGGGTTCGTATTGTGAATTTTCCAATCTGGCAATCAGTCTCTCATCCTTATCTCCAAACTCACCACCCATCAAAGTTGGCTCTCCTACAACCATCACTTCCTTAAATATATTTTTAAAAAATTTTTACGTTACATGAGTTAGAAATGAAACTTAAAAATTAAAACAATGCTTTTCAACTTATTATTGTAATGCCAAACCGGTGTTGACATGGTTTCAAATTTCAATGTTAAATACTTTAAACTGATTATAAAATTAGTATCCAGCAGCAAATTATGACCTTAAATACAAATTGTGAATTATATAATTCTTTCTAGCCTTGTTTTCAACACAGCATGTTTCACATATTAAAATAATCTTCAACAAAATTAATAGATTAAAAAAAAATTAGAAATAGAAGTACCCCAAGAACTGGACTAAACATATCTTGAGTGGGGGATAACATTTTGAATCTTCCATTGCTATCAGAACTCACGCTGCTGTTCAACTTATTGTGTGGATTATTATTTGGTGTGTTGTTGTTTGATGTAGAGGCAGTTGAGTTGGTTGCAGATATAGATGTTGGTGTACCGCCACTAGACGTACTCGATGCCACCACCTTTCTTTTCTTTCTTTTATTTGTCTGCTTGTTTGCATCTTAAACAATAATTGGAAGTATGAGCATCAAACATTTGTAAATTGGAGGATGATTTTTTCATCTTATTGCTAAACCTTAAGTGAATACTCTTAAAAGCCATAGGCATAACAAAAAAAATAGGTTTACCAGGTGGAGCCACCATCTTTTGCCATTTTTGGAACAAAGTTGTTTTCAAACAGTCCCTTGGACTTAGTCCGTAAGCTTTATGTCGGGACATTAGTTCTTGCATGGGCTCTAATATCACGCAGAGCTACGATTTACAAATATGAACAACGATTTAATAATAAACTTTGAGTGAATTACATATTCATCATTGACAAAAAACAAGTTTTGTATGAACCCTCAAAAAATTGAGCGTATAATTGGTCAGTCCTTGTCTTGTGACATTCATGGACAAGTGTTCTGCAATGGCAGGATCTTGTTGCTGTATCGATTACAATATCAAGTTGACCATGGTGGAAAAAAATGTTAATTACATTGATTATATTTGTCACAGCATAAGCATGAAAACCAAACATGCACATAAAAATAAAAAAAAAAAATGCAATAGCTTACTTGCATGGCGACAATGCTTCTTGGAATGAGTTCATAATGGTGGTGGATGGAGAAGTGCCACATTCGAATGCGCATCAAATCGTCATAAGTCATCTCAAGAACCAACCTTCCTTCTGCCAACACCTACATTCAAATGCAGTACAAAAATATACTTCATATATATTTATATATACAAGTTTCCTTTTAAAATAACTTTTGACTTGCATTTGGCTATCAATCACTTTGCAGTTAGTTATTCTAACATTTTTTTCATGCACGCAAGAAAATACTGACAGAAATTTAATAAACCTACACAAACTAATAATTATAAATTAGTATATATGCAATAACATTTGTACAAACATTCTGATATTCTGGTTCCCAAAAACTAATTTAAATTAAACCATAAAAAATGCCTATGGGTCACAGAATAAACAGACTATAAAGCTCTTGCAAGCTGCAATCTGCCCACCTTTGCATTCGAAAATAGAATCATCAGTTAGAAAATTTATTATATCAAGACATTTGTTTATTATAAACATCAAACATTGAATCACCATTTCAAGGAATAAAAAAAAATGAACATCTGATATTAGAGTATGACAGATGCAGACAATAATTGATGTTAACAATGTAAACATTTAACCTTGGTGAAAATGGGTCTTGTGTGTTGTGTTATCATTGATGCATGTTCACAATCGAGAATGATAGTTTGGTTGTGACATATCTCTTTGGAATACTTCAGTACGAAGAACAACTCGACAACTCCACCTTCAAAGATACTTCGAAAGTATCGAGGTATCAAAGTTCTACCAATGGCTAAATAATAAAATAAGAAGATTGTTTGTACAGTAAAAGCAACATAACAAAGTTACGCAAATAGAATTAGATGATGAAACATTAGCATACTATATTTTTTAAGGCCATCTTCCAAATAGAATGCCAGTGTTAGTGTGGCATCGTCTTCGAAGAATTCTGTCACGAATGTGTCCCACCATAAATTGTCCACGTCCTGGTGTGGTGTTAGTTATTTGTAGATGAACAAATAATGTGATTGATACTCAACTGTTTTGCTATGCATGTAATATAAAACAGTAGCATGTCGTCACTGTCACTACCACCACCATCATCATATTGTGCATTAAAATACAAAAATATATAATAACTAAAACAATATATAAATGATGAAACGAAAAAATTGGTTGAGTAATGTACTACTTGACTCCACTGTTGAAGTCTTCTGTTCATTTCATAAATTCTAAAGTCAGGCTGTCCTATGAATGACATCCTGTGCCTGTGATTCAATGAGATACATTATGACAAAAGTTGCTTTAAAAATTTGTATTCAATGAAATTTAGATTTTGACAAAATGGTGAGAATGAAAACTTAGAAAGCAATATGTTTAAAGCTGAAAAATACAAACTTAAGAAGCTCAAAAACAATTTATACGATGTAAATAAACTGAAACTGTTATATGATTGAAATGAAAAATATATAAAAAACAGCTGTACATCATAGACATGTCCCTGTCAAATGCAGGCATCATGATTTGTTGTACAGGCATCCTTGCAAATCTGTAATGTGCAGGACCCAGAGGAACCTGAGGATGCAGTTGAAGTTGAGGTGGCAGAGGTGGCCTTACTTGAAAGGCTGGAGTGTGGTGGTGGAATGCAGTGGACGGCAAGGGTTGTGCCACTGGTGGGCTGTTCCCTCTATACCCCGTATCCAGGATGCTCGTGCAATGATGTATCAAAGTTTAGAAACTTTAAAGTTTTTCAAATTATAAAAGTTATTTTCATATTAAGACACTGGATGTGATATTTATAAAATAGAATAAACAAAACTGTCCACATTATAATTTCAATTCAAAAAAGAATGTATAAATAAACAAAAATGCATTGAATTTAAATATAAAATGTTCACTTTGTCAGATGACAATTAATATATTTCAGAAAAGTTTTATATTTTTAACTACCTATTTATTTATTTTATTAATTTAAGTTAATTAATTAATGATAAGTAGTAATTTAAATGCAAAACAACATTTTTAGTTTTTCATTTAATTAAAGATTAAATAAAAAATTAGTGGTTTAATTTTAGTTGAATTTTGATTTAATTTATTTAATACATCTCAAATTCATTTCCACCTAATTCTGACTGACTGGCTGACCACTAAATATGACCACTAAATATGATAGAAAATAAATCAATAAAACAAACCAAACTAGAACAGAAGAGGTGTCCTACCACCAACTTAACTTACTACTTAAGTTTACTTTACATTTTACAACACTAGCTGACATTGGTGTTATATGTTCTGTGTAGCTTAGGCTTTGTATTATATATTTTCATTTTGTATTATAATTAGTATTATATTATAAATAAAATGAAAAAGAAGGTTTTTTTATGTTTAATTTAATTTAACAAAACAGTTACTAGCTAAGAATAAAAATACATTAAGATTGATTACATTGATTACCAAATACATTACACACATTACAACAGATTAAATTTGTGATTAATTATTCAACCTTATTTAATATTGTAATGATTACCATTACATTACATTACAATTACATACAAATGAAATTAAAAGTACTAACTCAGCTGAGTTACATGACGTCATTCATAACTGATTGGATGGAATGGACCCAATCTTAATTTATGATGTGATGTTGTTAAGTTTTTTTTTTATCACCTACATATATAAATGTTTTGTCAGATTTGTAATTTGTATTTGTTGATGTTTTATTGAATTTAAAATTTAAAAAAGCAAATGCTTGTTTGTGTTACCATAAATAAAACAATGTTACATTTAAAAACTCAAATAGCAAAATTGAAATTATTAAAAATTAATTTTTATCACCATCAAAAGCACTGCGGAGCGAACAAATTCGTGACGGCCAGTTCCATTCAAACCATTGCTTCTAATATAATATATCCTATTGATTTATTGTAGTCGTTAAGATAGCGACACTTCGGTCCTTTAAATTTCGCAGTCTCTTTTCGATCTTTTTTAATAATTTTCAATAGTTTTGCAAATTTCAGTTACAAATTTTTATTATCATTTAGTCTGCTGATTTTGGCTTGGATCCGTAAGTGGATAATTTAAAACTTTCCATCAGTCAAACCCTGAACACAGTGGATTAATTTGTGTCGTTTAATATAGTAAAGTTTTGAATTTGTAACAATGTTTTGGTTTTAATATTTATTTGATTAGATGATTTCAAAAATATGACACTAAAATATTATTTTCGGAAAAAACATGCTAAAAATAAATAACGTTGAACGTTTTATAATGTTAAACAGCACAAAACTTGAACTTCACGTATGGTGAGAATGAGAAGAAAATATCAGTGACCAAGGAAACAAATGCAGTCTTCAACAAAGTTATCACCAAAAACACGATTAAAAACGCCATTAATTCACAACCTTAATTTGATAAGCTGAAAAACATTTCAAATATCGGATTTAATCAGCAATCTGAGAAGTTTTGTTCTTCTTGATAACAGCTTACACTAAATCGACGTTTTCCATTATCCGACTCATTTCCGCTTTGACGTGGTTTGAAAATTGGACTATCGCATTTAATGGATGTAAAAGCTCTGTTAGAATTTTTGTCGTCTATTTTTTCAAAAAAGTTTGTCTTATTCCATAATTCCATTTGATTTCCATTTGGTGGATTGGTGGAAACAAATTTAATTTTTGTTCCCCCGGGCGCTAATTGGTTACTTGCCTCAACATTACCATTTTCCGGTAGAACGGTTTGGAAAGTTGATATGGCCCCATCTTTTATACACGCATATAACGAAGAATCTTTGTGTTGGAGAATTTGTTGGTCAATGGATGATTGTTGATTGACACAATTGTTAACATTTTCCTCAATTTCATTTTCAGCACCGCCTGCTGTCGTAAAATAGTGACGAGGACAATAAGGTGAATAAAAAACAGCGAGAGGCCCAGAATTGGAACTTTCCTGAAAAGTGTTGTGGCTTGTTATGTCTGCAGTTGTGGTGCTACACGTCGGCTGGTGGTGAACCGCACAGGTTGAGGTGATGGCTGAATTGATGAGGTCCACAGAACCGACGTGGTAGCCATGAATAAGTACAGCTGATGAATTTACTGGGTAATTTGGAGAACGCGATCTGATCATTTGTTGCTGTTGTCGATGTTGTTGTGGTTGTTGCTGTTGTTGAGGTTGAGAGCGTTTGTTCTGCGGATGTAACTTGATGTTCATGTTTTGGTGGCGTTTGCATGCTGATGATGTTTTGCTGTACAATTCGAAATCTGTGTTATCACTGTGGTTGCCGCTACTATTTAGCACAACAGTTTTGTTGCCTTCGTGAGCTTTGAAACATTCCATTTTGTTGAAATATGATTTTTCCGGGGAAGAGTTACTTCGCATCAACTTCCGCTTCCTGATCGAAAAACAAAATTTTTTGTTGAATGTTTTTTTAACGACCATGTTTGGCAATTTGGCATTTTTTGTATTTTAATAATTTCATTAAATGTTGAAAGATGTAACTAAACTGTTTGTTGCATCTTCATTTTGAAATGAAGAAATGATTCAATATTTTTGGTTCATATAATTAGAATAACATTGTGGACTTATTAACTAATTTTATTATCTTTATAATTTGAAAATATGCAAATCAATTTAGTTCATATGGAAATTTATAATTTGTATATAATAGTATATAAGTAGAGCTCGTGATAAATAGCACCGACGAGTTTGTAGCGATTGCAAGCGATCATTTCAAATATTGATATTCACCTTTTTCCTACTTTGCCAACTAACAATTTTACAATAAAAAGGGCGAAAAAATAATTTAAGCAGTATTTTGTATATAGCAAAAAATTCATAAATCTTAAAAAAGTGCAATAACAACAAAGCCTCCACAACTTCTGAGCGATTGTAGACAGCCACAACGGCAACAAGATAAATAAAAGTGGGTAAATGAAAGGCCAAAAATGTAACAAAAGCCAACCGCGTATAAAACAAGCAACTCATAAACAAAGTGCAAGCATGACGAAATGATAAACGTTGAAAAAAAGTTCCGCATAACGGCCAACGTAAAGATAGGAACTGACAAACTACAAATTGTTCGTTCAGTACATCAGCAATATAGAAGACTGTATGAACATGACGAACATGAATGATACGATGAACTGGGTTGTGAGGAATGAGGAATCACAACACAATATAAAGCATGATCAACAATAACAACAAGAGAAAGAGAGAGAGAGAGAAAGAGAAAGAGAGAAGAGAAAAAAACTGATTGTAATAAAATACAAACAACAAAAACTGACACATAAACTTGAAGTAAAAAAGGAATAAAAATAAGAAAAAAATAATAAGAGGATTAAGAATAGGCAAGAGTAGGAAAGAAGAAACATGTGTTTTATGCTGGCCTTCATCCGTTTTTCTATTCTGAGTTATTGAGAATGGTGTTCTCATGTCGTAATATTATAAATCACTGATAATGCTTATAACGTCAGACAGCATTTGGACCGTATTTAAAACATTCACTGAAAGACACGTAACCTCAAGTTTTGGAACAAAACCAAAATATTTTATTACTGAAATATCTTCAATTTGGAATTAAAACTCATATTATTTTTTTTTCACAATTTATTTGTAAATAATTTTTACTTTTGAAAAAAAAGCTAAACACACGCGTGTGCAGTGCAAATACTTGAGGGGATGACGGCGGCATGGAGCATGCCATATGCGCTGTAAATCTGAAAATGTCATGCAACATCTAAGTGAAGGAACTGCTAATTAAATCCTACATGAATCATTATATTCAGCTGCGATATGACCGCACACATACACGCGCACGCAACCATTGCGCATGTGTTTGTGCTATGCGTTTTGTTGTTATTCGTTGCAACCATCCGCACGTACCTACGTACATACAATCACGCATGTTCATTTGTTTGTTCGTAGACAGCGGACCATCACGCGAGAGTTTTCATTAACACGTGTACGGAATAAATAGCGTCAATTAATTATTGAAAAGTTCATTTATTTATTTATCCATGTTTATTGGGCTTTCTTGCCTTGCCGATACACATACACTCACTCTAATGTACAAATACATGCGCCATCGCTTCTGGAAATCTATTTAATATACCGGCATTTATGTACTCTATCTTATAAATCATTAACAAAAATTAGCAGTAGATATAAAAACTATTTTTTCGTTTATAAATATGATGCCGCGTGAATAAAATACAATCAACAAAGCATATTTTGATCTATAACTAAACGAAACAAATGACTCAATGTACTGTAATGATAATAAACATTGTTCACGCGATAATAAACATTGTTCACTTGTTATACAGTTTAATGATCTGTTGAGTTATTAATATTTATACGAGTTAATGTGATTTGTTTCATAGTAATGCGTTTTTAAATTGGAATAGGCTGCTCGCACTCGTAAATGTTCAGCAACTCAATTCAAAGTTTTTATTTTTATTTAACTACGCTACATCAACGTTGCCTATAAAAGCAGTTGCATTAAATTTCCATTGTTAATTTGTTCCATTGGTAGTCTGAGATTTAGTTTTTTCTGTTGAAGGCGAGACAGTATTCCACAATCAAATATTATATTTTTCGACATGTTTGAGCTTGGCAAATAAAACATACGTCAACAACATTCATGGCAAACTTGACCATCTTAAGATCATAAAAAGCTTGAAAATGTTATCTGATTTATTATTTTTAATGACATTAAATTTCGATTGTCAACTAATAAATGAGACTGAAACAAAAGTGAGGGTGACCTGTGCATCCAGACAAGTCCGACGATGAGGACGCATAAGCCGATGATGAACGATATGCAGACGACTATTATGAAGGACAGGACTGTTTCAGTGATAAGAAATGAATTTGAACGTGTTTCACGACATTGATAGGTGTTTTATTAAAACTTTTAAAAAAGATTTCAAATTTATTTGAAAAAATGGGTTGTTTAATCGATTAAAAAACATTCAGGATACTGTTAGAACAAACAAATGTGTTAATTTAATATGAGCAGCCTAATTATTAATATCTGGTTAGTTATCAGCCAGTCCCCCATATGAGCCACCTTCCCACCTACCAGGCAGCCACCCCCTACCTACCAGGCAGCCACCCCCTACCTACCAGGCAGCCACCCACCCACCCACCTACCTGAAGTTATTTTTAGTTGCTCCCCGCCTCTTGACGACAGAACATCTGACGTACCACCTAGTTTTCATAAAATAAATATAACTACTGTACGTGATGTGTATGAATGGGCACAAATTAGATAACCTTTGTAATCAGTGAACTGAAACAAAATAAAGAAATCTTAGTGTCAGTGCGTAATAAATTTATAAAAATGAAAAGAAGCATAACGCCCTCCTTACTTTCTTCACATCTGCCAACATCGCCCAACCACTGATCCAACACACAGTTCAGTTTCCACCTCGTCAGTTCGTCGTCACTGTGACAACCGATAGCCGTGACGTCATTAATTCGTTTGGTCCACATGTTGGCATCGTTTGTCTTGTAATCAGCACAGCCGAGCACTGCGTGTGTAGGTGTTGTGTGCGTTGTGTTGTGTTGCGATGTCGCTTGTTTCATTGCTTTTGGTAATGTTGGTTTGAATGTGGGCTGGTGTTTTTAGACATTTCCAATTTGATCTGAACGAGTTTTTTTGGTTAACTCTGCAATAGTTTAATTTAGGATAGTTATAAATAGATGTTTTAAAAATATTTTTTTCTTAAGTTCCTCTGTTTATATTTTGTATTAAATTAAAATATGAAAATGACTATTTTTAAACATGAATTTTGATAAAAGGTCACCAACCGTTCTCAGGTTTTTAATTATTTTTCGCAAAAACTTTTAATTTAAATTTAATTAATTTTGAATAAAAATATTAGCAACTTTTAAATAATTGCTCGCTAAGAAGCTGGTTTCGGTAAGAGCAAGGTCTCGTTTTTCGAGCCCTCTCAGGCAGGTGGACGGTGACGTTAAGAATCGCCAGCAGGTCAAGCAGCAGAGTAAGCAGCAAAATAATCGGTGAAATAAATGTATAATAACAGATAAATTTACCGTTGAATTCCACGAGATGTGTTGGTCCAGCTGAGGTGTGCGTGGAGGGGGGTTGGTGGATGATTGATAGACTGACGGAGTGACTGGCGGACAAGAAAACATGTTGGATTCTTACTTGGGGATCAGAGCAGACGATCAGTGGCTCTTTGTTTCTCACGTTGAAATTGTGTTTGTTGGCAGTGTTTTGTTTGCGGTTCTTGAGACTGCCACTGCTACTGCCACTGATCAAGTTGTCAGGTGGTTGGTGTCTATTTTCAACCACGGAGAATATTCTTTGACAGCTGTCCGGTTCTTTAATGGTTTAATGGGTTTCGTGAAATATATTAACATTGTGATTTGGTTATACATGTTGAAAAATGAAAGTGGCTGAACGTGCTGGCGATGATGAACTGATAGTGGTGATGTTGAGGAATAGGAAATGTGGGAGATGTGGAAATAAGTCTTTCCATTTTGAACTGTTGCGTGTCAAATTTTGTATACCAATCTACAATAAAATATTGGAAAAATTAAAATTTAAAAAAAATGAGGCGAAATGAAATGAAATAATGGAGCTAAAAATATTCCTTAACTGATGGGATGCCAGCGTTGATGACCAGTTGCCGCCAACATGCTCATTTTGTACATCGTTGTTTAACTCTCATTTTGTCTTCCATCTACTATTTCAACACATTCTCTTATTCATTTCATACTGCACCAGGTTAACTCTTATTTTCATTATGCTATTTTAACTCTTTACTGACCTCAAATTTTCCATTGTTTCAAAAAATTTTAAATGTAAACCAACACCAAGTCAACATAAAAAATTAAAGCAAAAGAGTTTTATGCGTAAGAAACAATCAATAAGTAATAGTTGCTATTTCAGTGAATGGTACAACATTATTTGCAAAAAAACAGCCAATAAAAATGTTGAAAGTTGAACGCAGAATATATTTTAAAAGTAGAAGCAATAAAGAAGTCTCTGTTAGCAAGTTTATTCAAAATCGTTTAAATTAAATTATGCTTATAAAATTATACATTATTTCAAAATTCATTAAAATGGAATTCACTCTAATTGAAAGTAAATGACTGAAAGAAGAGAATGCAACAGCAGTCTTAAAAGTTGTGTTTCAGTTGTAACGTATTGAAGCATTTGAGATGGCGAGGAGGATCGTAAGTTATGACAGCTCCACACGTCTTCACGCCATTATAATCTTAACTGTCTGCTATTCGTCTCTTGCTCCTCTCCTTTTTTTATTTACATTTTTCGCTTTCTGTTTTTCGGAGTGCGTGCACTCGTTGGCAAGTAGGGAGGTGTTATGTTCTTAACTTCCAGTGCATTGAAATAAAAAAAGAGAGAAAGCTGCAATCCGACTAGGCTGAAAACCCTGCCTGGTATGTCAGCACCAGCAACAAATATCTGACTTTTGTTTATTTTGAAATGAAAAGTATGTTTATTCAATGCAATTAAAATTTAAGACATTTAAAGTAAAATTACTATATGACGTCAAATAAAATCTACAATTAAATTCTCATATGATACTGAAAAAAGAATGTAAAATTTGTGCGGCGAAACCAATTTATAAGCTCGTTTTAAAAAGAAATAAATTTTAAGGAATGGTTTTTAAGGAAAATTCAAAGTTGGAAAATAAAAAATATTTTAAATTATATTATGAAGTTTGTGTTATTACGCTTCATTCTAAGTTTTTAAAGTACAACGTGAAATTTTTTCTTACAAATTGTTTCGTTGATCTCCGTATCTTAATTTATTTGTTTTGATTCATTGAATTTTTGTTATATATATAAATATAATTATTTACGTAATATATAAGTATATATGTAATATAAAATCGTATATATAATATAAATCTTCATCCATTGTTACTCCAACTTATGAAAGACTATCATCCGAGAAAGAGCATCGATAATTGTAGGCGCGGTATGTTCATTTATTGACTTTTCTACGAATGTTGGCGTGCCGCCTCTGCTAATAACCAACCTTTTTGTTCTGTTAGCCGTCTATTGATTCGTCCATTTGTGTTGTTTTTGGGAGTTTTTGATGTTTTGATTTATTGCACTTTATTTTGATGCTTAATGTTATTGCAAATTTCTTAAAATAATAAAAATTTTTCATTAATTGAAATTTACAGCAACAACAACAACAACGAACCAGGTCACTATACTTGCTAACAAAGTTTGTTCATTCAGAGAGTTGGTTTTCAACAACAAAAAAACAATAGCGAACGGGGAGCGGGCAAGCTTCGCGCGTTAAAAACTCTTCAACGCAAGAAAACTTTACAGGCAGTTCATGCAAAATGCAAAGACGTTTCACCGGCGCCTGTATTACGTATGCAGAATTTGTTGTAAACATAAAAAACACATGGAGAACATGTTTGCATTATTTGTGAACATTTCGTTCGCATGTTGCCTCTATGTTCATTCGTCTGTCCACAAATAACATCGGACAACAAGCAAAACAACAGACAACAAACATCAGACAACAACCAACTTTGGAGTGGAATAGCTTATAATAATTGAAGGCGTGAATGAATAATTGAGTGTGGCCTGATTTAAATATTCAAAAGCTTTTTACTGAAACTACGGTACTTTTTTTATTATTTCTCTTCTAGAAATATTAAAAATTAAAGTTTTACGATGCAACGCTCCGTGCATCTTAATGATTTTATATTTCTAGATTTTTTCGCATTTTTATGAATTAATTTATTTTTTATTTTCTATGTCAGCATCAGTTTTTTGTTCTTTCAGTTCAGTAAGTTGGTTTTGTTAAAGAAACAGCGAAAGAATAATTTGTAAATGAAATGAAAAAAACTTTAATAAACATGGATGACGCTATGGCGTAATGGTTAAGGTGTCTGCTACTGCTGTTGCAGTGAATAGGTTTGAATACAAGATCTGCTGCGTTGACCATGTGTTTACTTTCACTGCGCGTTTGCTGCTGCTGCCTCTGGAATATACAGAAGAGAGAATTGTAGAAAACAAAGAAGCACATATAGTCGATTGGATCGCATCCCAGAAACACAACATTATAAACGCCAATAATAATGTAAACGTTGATGTCAACATTGATGTTAATTTTAATAAGGGTTGTAGTCCTAGCTCATCTCCTCATTCAATCTCATACCTCTCCATCTCACTCCATTCTATCCTAGTTCATTCCATCTCATTTCAGCCTCTATCATCCTAACTCATCTCATTCCACCCCATTTTGTGCCATTGAATTTCACCTTAATCCATTCAATCCCATCCCATTCCAGTAGAGGACACCAACGAGACATTAGGAAATCTTTCGAGTGCCCTCTTTAATTGTGCAAATCAATACGAATGATGCACGAACACGCGGGCATATGAACAGAGGTTTGCAAATTAGAGGTTTGCTTATAGGAAACATACAAACATCAATGATTGCATGCAGATTGTTTGTATGCATGCATGCATGCATTGTATCTTATATATACATCAGTACGAGTGCATGTCAAAATCATAAACCTACTACAACAAACATTCATTCACTTCATTTCGCGATTCGTATATGAACCTAATCTCTCAGTTTATATATGACGGAATTATCTATAATAAGATGAATATAATTACATCCATGCATTTGCAATGTACGCAGCATACAAAACGCATGTATCCTACATCATTTTGACCAGATTATACATCCGTAAGAGCAAGCAAATGCAGTGGACAGCTTGAAACAAACTAACCATCTATTCAATTCTCCACAAGAATGCTAAAAAGTGAAAATTTGAAATATTAAAGTGAAAAAATATCTCAATATTTTTTCCGAGAGAAATATTTGAAATAAGATTTTTGTAAAATTTATAAAAATAATTTTTCCAATTCGTACAAAAAATTTGGAAATTAATTCTACATCAGCTGAAGCATTTTTTAAAGAAAATTCAATTAAACTTTTTTTGAACGTGAAGATTATTTTGAATGAGTACATTTGGAAATTTAAAACTTTAATCACATCATCACATCACTGTAATATAATTTGAATTTGTGTTATATTATTTATATTATGTTAAACTACACACACACACACACACACACACACAATCACACACACACAATCACACATACACAATCACAACACACACAGACACACAAGTTTTGCCAACAAAGAAAAAGCGTTGCGACAAACAACTGTAGCAGTAACAACAACAACACGTCTACTGAAGAACAATAACATATCCAGCACAATTCATTCGCCTCAGGGTTGTCTACAACTTTGTCCGTTCCTTTAATCTTCATATAATTTTTTCTAATTATCATGTTACCTGTATTTTTTTAAATCATCCCCATTTCTTAAAACATGCGCTGAGTTTATTTCTATCTACAAACTTTCCTCGCTTTTTGACCCGTCACTAACCGAATCAGTAAAATTATGTGAAGACAATATTAAAATAAATAGAGGGATAATTAAAATATGTGAATAGGCAGATGAAATTTGAATGAGAGCGCGAAAAAGTATTATGCAGCCGGAGGTGACATTACAGTGGCAGACAGACGGCCTTCTATTGTTTGATCCTCTTCAACTTGGCCATCTCGTGCCATTAAGTCTCCCTGCCATTCAAATGAAACTCTTTTTTAAATCTTGCCTTAACTTTTCTTTGTTATGCATTTAGATAAAAGCACGCGATGCAGACAGTAGAGAATAATTATCTACAAAATTATAATTATATTCATTTATAAATATAATTTTGTCAATAGAACAAGAGACGAAATGTACAAATAATAATCTTTTCTCTCAAAGTAAACCTAATAGTTCAGTTCTTCTAACAAACACGGCGGCTAATGTTAATATTAATTATTGACAGACACGTCAGTAACTCACTATAACTTCTCATCCTGTCGATATTCCAGAGGCTGATGTTGATTCGCTGGCCAACTTTGGCTTCGAGTAACCATGGCGACGAACTCGATCCACATCCGGTCAGTAAGGTCACGTGATTCGAAATGAACCCTCGCTGTTCTTTCACGTGAAAGGGTTTCATTAGTCTGCATTCGCTTGCGTCACCGCTAATGACTGCGAGATGGTTATGATGATGATGATGATGATGATGATGATGATGATGATGATGATGATGATGATGATGATGATGATGACTGAAATGAAGTGTTGTGATGATGGTTATAATGACGATGAGGATGATGATGATTGCAATGATGGTCATGATAATGATGATGATGGTTGTGATGATGATTGCAATGATCGTTGCAATCGGAACTATTAAAATTTATTTTGATGAAAAAAAACGAGAGAACGATCCAACTAAAGTAGCAACTGGAAATCAAACCACTTTCAGAATTAGTCACCAAACCACCCAACCAACTATTAAAACACTTATGAAGTAGCATCTAACACGTGAAATAATGTTATGCGATAAGTAGTCTTGTATAGATGAATAATTCTTGCAGTCACACTTCATGCTACGGTGCTGCTTACATGCAACTGCTCTTGCCTGTTCAATCTATCATCACCAACTAATTGATTTAATGTCCACAATTATCATCATTATAAGAAAACTATGAAAATTTAATATTCTATATATATATATATATATATATATATATATATATATATATATATATTGTATATAGATAATAATTTGAAAGCTAACAGTCAAACAGTTTTTTTATTTGCTTTAGAAATGGAAACCGCAAACGATCAGACAGATGGCAATAATTAGATTGCATGGCTGGAGAGTTGGTCAATGGTTGCAATCTGTTGTTCGTCACGTCGCATGTCATCAAGTTCATCATATTCATATTTATCGTCATTTTGTCACTGTCATCATCATGCTACATTGTCATTCTTCGCATTTGTCATCATAGACGAGATGAGATCTTCATCGTATCCATATCAGTATGAATAAAACCGTCATTATTAATTAACTGCTGAAACTGCTTGTATTTTTTAACAATTTATCCATTCAAAACCAACAAGTGACAATAATTAATAAAAATAATTTTAATTATGTAAGAACAATTCACTTTATGGAATCAAGTAAAACAAAGCAAGTCTTGTGAAGGTTTATATTGACATATAAAGGTCATTTTTTGATATCTTTGATACCGCAACCCAGACAAACCATCTTCCGAACTCATGTTAAATAGGGATTTAATTTCCCCTGCACGTTTATAGCATTAGTTCATTTGACAAATTTTTATTTACTATAAGCAAAAAAGAAGGTCATTGAATAGAAAACAATGGAGAAGTCAACCCGCCATCCTCATTGCAACCTACCTCCCTCATCATCACGATAATAATAATTAGTGGTCATCATTGTTGCCATCCTCATCATCTTCATCAGCATCATCACCATGCCAACAAGCCATCAACTGACCTTTCCTGCAGGAATATGACGCTTCGAGATAGGACGTCACTTCCTTCAAGCAGGGATTGAATTTGTCGATGTCCGGATTGGGAACGATAATCTTGCATTGTTGCCTGCCTGTTTAGTTGCCACGAAAATATGGAAAAAAATTTTTACGGAAAATTTATCGTCATTATTATTTGCACAGAATACCATTGCTAAAAATGTTTTAAAACTAAAATGATACATTGAGCTTTTTTCTGCTATTTTAAATTGCAAACTTCTAATTTTTATTTATATAACTTTAAATCAGACGACCAGCTCGAGTTTAATTTTTTAAATCTTTTTCCAACTTTCTGCTCTTAGTCATAAACTTACTGCTTTAATGTTTCATTTTATGGTATGGGTAAGCTCGCCATAATTCAAGGTTGCGTTGGCATTCTTATAAACATCTGAATTACATTTTTTCCAGCTTTCATTTGATTCGTTTAACACTGCTTCATTGATTGAAACTTTACATTACAACCTTTTGATGTTCTGCACGCTTATCATGGTTTCAATAAATTCATTTCATAACAAATAAAATGTTTCGTTATATTCGTTATATTTCATTTGCAACTACTGCCGTCATCAAATTAAGTTTCGTCACCAGCGAGATGTCTTCATTTCAATTTCTAACACTGGAACCACCCAACTGCATTCTCTCTATTACAACATTAATTACTGAAAACAAGAGCAGCACTGACGTTTATCTCACGTCAGACCTTCTTACAATTTAAACGGGAAACCTTCATAAAGCAGAAATAATGATTCCAGAGCTAAAACCTTTAAAGCTGATGTTGGAATGTACTTAACTGTGCCAATGATCTTTGCTAGTCGACCTTAAATTCATGCACTATATTTCAATTCCTACATATTTACTTCCATGCACCAATTAGATAGAAACCTGTGCAGACGTGATCCATGTAGTGAATGACGTCGGTGGAACAGCCCAGCTCCCCCATGGCCTGTTTCACACACCTCCCTATCGACATCCTGCCGTACCTGCGTTCAACATTATGTTGCAAGAAATGTGCGAACGTACGTAGTTGTGATTGCTATGGATGCCGTGCTGATGTTACGAGGTCGGCCGAGTGATTGAGTCAAAATTTATTGAAGTGAAATGTTAACAATAGAACAAAATCATCACCAGTTATTAAAATTAAAACGAAAATATTTAGAAGTTTAACAAATGAAAGTATTGAAATAAGAAAATGCAAGGTATCAGAGCCTGGTTTGTTATGGTTTAACTACTAGTAAAAAATAACTCATACAGTTTAAGCAAGGTTAGCAGTATGAGGAAATTGAACAACACGAACAAAACAATCAGCGTGAACAATCTGAAGAACACAAACAATAACAACAGCGTGAACAATGTAAGAACATAAGAACCGAACATGAAGAGCTACCTGGCTGACTCCATCACAACAATCTCATCGGGAAGACATCTCGTCTCAAATGAGTCCCACTTGCAATATTCTTTGGAAACTGCATGCACGATGAATTGGATGGGTGGATGAAACAGATCAATGAATTTGCATTTGATCGAATAAAATTTTTCATAGGAACGTCATTTAACCGACTCAAGATATTTATTCATTGAATTATTTGATAATAATAATAATAATAACTATAATAATAATAATAATAAGTATTATTATTATCATCGTCATCAGAACATCTATAGAATGCCTTTTATAAAGGAACATCCCTCAAAAGGGCTCTCAAAAATTCAATACACAATGTTAATTAAAACAGAACGAAAAATTGAAATAAAAATCTATGTCGTGTTTATCAACAAAATGAATCAATCGAGTGATGTTTCTGTTTTCATTCTTGACTTGGTTGTTGCTTGTCGATCACACGGGTTAATCACTCTTGTTGAATGTCCGATCTCGCACCTTACCTACATACTCCGACCACGAGTTGTCGCTAGTCATCACATCCATATATTTGGCATCTACGCTCAAACGAAAAGAAGTCGTTGGGTGCTAATCATCCTGCCTGACCTCGTCCATCCTCTTCTTGAAAGCATGACATATAAATACATACACATATAATAAACCAAATATATATATATATATATATATATATATATATATGTGTGTGTGTGTGTGTGTTTGTGTATGTGTGTGTAACGACAACAGTACTAACACAACAACATCAACAATCACAACATCATCAACAACCACAACAGCATCAGCAACAACAAAATCAACAACCAGCACAATATTATGGAAATAAAAGCCATAAAAACAGAGTTTGGCTACAATAGTTAGACTTTTTTTGAATAAAAGAACGCAAAAGAGCAGCACAACGTAACAATAAGGACATGAATTATACAACAGCGAATATCCATTTGAAATGAGCCATAAAACGTACGTTATTACGACTTTACAAGTGTTTATGGCTGACCGTGATTTTATTCGGCCGGATGTTTGTAGGCGCTAAACAAAATAATCGAATAATACCGGTCCGCATTGAGCTATCGATACAAATAAAACCGATGCAGTTTGGTTGTTGCGTAGTTGTTGCTGTGTTGATAAACTTTTGTCGCTTGTTGATGTTTGGGCTCGTGCTTAGTATTCTTCAATGAAGATACTGGAAGCTGTTGACGTTAATTAGTAGGTTGGTTTAATGTTGGTGTACGTATGTATACGTCATATAGCTATTTCTTGTTATTGGAATCTTGTTTGCATTCTTTTAATCATTGCAGACCAGTTATTTAATGATAAGTTTGTGTTGGTGTTTTGGCTGGAAATAACTTTGTTTGAGGAGTTGCTGAAGAGTCAGAAGTAAATTTGGCATTTTCAAAACATCAATTTAGTTTATATTGAAAGATATTTGAACGTGCAAGTATGAGCAATTGAGCACCCACAAATATATACGAACACACACACACACACACACACCAACATACTCAAATATACACAAATAAGCACCACACATGCAGGCACTGACGGATAAAAGAAGCCCATAACGAATTTTACATTGGAAGAATGAACAAATGTGTCGGCCTGTCGATGCTGCGTTTCATTGAATTGTCAGACTGACATCAAAAATATCTGAAAATTTCAAAACCTGGATTCAACAGAAGACATTTAAACATGTTTTTGATGGCTTTTTATTGTAAAATTCAGTTTTAATACGCTAATCGTGCTGCAGCAGACTGAACAGTCTTAATTGAAAACACTGAAATTTTGTATTTGTTCTGTAATGACACATCTATGATTGCATAAATGAACCAAATATGCGTCCGATGAATTGATTGTGTGTGCGTCTGTGAATGTATGTATGTTTATTTGTTTGTTTGTGTGTGTGTGTGTGGTTTCGGCGCAAGTTGGTGTGGGTGTGGGTACAATATGATTTGCTTATGCACTGAGGTTCATTTTAAAGAGCGGGGATCGTGAAAATCAATTTTAGGTTCACTTATTTGTTTCTTCATTTGGACACTTAAATAATTAGATATTTTTAAAAATGGAAAATAAATGAATAAAATAATCAAAAGTGGAAAAATAGAAAAATAGCAGAATTATTGAGGAATAAAAGAATGCTTTTCTTTTAAGACGCTCTGTTGCCGAGGAGATAATGAAGTTGTCATTGACGTCTGCTCTCTCTCTACATTCTCCTCAATTATTTGTACTCTGCATGTGCGCACATACCGCACACACACACACAAACACACACACACACATGTATGTGTTTGTACAGAAAACACAATCAACTGAGAGGTATGAAATGAAAGAGAGAAACAGGGGAACAGAAAGAAAATGAGTGAACACAGAATGAAACACGAGGTGAAATTATTGCTGCACGGGTAGTCGAATGTTTTTTTTAACTATGTGACCACAAACTCAGACAAAGATAATTTTTCTTTCAAATTTTTTAATAATGTTTTTTTTTATACCATTTTGAAAGTTTTTATTTTTGTAATAATTTTAAGCAAAATGTCGAAACTCAATATTTCAAGATTATCGTTGATTACCGCCACTCCAAATTTGAAGATTTAAATTGTTCAGCAAGGTGCTTATTGTAGGATAACAATAAAACGGTATATAGAAAGAAATTGAATAATCCCAAGTTATGCTCACGCATAAGCGTGTGTGAGTGCAGTATATACGCACATGCACTCCCACACACACACATACACACACGCGCGCGCGCACAACACACTAAGAGGCAAGGTAACTGAGCTAACTCAAACTTTGCATCCTCTCTTCCCACGTGCATTGAACCATCTGACCTGTGTTTGTGTGTGTGTGTGTGTGTGTGTGTGTGCGTGCGTATGTTGGTATGCTTGTGTGTCTGTGTATTTAGGAAAGTATAGGTATTGTAATATTTAAAATAATAGCAAAATATTATTTAAATATAAAAATTTTAACGGTAAGGATGTGTGTAGTTATGTATTTGTTGATTCATTGAATGTTATTAACACACGAAATTCATGTGCACGCACAATAATTAAACACATGACAACATCATTATAATATGCTCAGAGCTAATGAACATAAAATTCACACGTGAACTTTCCTAGCGCACATGCTGCTTGACCATGTTATACAGGTAAAAGTACTCAGACAATAATTTATGCATAAAACTTATGGCACAAAGAAATGTGCATTCCAATAAAAGATGATGACAATACATCATGTATTGATGCGGGCGCGTGTATCTTCCATACTTATCAATAGTTGAGTTCCCAATACTCAATAAGTTAATGATAGGAAAATGTCCAACTCACTTCACAATTAACGACGCTGTTATTATGTGTCATGTATGCCTAGCCTAACCTTTAACATACAATGTTCTTAAATTATGCGCTTATATAGCTATATGTGTATATATAGGTATATATATATATATATATATATTATGTAGCTATATAATCCGTCATATACAATTATATAGTATATACACATGAAAAGAAGCAAGATTTTGGCCGGGGCTGGGGCCGAACTCCGGTGCATCCTTACATTTTTTAAAAAGTGAACTTCATTCATTATATGCAGCTGTTTGTTTTTGAGCGCGGTCAGGTGTCCTGAGAGTAACTGAAGGTGAATAAATTTTTATATTTTTAATTAATTTCCAGCTCTTCGCATCTCAACCGCCTTCAGAGGGTGAATGTGAATATTCTAGGAAATAATTTTGTGACAGAAAATCACGAAGTCAATTGAATTTTTTATTATTCATTAATCTTCATTCAACTCTTTTTGCCATTTTTATTTGTTTCATGAATCATAATTTTATTCTATAAATAAAAAATGGATATTTCTTCAACTATGAATAAGCCTGCCGAAACGCAAGCCTGACGTTAACAACGATGTTGATTTGATGTGGGCGATTGTTGTATTGATATTGTAATAAATGTTATAACCAGCATGTCGGAGACGGAATCTGTTGGAGTCGGAGTCAGTCGGAGTCAGTCGCCAGAGTATAGAATTTTTTTCAGCCGAATCCCGACTCCGAAAAATATTATTAATTAAAATTTTTTTCCTCAAGTTTTTTTAAAAATTGCGTTATTTAGAAGATGAATATGTGTAGTTATATGCAATCATTTTTCATACTGAAAATAAATTTTAGTAATGTAAATAAAACCACGTAAATTTTTTCAGTAAGTTTTAAAACATGAAAATTAAATAAAAAATGTTTTGTATAATTTCATAAAATATTTGAAAAATTTCACAAATTTTGAGCCGAGTGGCAACGAGTTTTGAGAAAGATATGTTAAAAATAGATCATGAAATGCGATCTAGAATGAAAAATTAAAAATAATCTTCACTCCACTTGGAAGATGATAACGGATGAACGAGTGCTAACATTGTACGTATTCCCATATAACGCGATCATGCGCCTGATAATGGTGATGTTATTTCTTATGTAAAAACGTGATGATGAAGATGCACCCGTAAGAAGAAAGTTTAAACCTATCATTTTTGTGATGCGACAATGGTTGAGGATTTTACTTATTTGTCATTGTTCCTTTGTGTCATTGATCAATATAACGACAAGTTTCATGATCCACAATTACTAAAAGGCATCTTACAAATGTACAATTAAGCCAAGTGTATCCTGTGCGTTTGTTATATTACATACACTCAGACACACACACACACACTCACTCACACACTCACACACACTCACTCACACACACACTCACTCACACACACACTCAGACTCACACGCACACTCAGACTCACACACACACTCAGACTCACACACACACTCAGACTCACACACACATACACGCACACACACATACACGCACACACACACTCGTGTTAGTACGTAAGTACGTGTGCATGCATTGTTTGCCATTTATTGATCACACTTTTCTTCTGCTGGTAAAACAATTCCGTACTTAGAGATAGCCGACCGGCAGCATGACAACTTCGTTATTGTAGTTATTGTATTCGGCGTGATGCGGTTGTTTTTTTATATTATCCAATAGTTTAATTATGTTACTTTTTTGTAAACTCGACATGAAATCTTTACAACATTACACCATACAACATCGCATTACGTCACGTTACCTCATTTTCAACAATACGTCTCATCGACGTGGTTGTGGTAGTAGCTCAGACAGTATGCCTGCTTTGTTTCGAGTAGTTTAACGTTATGGCACGTTGTCCTGGTTCAAATGCTGTCGGTCTAAAACACGTAAGCTGCTACTTGTGTGTATGATGCTGACATCGTACATAGATGTGTGTGTGTGTGTGTGTGTGTGTGTGTGTATCTCTGCGGTGGTTGTGTTGGGAAGTTTGGTATTACAAAAATTTGATGGCGAATATGTTAAAAAGATATTTAAACAGCTTTGCGTTTGTCAGAGCTGCATAACAAAATACAAAATAATCACATTATATTTATTGCAATATCAAATTGTGACATCATTTCAACATCCCATCACGTCCTATCGTGACATCACAACATCACATCATCACATCATTACAGTTCTTTGATATCATCTAGCTAGCATTATATTGCGGCATAACGTCCACACAGACTCTACAGGATTATACTCTCTTATTTTATTTTCACCTTTATTCAGCTACACCACCACCACCAACAACAACAAAAACTACATTAATAACAACATCAACAATGACAACAACAGCATTATTTTGAACGGCATCAACAAAAAATTAATTAGAACATCAACTATCGTATCAGCAACATTGTCAATTACATCAACAGAATTGACAATAACATCAATATTAAAAACAACAACAAAAGCAACGACAACAACAAATCGTCAACAACAACAAAAGCAACAAAACAAAAACAACAACAAAATCAACAATTTTGAAGTTAAATCCAACAAATACTAAAAATACCTCAAACAACAACAAAAATTGCCACCATTAAATGTATCAACTTGACCCAGCAACATCAAACACAACAACAACATCAAACACAACACCAACAACAACATCAACAAAGACACCAACAACAACACCACCACCATCAGTTTCCTGCAGTTGTAACATCCAATTGATTCTGTCAGTGAGTACCTTGCGCAGATTTACACTGCATTATTTTTTATCTGACGTCATTAGAAAACGTCATTATCACGTGATGTTCCTTTTAATGGCATGTGTGAATTTGTCGTCTGGGAAATTGTTTTCTTTGTTTCCATTGTATGACAAGCAAGCAAGCGCCTACAACTTCAAGCTTCACACCACCACCGCTACTTCATTTGTCTCAATGAACAGAGATTTCTTTGTTACAATTTGGTCGGTCGATTTTGTTTGTTCTTACAATGTTTGGTGGCTGTGGCGCTGGTAAAATTAGATACTTGTGGCGGTGGTAGTGATGGTGGTGGTGGTAGTCTTGGTGATGGTTGTTTGTTGTGTGGCTTGGTTGTTTGTTGAAAAAGTTATTTTGAAATCACAAATCCGTCGTTGAGAGCAGATTAAAATGATTATTATCAAAAGAATCTCTTTAAAACAATAGCACGCTTGTACGTACATGTATGTTGAAGTGACGACAGAACCATCAAAATAAGAACAAAACAACATTGATGCAGCAATAGAAAAATATCAACATTCAGTTGTTCAGTTGATCCCAACAACAACAAAATTAACATCAGGAAAAATTGAAACACAACGAAACGACAGAGGTATGCTGTATCGTAGCACGGCACTCCACACAGGTAGGTAGGAAGGTCCTTTCATCAAGAAGGGAGTGCAAACTGGAATGAAACATTCCGTGCGATACCTATGTGGAAAATATTTTAAACACGTTTTGCATTTTAATAATTACAAGCACTTCACTTATGTCAGTTTGGGAAAATTTTGGATTAATTAAAATAAAAATTATTTTAAACAAAATTTTTACAAAAGTTTTACAATAACTACGTGAACCGATGACACGTGGACTTTGGATAAAAAAATATTTTTAGAAATGTCTACTTTATTTATTTAATTACACTCAACTAGTTCAATTTAATTTCATTTAATTAATTTTATTTAATAAATTATATTTAATTATATGTAATCAATTGAATTGAATTCAATTTGATTAATTAAATTTAATTAATTGATTAAATTAAATTGTGTTTAATTAGACCAATTAAACTCAATTCAATTTAGACAGCCACACGATGTCACAGAAGAAATGACACAATGAAAAAAAATTTTTTCCATTCCGATTCAGAAATGCGTCACACAAAAATTAAAAAAAATCTTCAAATTGGAAATACACACACAGCTGAACAAAATTTATCCAAACAAAAGTTTCATTCAAAGGTTTGAATTGTTCCAAAACAAAAGTGTTTTTGAAAAATCTTTCTTGTCTACTTGACTACTTTTTGCGTTGGTGGAATACTTGAGCCTTCAAAAGCCGTCCACACATCCACTCCAATTGTAGCAATTATAGCACTAGTTCTCACACAACTTTGCTTCCCTCAAAACTCTGCTAAAATAATTTTCAAATTTCACAATTGGGGTTATAAGTAATACATATACACACTTCACACACACACATACACACTCACATACACACACAGGCACGCACACAAACGCAAAAACAACTTTTTATTTTTTTATTATTATGTTTAGAAAAACAAAAATATAACGTAAGTAATTGACAGTAATGATTAAAAAAAAGTTGGTACACAGAGCTGTAATAACGTGATGATAATGAATGAAATAGTCGAGAACAATAAAATGATGACGACGATGATAGCGATAACAAAATGGTAATAATGATGATGAGGTGGTAATGATGGTGATGATAATGTCAGAAAGAAAGGAAGAAAGAAAAAACGAAGGAAAAAACACAATGATGCTTTTCCTCTTGACTTTGAATTGACGCACGCAACTACTTAGCGGCTCAAAAATGAACTGAAGTTTGCCAAGTAAAACATCGGAAATGCATTACAAGGTAATTGTGCCGGCACTGTTTGTGATGTGAAGATGAAGAAGAAGATGAAGGAAATGATGATGATGTTGTTGGTGATGATGGTGACGGTAATGGTATTTAGGTCGGTGATGATGATACTGACAATGTTTTTGTTGAAGAGGACGATAGTGACTAATATAACATGATGATGATAATAGTGATAATGAATTTGATGGAGATGATACAGATAATAAATATGAGGATACAAAGAGATAAAAGTAGTATTATGATATAGTATATTTGAATTGCTAACGACAATATGTGACTGAATAAATGTCTACAAAATGTCATTATCATTTATTATTTTTTAGTGTAACATGACGATGTTGATAATGATGACGATGTTGGCGATGTTGATAATGATGATGTTGTTGTTATTGTAGCTGGTGTTGTTTACTGTTGCGTAATTCGACCGAGCGTGAATGAAAAATGATGACAATAATTTCTTAAAATGTAATGACAATCATTATCATTATAGTGGTGTCATCATAACATTATCATTACACTAGTACTACCAACATTCCTATTAATAGTACTAACAATAGTAGAGTCTCCACAATTTACCAGTATCATTTAAGCAGGATATCCTAAATTTAAAAGTATCCTATCAGTTGAGTATCCAAAATTGAGCTGTATCATTACCGCAATAATCATTATGTTATTTTTTTTATCATCATCCAGCATCCATTCCATAATCAATTTTTTTTCTGTCGTACGGTTTTGTTGTTAGATATATGTCAACAGTTATTTCGTCATTCTCATCCCAGCTTACATGTGCCTGGCGACTTGTTTCAACAACAGCCTTCACCTTTCTTGAACAATATGGGCAAACTGACTTCTCCACGAACCAGTCTTCAGCACATCCGCAATCAATTGAATGTCCACACGACATTTCATAAATGAATTTTCCTTCATCATAATCTTCGAAACATACCGGACAACTTGTATTCAAAGAAAATTTCTCTACAAACGGAACAATTAGGACGTCTGTATGAGCACCTTCCTTGAAGCATGTGTCCGTGTGATGGATATCTCCTCCGAAATAGGTCTCTTGGTAGCAACTCCTGTAAAACATATTCTCTCTTGGTAATGTGGAGAAGTACGATATTTGCATCTCCTTGAGATTTTTATAAAGTAGTTCAATAGATATTGATCGAAACTGCTCTGTCCACTTCTTCTTTTTGTGGTTCTTACCTAGGACTACGACGCCGGCTAGATCCACTACATCTTCTGCCAAGAAATTGGCAAAATCTCTTATATCGTTGGCAGAAATATTGTAATCTGCAAAATGTTTTTGTAAAAACTCAACGTACGCATTCCTAGCGTATCCGAACACACGATCTATGAATTCTATAAAATACATTTCAACGGCGTGCGATACTTCCGACCTGAAAAGACTTTTTTCAGTTGAAGTATTCATTTTATCACAATTAATATCTTAACTAATTTCAAAATTACGAACTGAATTAGAATAAAATAAAATAAAAGGAAAATTTGCTTATATATATATATATTCAAACAATTTACAATCTCATTATAAGAAAGATACAATATCACAAAGTGTTACCATAGATAAAATAATGGTTGATTAAATAAAGTTTCTCACATGATCGTAAATTAACTTAGTTGATAGTGGCTTTTTGGTATTTTGACAAAATTATTCTAAATAATCGTGACAGCAACAGACACAGAGACATCAATTACAATACCAACCATAGCTTCACACACAGCAGTTTACAGCTGTCATAGCAGCAGCAACAACATTGTACAATCAGACAAAACTTCAAATCGGATTAACTTCGAATAATAAAAATAAATCGTCAATAACATCTATAATATTAATAGTAGTAGTAGTAGTAATAATAATAATATAAATAATAGTAATATTATAGTACGCACAATAACAAATCGTGTCAAAGTATTATCATCAAACCACGAGACCTCTTACCAAAGCATCGTCATTAAAAATAGCAAAAAAAAAATCGTAGAGTAACAACAAAACATTGGTTGCAATGTGGTGAAGATGACGATGATAATTATGTTATATGACAACCAAAACTGTACCCTGTTGGCTGTTAGTTGTTGTAATCTACGTTTTAATGTATAACTCGGAAATGAATCTTGGTAAAAAATCTCTTTTTTTATCTTTCTACTAAATTTCTTTCAATTCTGGGATTACAACACAAATTTTAGTTTGGTGTGATGATGATCAAATCGTAAGTTTTGGATTATGGCTTAACAGCAACATACATGTTTGTTTCCCCACGGCAAATCACCCGTTCGGTCAAAAAATAATTTATGATAACAAAATTTGTTTAATTTTAAACAATAATAATAAGGATGTAACTCGTTTGTTAATGTTAGTGTCTTGCTGGTTTGTTTTTTAAAAGTTGAATTCGAAGTAATTGAGAAAATTTAAAGAAATGAGTGTGTCAGTCATGCCGTGTCAAATGTTCTTTCAGCTGACAGTTGAGCGTTAAACATTGTTTGATTTCTGCAGACAGGTAACATGACGTGATGGATAGAAAAAAGATTTTAAACTGATTTAACTGATTTTTAAAAATTTTCAACTGAAATATTAAATAGAGTTTCAAAGAGAATCAGTTCTTTTTTGTGCCTGTAACACCAATTTATAATAGATGAATAACACTCATCATCCTTTGTGTATCGGATCATATTTCACGAACAAGCGAAATTTTTTCAGGATAACCACAAATTAAGAAAATATCAAAAAAATAATTTTTGAACTTTTTGAACTTTTATAAATATAGTTTTTTCTTCAGAAAAAGTTCAATTGAGAATTGTTTTACATCCCATTAGTCTCAGCACACATATTTTTCATTGTCTAATTCATCAGAAACAATCTTCATATGTAGGTGACACTCAATATCCTACCTTTTTTAACTTTCAACGTTGCATATGACCTTTGAAATCAAACAGTCCTGTTTTAGCTTTTACAAAATCAACAATTCTCTGAATCTCACTAGCATATACGCGGTAATTACTTAATGATACCTCAAACGAAAAACTGAAAGCTTATACACAAAGTTTATTTGTTTATTTTTTGATGTTCAAACCAACTGTTCGTCTGATGGTTGCCTTCAATTAACAGACTTCCACAGTAACGAAAGTTTCGTTTCTTATGTCGAGCCCAACACAACAGTCATCATTGCATCGTTCATCATCCTGTCCTTTTTTAGCGCGTTCTCATCCAAACTGAATGACCTTGAAATGTATGTGAAGGTGAAAACTAATAACTAAATGATCTTCATAATCTGACATTTCAAAATTTTTCATTGTTTACAAGGATTTTGCGAATGCAAAACTGACAAAAGCGAAACTATAAATAAAATGTTTAGTTCAAATGAATTATATTCCAAGGATATTTTCAACGTAAATTTAAAAGTCTGTCGGACAGGTTACGTAACACAATCTTCAGCCATAATTTATATTTAATTATGCAAACATTATAATCGTAAGATACGCTAAAAAATAGTTTTCAACAAAAGTAAATCTATCCACTAATAAATTAATAAATAAATCAAGAGAGAGAGAGAGAGAGAGAGAGAGAGAGAGAGAGAGAGAGAGAGAACATTAAAGCATTTTATTTGTTTATACAACAAAAAACAAAAGTGGTTAACACGCAATTTGTTGATAATAAATTCATCATTGGCGAATACCATCAGTGGTGGGATATGTAATCGAATACGCTGTGATGGATATTTTTTTGTTTGTTGTGTTGTTGTAAATTTGTGTTATTTTACGTTATTCTTTATTACGTAGCGCTGTAAAAACATGTGGGTGGCTGTTATGTGATGAGATGTGCCAGAGAGAGAGAGAGAGAGAAAGAGAGAGAGGGAGGAGAGAGAGAGTAAGAATAAGAAAGAAAGAGAGAAATATGACTGAAGCAATAACCTCTTATTTATTGACTTATCACCTGTTGCTGCCTATAAATCCCGCTGATAACTCTCCTTATGAAATATTTCATGATTAACATGATGATACTGCTGCTGGTGGTGATGAAGGACGTTGATGAGGACGGTGATGATGACGTTGATGATGATGAAGAATTTGAAATGATATAGCTGATGTAAATGGGAAACCAAATACGACGTTTTTCGCATTATTATCCATTCTACAACAATAACACTGTTGCTCATTATTGTCATCATCATTGTCGTCACCACCTTCATCATCATCGTCATCATCATTACCATCATTATTATTTTAACCGTTGTCTTTATCATCATCACCATCACAATCACCGTGCAACCAACCAACCAACCAGGCAGGCAGCCAGCCAGAATGGATGCATGGATGAATTGAAACGATGGAATTTATTGCATTCAGTTGCCTTCAATCAATCAACTGCTCATAAAACCTGCACACACACTCACATTCACTCGCACACTCACACGCACACACTCTTACACGCACACACACACACAAACATACCACTGACTAGATACTTTGTAATTATGAATATGTAATGATGTTTTCTTAGTCGTGTGAATGTGTAATTGTAGATGTGTTATTGTAAATGTGTTACTGTGAATTCGTAATTATAATAACATTTGTAAATGTGAAAATTTTTAAAATTACCCCATTTCGACTGTTATTAAAGACCCGGAAAATATCAGAATGTTGTACATATGTACGCATGTATGTTTGTATGTGTAAGTATGTGTGTGTGTGTGTGTGTGTGTGTGTGTGTGTGTGTGTGTGTGTGTGTGTGTGTGTGTGTGTGTACGCATATGTGTATGTAATGTATGTTTATGCTTATATCGATCTGTGTTTTTGTGTGCATGCTTGTTTGTTTTTTTGATTGTGTGTGAGTGTGTGTATTCATTCAGGTGTGTATGTGTGTGAGTGTTTGTGTGTTTGTGTGTGTGTGTGGGTGTATTCATTCAGGTGTGTATGTGTTTGTTTGTTTGTGTGTGTATGTATGCATTCATTGAGGAGCAAAGAGAGACAGGCAATCGATCAGAGCATGCAATCCCCACGCTGCAGACAACCATCAAAATTGCTTCTTCAACATTCACACACACAATCAACTTTCTCTCACTTTTTTCCTTTTCCACATTCCTATCCCCCTTCTCCTCTTCATCATCATCCACATCATTAATTTCGTCATGATCATTAATGACATCTGGCTTACTTATATCATAACATTCATCGTGTTATTTCTTTCGTCGTTAAATTTGTTAATAAATAATAATATTATTATAATATAATAATAATAATATTATTATTATTCATTGTTATCTTTACACATTGTCATCATTATCACCATCAACATCGCCATCTTGATTCATCACCATCACCACCACCATCCTATCACCATCATCAACATCATCATTATTATCATCGTCATCATCATCATCGGCATCATCATCATCACAGTTTTTATCATAATCATTCTCCTCATCAGCTTCTATAATCAACAGGGCCGTCATCAATCACCATCATTATTATCTCCCTTTTCCATGTGATACGCCTATATATATATATATATATATATATATATATATATATATATATATATATAGTTTATACATACTATATATATATATATATATATAATAAATATACTATTCAAATTATATATTATTATACTATATATATATATATATATGTACGTAAATATCATCGGCATCATCGTACATACATGGTACGATGTCGCGAGCGGTTTGCATTAACGAGTTATTGTGTTATTTATTTAATAATTCTGACAAAATTGACGATGCGGAATTCATTTACGAAATAATGGATTTCTACAATTGTGAAGATATTAGAATAGCAAAAAAAATACTTACCAGCGATCTAGATGCGTTAAATCTAGAAAAAGATGATAAAATAAAGCCAAACAGTTCTGGAAACTCTAAAAAGGACAAGGTTAGTGATTTAATACTAACAATAAAAACAATTCTGAGCAACAAAATTGAAAGCAAATTGCCTCAGTATGCTGCTCTCAACCTTTTTAAAATTCCAAGCTCAAAAAAAGCTAAATTTGAGTCTATTCTTGACGAAAAGTTAAAAAAATTAGAAGAACTATTTATTGAAGAAAGAAACATCTTCCGAGAAATAGTAAATGATGCGGCTATTAACAATAGCCCAAAAGTAGAAAGAAAGCAGCAATCTGATTGCAAGACCGAACGAGCAGCAATCTGACTGGTCAGAGATTGTAAAACGTAAAATTAAAAAGAGCTCAAATGTTCAACACGTGGCGAATGTTCAACACGTGGCGAATGTTCAACACGTGGCGAATGTTCAACACGTGGCGAACATCAAAATGTTGAAAACAAAGAAAAAAACACACAACACTAACATAGCAAATATGAAAACAGTTATAGGCACCCAAACTGATAAACAAACAAATTTGAAAGCGATGAAACCTTCGCCAAAAAGAAAAGTTTTTTACGTTGGTCGATTGGACCAACAATGCACTGCAAAAGAGTTAAGCGAACACATAAATGGATTGAAAATTGAGGTGCTTGGTTGCTCAGCAATCATAAACTCAACTTTTAATCGCCGCTCAAAGCAAGCTACAACATCGATCAACACACAAAACACGAACTCTGACAAAATCGATGTTCAACAGACAAGCGCTGCATTCAGAGTTTGTATTTATGAAACAAACTCAGCTGAGTTCATGAATGCAGAAAACTGGCCAGACCAAATCATCGTCCGCGAATGGTGTTTCAACGATCCGTCGGCAAATGTTGTCAATGACCTGTCGGCAAATGTTGTTTCAACTAAAAATAGCAATGAATAAAAACTTCATAGAAGAGAATCTCGAAGAATCAAAATATTACACTGTAAAAGAATTATCTAACATAATAAAATTGAAGAATAAAATGAAAAACAATCACCTACCAATCATTCATCTGAATGCTCGAAGTTTGTTTCATAAATTATTAAATCTAGAAATCTTCTTAAAACAATTCGACGACTTTTTCAAAATTATAGTAATATCAGAAACGTGGTTGAACAATGAAACAGTTGATTTAATTAAGTTAAATAATTACAATTTTGTATATAAAAATAGAAAAAGCAAACGAGGCGGAGGTGTTGGTGTGTTCATAAAGCATGACATCAAATATGTTGTAAATGATAACAGTGCATTTGATGATGAAAATGTCGACGTTCTCTGTGTGGACATTGAATCGGGGCATGCTTCACCTAGGGGTGTGCTAAAAGTTATCGCGATATACCGCCCACCCAATTATAAATTTGAGCCTTTTTTAATAAAATCAATTTGATTTTACACGCCATCAAATCCGCCGACAAAACTGTTATAGTG